TTACAATAAAGCAACAAGATTATGGAGTTTGGTCTCCCACATAGAGGTAGTATATCCCTCCTAGAATTCTTGAGGGTGAAAAAAAAAGACATCACAACATAAGCATCCGTCTGGCTATTTGGAATGTTCTTGATAATGTTTCAAAAGGGTAAAAAGATATCAGATCATCAGGTGGATGGTAAGTGCGAGAGGAGGTTAAAGTTACCTACCAAACTGGTGGAATAACCAGGGTGAGATTATTTATTATCTAATACATCCACAAAAAGGAAAACCGACAATACAAGATCAGAGTTTGCGCATGAATTAGACTGTCTCACTCGTACTCACGTGGAAGATTTTTCTGATTTGGCCAGGTGTTTCCACCAGAATGCTGTATCGACATTGACGGTTTTGCTTGTTGTGGACGTAATATGATGAATATATTATCAATTTTTTTTGAGATTATGTCTCCTCGGCTCCATAAATAATATTATTGTTTCAATATACCCGTAGTAAAGACATATCATCTCAGATGATTTGTTCCCATATCAGAAAATATAGATAATTCCACGTTTTGGGAACGAATCCACTCACGTGGAAGATTTTTTTGATTTGGCCAGGTGTTTCAACCGGAATTCTGTTTTGACAGTGACGGTTTTGCTTGTTGTGGACGTAATATGATCAATATGTTATCAATTTTTTTTTTGGATTATGTCTCCTCGGCTCTATAAATAATATTAGTGTTTCAATATACCCGTAGTAAAGACATATCATCTCAGATGATTTGTTCCCATATTAGAAAATATAGGTAATTTCACGTTTTGGGAACGAATCCACTCACATGGAAGATTTTTCTGATTTGGTCAGCTGTTTCCACCGGAATTCTGTATTGACATTGACGGTTTTGCTTGCTGTAGACGTAATATGATGAGTATATTATCAATTTTTTTGGGATTATGTCTCCTCGGCTCCATAAATAATAATATAAGTATTTCAATACACTCGTAGTAAAGACGAATCATCTCAAATAATTTGTCCCCATGTTAGATAATATAGGTAATGTCACGTTTAGGGAACGAATCTGCCCCCGTTTTCAACACAAATCTCAGTATGTATCTTGGAACAGAATAGCTCAATTTTCTCTAAATAGCCACTGACCTAACGAGTGTTTTCGTTTTCATATTGAAGTGATCCATTCAGGCAGCTTTTTAATTTTCAACATATTCCGGTACAGTGTTATTAGTTATACACATGAAAGCTGTGGATTTAATATTCAATGTAAGTTCGTGGGGAAGGAGCAAATCTTGAAAACAGTGTTATGAGTTTAATCAGAATATGCAATTGTATCATCAGCATATATACAATAACATCTACAGTCATTTCCGAGATAGCTATATAATTTATTTACATTAAGAAGAGAGTGGGGCCTAGTCTTTAGCCTTGTGGTGAATATTTACATTCCATTAGATGAGCAAATTGCATTCTATTGGACAGGTAATTTCGAAACCAGCTGCCACAGTGACCCTGGACACCAATCATATACATTTTTTCTATGAGAATTGCATAGTTCACGGAATACCAGAGCTAATTTTAGTTTCTCGTCAATGTTCATCTGTTATGTAGATCTGCTCTCGTTTTCAACATAAAAATGGAAAATTCGTCTTGCAGGTGATGTTTTCAATATTGAAATTTTAGGCGCTGTGACATTTTGGGACAAATCTTCTGAATCATCTTTATCACTAAAAGTATTTATATTGAAATAAAACTAATATTCTTATTCATTGAGACGAGGAGAAAAAATCACAAAGAATTCAGAGGAATAAATATGAAACCTCCCAAATTAACTTCACCATGATGATTTTACCGTGACTAGTAGTCATCTTCAATTACCTCTGTCATTCACTTTCTAACCACCCACTGGTCTGGCAATTTTTTTTTCTCATTTTGGAATGTTAATATTCCAAAGTTCCAAACTGACGCTGGTTGTTGTAGTTATATGTTTTTTATCAGTTTCAAAAATGCCATGTGTACTGAAGCTATCCTGTTCCTATGTTGCAAGGAACCAAAAGCAGTATTCCGCCTGATGATAAATACTATAAAAAAAATGTTGCTGGTTCTCGGGCTATAAGAAAAAACCATTGAAATTGGATCAAGAAGACTGGTGAAAAGTTTTTAGGGAAATTGCAAGTTAATGTTAAGGATGTGGGATGGAAAAAATACCAAAACCTTAGAAAATAGTTTCATAATGTAATTGTTTGGTTCGGCATACATTCCAAAATAAAAGCTGTGTAACATTTGCTCTATATACAAAATTCAACTAAAACAATATGTACAAACATAGGAGTACACCTTAGAGCCTACAGCTAATGATTAAATATTCAGAGTAAAAAAATACAAAAAAAAATACTGAGAATTGAAAGATATCCAATATTGTTCATCATCTTCCAACTAATTATTGCATAAACATTTAATTCTGAGGAATTTACACAATACACTGTATTAAAAAAGCAAAAAGTTTTGTTCAGTTTAATGCTGCAGTATGCATAAAATAAAGAAGTATCATGATTTATCTGTATAAAGCACTTTTTGCCTGGTGGTATCTAGTTTATTAAATTTTTGTAGGAACTGAAACTTGGTAATTACTTGCAAATGAAAGTTTTTCCATTAAAATAATAAGGAACATAGTCTAAAATATTCATTGAAAATATCATAATTATTTGAACACATAATGAAAATCAAAACTCACATGCAACCACAGATTATGTAAGTGATTTTTAGATAAACCCAATACCAATACTCCACTATGTGAGATTTATTTCATTCAATCAGTACCTGGCTTGGAATTGTAATTCTAAGAAGAAAGCACATTGTTCATAGACACCAATTATTATCACATTTTCCTATTTCCCAAAATCACAAGATAAGTTTAACTGGTATAAATCAACAATTGAAATAAGACAATTATACCTACTATACTATTTCGTTTTCTTTATAAAATCGCAAGGCAAGAGAAATAATGGCAAACTATTAAAAAATATAAGGACTTTTTCAATTATTCGAAGCTGAATAAAATTAGGAAGCTATATTTCGATAATATAATCTACAATAATTATTGTCTCACTTATATTTCAATGCAAGTTTTTCAAAAGTGAGTCATACTATTTCTGCATTCTCTTATTCTCTCTTAGTATCGATATATTTGAATAATTCGAAAATATCATGAAAGCAATTCAGAATAATCCATAGAAAATACCGGCTGGTAATGTAATTAAAATTAACCTCAACAATCAACGTCTTCACAAGAACCCATCCGACAAGCAAAACAAAGACCCCTGAGATTAATTTGCCAATGGAACCCTAATTTGCAAAGTAAATCATGCAGCTCAATTGAAAGAAATATCTTGTGATTACAGTTCATTTTAACAACCAGCGACTTCACAACCATCCATGGGACAGGCAAAAGGAAGGTCCTTAGGAACCCACGCCCCTTAAAAACATCTAGCAAGATTAATCTGCCAATCAAACCCTGATTTGCAAGCCAAATCATGCAGCTCCATCGACAGAATGATCATAAAATCCAAACCTTTCGCTCACGAATTGATAGTGCTTCAATGATAAAAATCTTGAGAATTTTTTTAAATTCTGATTTTGGAATGAGCCTCTCGGCTCAAGGGCATGTCAATGGGAAAAACATTCCAACCTCAGACATGTTTTCCTTATTGCTAAATGTCATCGCAACGTTATGTGATGACCTTGAAATACGCCAATAATAATCACATCAGAATAAGCTGTCCCCATTTGAGGACAGGTGAGCGAAAGGGATTAATTTCAACAACCAGCGCCTTTGAAAGAAACTATCTGACAATCAGAAGAGGGGTAGTTCTGATGTTGCGATGATGTTTAGCAATGGGGAAAAGATTTCAACCTCAGACATGTTTCCCCTATTGCTAAATGTCATCGCAACGTCATGTGATGACCTTGAAATACGTCAATAAAAATCATATTAGAATGAGCTGTCTCCATTTGAGGAAACGGTGAGCGAAAGGGTTAAAGTTTATTTTAACGACCAGCGCCTTCGCAAAAAACCCTCCGACAGGCAAAAGAGCTACCCCATTGAAACATCTTAAAGCTTCGTGCACTCATTGACGCTACTATCTTCGCTATCGCAAGCGCTGTTCTTGCTTGCCAAAGTGGTGTAACTACCGAGAGTGGAATTTTTTCAGTATCAGTACCTGTGATGCCGACCGACAGAAAGGGGTAGTTCTGATGTTGCGATGATGTTTAGCAATGGGAAAAGCATTCCAAACTCCTGGCATAGATTGAAAGTCAGACATGTTTTCCCTATTCCCATGTGATTACCTTGAAATACTTCAATAAATATCATATTTGAATAAGCTGTCCCCATTTGAGGACACGGTGAGCGAAAGGGTTGAAGTTAATTTTAACGACCAGCGCCTTCACAAAAAACCTCCCCCTAATAAACATATCATAGCCTCGTACACTCACTGACGCTACTATCTTCGCTATCGCACGCGCTGCTCTTGCTAGCCAAAGTGGTGCAACTACCGAGAGTGGAATTGTTTTCAGTATCAGTACCCGTGAGTCCGACCAACAGATGGCTGTCCTTCTCCGAGGCCTCATAAAATCATATCAGAATATGACACGGTGAGCGAAAGGGTTAATTTCAACAACCAGCCCCTTCGCATGACACCATCCGACAAGCAGAAGAGGGGTAGTTCTAATGTTGCAATTACGTTTGGCAATGGGAAAAACATTTAAAACTCCTGGCATAGATTGAAAGTCAGACATGTTTTCCCTATTCCCATGTGATTGAGGACACGGTGAGCGAAAGGGTTAAAGTTAATTTTAACGACCAGCGCCTTCACAAAAAACCTCCCCCTAATAAACATCTCAAAGCCTCGTGCACTCACTGACACTACTATCTTCGCTATCGCACGCGCTGCTCTTGCTAGCCAAAGTGGTGCAACTACCGAGAGTGGAATTGTTTTCAGTATCAGTACCTGTAAGGCCGACCGACAGATGGCTGTCCTTCTCCGAGGCCGCCTCTTTGGCCGCCTCGCTGGCCAGAGCGACGATCTCGTTGGCCGCAAGTTCCTTATCGGAGAACTTCTCCTTTCTGATGCCGACCAGCTGCTCGAACGTGGGCGGCTCGAAATGACCGAACGGGCGACTGGGCAGTTCCTCCTTGGAGGGCGGGCCGGGCAGGTCGAGCTTGTGGCGCCTGAGCTCCTCCATGGAGGCTTCCAGGTGACGGATGACGGAGTCTTCGTCGTACACGAAGTCTTTGTACAACTTCACCTGGAAATCGGGGTGATACAGGGTGTTCCGTTGGGAAACGGAAATACTTCAACGGTGGTTAGAGATGACCAAGGTGGTTCTGAATATACCATATATGTTGGGTCCTTCATTTTGCTTTCTAATGACCTTGGCCTCCGCGAATTGTGTCAGAAATCCAAAAATGTTACAATATACAGGGTGTTCCATTTAAAAAATATGCCATTTATATGCCAGTCACCCATAACGAATCTCATTTGGATAATCCTGATATTTCAGAAGTTATAACCTATCTAATTGACTCGTTAACACCCGGTACAGCCATTCGTTTAACCTTTCAAGAAGATCTACTATAATTCCATCACTAGCAATACCAGTCAGACGAACTCGACAGGCCCAATCAGCACATCTCTTCGTCGTTAACCTTTTAAAATGTCGAATAACACTCTACTTAAACTCGTTCTCCTATAGAACATAGAAGAAAAGTGGGTCATGAACTCGTAAATAAGAATAAACCAATGAAGTTTCAACACATTTGTTTGTAGCTATCTCACTTTTTTTTATTCGATTTGTATTTAAACTCATTTCTTTTGAATATAAATATTTTTGTGTTAGTGAGAAACTTACCAGACCAGATTGAAATACAGAAGAAATAATAACTACTTTTTATCTCTTGGATTGCACGAAAGGAAATTCCTATAATTTTCAAAGAACATTGTGTGTACCTAGGGAAGATAGGGGGAAGAGGTAGGTGTTGGGATATTTTTTGAACTTTTGGAGGTTATAAGTTCTTGAGAATACTTCCATTGGCAAGAAATTTCAAAGCTTCGCCATTCTATAGATGAAGGACTTTTGGTATACCATATTGTTCAACGAGCACGGAATGATCGTGATTCCATGCGAGTTAAACATTATAATTTTTCTAAGGCTGTAACAGATAACATGGACATTTTTGATTTCTTCGTCTTGTAGCCATCTGAATTCTTCTCAAGTAATGTTCATATATATGACAGCTGTCATTCCATGGGCGATGAGTTTTTTTTAATAATAACACAATGGAGCGAAATGGAGCGAAACAGACAGTGATTAATGATGACAATCATGAACAACACCAACAACAAACAGAATTTCAAAGTAAATGTTCGACCAAAGGTAAAAAAGAATTAAAATGAAATATTTCTTTGAACACTCTGTATTAGCAACATTTCTATAGGGCATGTTCTGATGAATCTTAATATTTTGGTGTTTACTATCTGTAGTTCATTTCCCATTCCTAGAATCACCCTGTAGATACAGAAGGAAAGTATCCTTTCTGCGTAAAGGAGACGATTTTTTTTTTAGGTAAATCAAACCTAACTCAGCCTAATATACAGGGTGACAGGTGACATTGAAATAAATACAAATATTTGAAACCCTAAATGATTTTGACGAATATTGAATGGCACCCATAGAAAAGATATAGGGATCAAATAAAATCCAGGATGAGACTCTCTTTCCACCCCAAATTCTACACTGTGGCAATTCTGACGTCACCTCTGTAAAAATGTTCGTGCGGAAGGCACATTCACTCGGAGTTCAATAATTTGAATTGCTTTGAGGTGCCGTAATTGTTTTCATTTCGATTTTTATAAAATTTTCAATATCGAATTTCTCGTTAATTAGAAGGATTGCAAAAATCTGATATCATGGGAATATCCGTTAGCATATATTTTATTGATTTGCTGAATATATGAACTCATTTCAAAAACACCTGGTATAGATAAGAAAATGAAAGAAAATATCCTTGAATTTCTTTTCACTCCACTCCGTATACCTACTATCGATATCGGAATTGGTCATACTTGTTCGGGAAATAATCGGTTGAAAGAATGACGTAACTAATTGAATTTCTTTTCACTCCACTCCGTATACCTACTATCGATATCGGAATTGGTCATACTTGTTCGGGAAATAATCGGTTGAAAGAATGACGTAACTAATTAGTCATTTGAATGATGAATCAAAACGATCGGCAGTCTCGTTCTAAACTTCATCGAGTACGGTCGATTCAGGTGATAATAAAAAAAAACTCGGAAGTATTTAAGAATGGAAAAATGGAATTCATATTCGGCTCAGTGATTGTATCTTCTTTAGAGTGTGTGAAAGTTATATTTTTTTAAGATGGTGAGTGTTTTTGTATAATATACATACAGTGTGTTACAATTTGGTCCACCCCACCCCTGTTCTTTAGTATTCCTAGGGCGGTTTGGAAATATTTTTTCCCATAATATATTACTCAAAATTATCTACTTTGTCGAGCCAAAAAATTTTTCAATCACAGTTTCTTAGCCTACCACAGTCACAAAAACTCCAGCAAATTCAAAGAAAACGGATTGGACATTTTTTACAAAACAAATACTCCTATATGAATTTTCAAAACAATATCTCATACAGGGTGTTTTTTATCAACGTTACATTTTTTGAATACTTGCACTTTTCATGTCAACATGTATTATAATTCTTTTAGATTAGATTATCTGGCTACAGAGTGAGCAAAATAACTAATTGATAACTAATAAAATCACTAGGAATTCAGATGAAATAACAAAACAGCAATTATTCCTAACAAGTTCAGATTTTTATATTTTCGATTGAATCTCCTTCATTCTCTATACACTTTCCATATCTCTTTTCGCACGTTATTTTCAACTCTCCTGCAAGATTTACAAATTGAGGCCAAGAAATAGGAATGAGTTGCGACAAATAAACAGTTTGCAGACAAATACCACCAGAAGAACTGAGCAGAGTTCAAAATAACGCCCGAAAGGGATATGAAAAGTGTATAAAGAATGAATAAGATTTTACAGAGAAAACAAAAATCTGAACTTGTATATTTCATTGCTCGTTGTTTTTTGTCTGATTTTTTTGTTATTTTTTTTATAGATAATTATTAATAATTATTTATCTCACTCTGTAGCCAGATGATCATCAATCCTGATATCAAATCCTAAAGAATCATTACTTCACTTGAAAAGTGCAATTATTCAAAAATTGTAACGTTGAAAAAAGATATTCTTTTGAAAATTGATTAAGGATTATTTGTGACTAGTCCAAGTCGATTGCCTACATCAAAATTTAAAAAAAAATGCCGAATCTGTTTTCTTTGATTTTGCTGGTTTTTGTGAACGGAAAAAGTAGATAATTTTGAGTAGTATACTCTGAGAAATAGTATATTGTTCTCAGCAAGAGCCGTAGGCGAATGCTGCAATTATTGGAGTAACAGATGAGTTTTTTTTTTAATGGGGTCATTGTGATATCAGATATGGAAATAGAATTGATGACATACAAAGTACCTCATTGATGTATGGAACACAGTAAAACAAGAGCAATTTTGTGTTATAGCCCTAGAAAAAAGTGTTTTTCTACATCTAACGGACTGGTATTGCTAGTGAAGAAATGAGAGCAGCAGAGATTCTTGAAGAACATTGCCTGTACAATTTTCTATTTCAGATATACATTTTTTTGTGCCTACATAGAAATTAAGTTCTTAGATCGATCAACAACTGAACACATGAAGTAATCTTCTTTCTATTTCAAACAATATAGTTTCAAATAAAATTAGCATTTAACATCTTGTTCACATTCACACCATGAGAAATTGTATCATTCATTAAATCATGGAATTACAGAATAATGAGCAAACTTTATTGATGCACAAATGTTAAAGTAACATTTAGTACCTATAATACCTATGTAACCATCATTGAAGGAACTTTGTTAAGTGTATAATGCCTAGCTGGAATCTCTAGAGTCTAGAGTACTCTGGAAAATGTTTTCAAATTTCCTTAAATTCAAAATTAAAATATAATACAGTGAGCCAGGAAACATTCATATTTGAATAAAAATTTTCATTATAACTTTAAGATTGCATTATTCTTTGTTAAAGAAAGAACACAACTTACTTGAATATAGTTTACTATGGAATCCATATCATTGAGTTTCAGTAATTGTCTTTTATGTAATTTGAGTATTGTATAGGCCATTGCTGTAATAACTCTCTCTCCATCCAACAAATATATGTCCCAGATGCGCAAGCACAGGCTGAATGGAACCTTAAAAAACACAAATTCAACTAAGTGATGTTCAATACTCTGGATAAATATTCAAACTAAACCAAATATAAATAGAGAATAAGATGTAGGTATATTCACACATTTGAACCATTTTTGTGGAAATTCAATTTTTGGGGCTTTTTTATAGAAGCATTCTATTCTTATGAATTTATTTTATATTCATAACTTGAATCCAGAGAGGGAAATAAATTTCTACAATCTCCTACAAGAGTCTATATTTTCTGCTATATTTCATAAATCAGTGGACAATTATATGAAACATTCCTGTATGAGAGAACATATAGGTATTTGAATTAATGAAGTAGCACTAAAGTGGGTCAATTCTCTTTCAAGGACAATGAATATTAACAAGTTTAGTAGGTACAAGTGACCTGACTTATTGACCCACATAATGTATTTTCAATTAGAATGTAAACACATGCAGCTTACCCTTTCAATGAAGCATACAAAAAACCATTTTAGGGAATACAAAATGGCATCCAGGCCATTTCTATCAAAATGTTTTTTCACTTTGGATAATAGTTTTGTCAAAATTCGATCATGATGTGCTAGGAACCTGGTCAGCTTTGGAAAGCCTTCCTTGTAAAGTCCATGCATGGCATATTTTGGATTAGTTAATAGAACATGTACTGCCCAAAATGCATCTTCTTCATTCATGTACATGAGCAGTACTCCAGCTAGTCCAGACATACCTTGGCAATATCCAACTTCAGAATTATACATGGCATAAGCTGTTAAAACATTGAATAGTGACTGCTGTTTGATACTGTATCTTTCCCTATAATGCAAATGTTCTCTAAATTGTCTATTTACATCTGAATCTATTTGTCTAGCATCTGTTGAGTATTTTCTGGCTAGTTTCATCATTTCCACATATTTACCCTCATTTTCTTTCTTGACTTTCTCTATTTGCAATAATTTACACCAAACTTCTGTTCTCAAAGAACTGGGAATGCCTTTGTAAACACGTGAATGTAACTTCTCTTTTACAGCAGTACTCTCCCAATTCTTGAGCATCTTTAGCCATTTTTTCTGGCGCTCTACTTCAATTTGGAGCTTTTTAGCTTCCTGCGGGTCCACTTTTGAAGGTAACCTTTTATCATGGATAAATCCATATCTGTCTGTGGCATGGTACACTTCAAAGCCTGGATCTTCCCAAGGATCAATTTCAGCCCCTTCTCTTCCTTGTTCATATCTCCTGAATATTTTTTCTCGCTCTTCAGCTGATCTTTTGACAAGATCCTCCTCATTCATCCCATTTACGAATTTTGGCACTCTTCATATACAGCATAAGGAAGCATTACACTTGAATTTATTGGGATTTTCTCATATTACTATTGATCAACATCAGCACATCTGTAAATAATAACATACTGATAAGTGAATTCTTATTAATTCCATTTTAGTTTTTAGGCACAGAAAATGTTAATCCAAAGTTTGAACATGTTTGAAATTAATATGGAAAAACATCAGACACCTGTCAACACAAAACCGCCCAAACAAATATTTTCCAGTTTCTAGAAAATAGTCATACTCACAGAGATAACAATACAAAGATCCTTATAATACTGATTAAATTATTCCATTGATCATGGTACCAATAATAGGAAAATGGATAATATATCCATTAAAATTATACAAACACAGCTGCAGTCTGCACTGCTACTGTCAGGCTGTCACTTTCCAGTCTTTCCACTTTCTCTTCTTGGCATTAAAAACAATCTTCTTGGAATTTGGATGTCAAATGTTTGGTCAAAATTGTCAAATGTCATTGACAATCTTTTTTTTTTTATTTTTACCCACTGACTTCTTCGAAATACTAGAAAATTCAGTTCATTGTATGGAGTAGGGGACTCGTTACACCAGTCTCTAGGCATCTTAGGTAATATATATCAAAAATCTCTGAATCGTTGGTAAATAAAATTTGGTGTATAATTTGAGTCGGCGCCATGTATAATATGGTAAAAAGTTCGTGGCAACACTGCATTACTGTCACGTCACTCCAAGGTCTACGTCACTCATGCTTCATGCTGTCAGCAGTGTCAGCACAGCTGTCAGGCCGTAATAAAATTATTTGAAATAAGATATTTCATTCCATTTCAATAAACACTCTAAAGTCGAGTCGGCTTCTTGCCACGTTAGTTGACGATAAGTTTACAACAATTGTTTGCTTGAAAACTTTAAATCACAATGGTAATGATTGAATTCAATTTTTCCTATGATCCAACAATAAAGTACAATATTTTTTGATTGATTGATGAGTGTATGTGAATTTTCTTGTAGATTGAAGCTGCAAAGTTAACTCGTTATGTATCTCCTGTGAACCCTGCCGTTTTTCCACACCTCACGCTAGTGCTACTTGGTATTGGAATATTTTTCACAGCATGGTTTTTTGTCTATGAAGTGACAAGTACAAAAAATACTAGAAATCTCAAGAAGGAACTTCTTGTAGCACTGGTAGCATCCATCTTCTCAGGGTTTGGAGTTCTATTCCTTCTTTTATCAGTAGGCATTTATGTCTGATAGAGTAAGAAACTTACATTACATTCTAAGATGATAGGTTCAGTCCAAGACTTATTATAAATTTTACACCTCTTGTTAAGATTGTATATTTGATAAATTTCCACATAAATGAAATAGTATATCAAAATTATAGTTTTTGTGTACTACCAATTTCCTTCCATCAACTATTATGCATATCAAATTGATAGATACTAGGGAGCAGGCTAGTAAGAAACTTTTCTTTTATTTGGTTTTCCAATTTGATGGGACATGGAATCTGCTTAATTTAGATTGGCAGTCTGGTCATTCAATATTTTCAAGAATAATCTACCTTATTTTAAAACAACTCTTCAACAACTGGTCTCCTTAATAATTTTTAAATGGGTAGGTTTTTTAGATGGGAAAACAAATTCACAAACTGCATTCACTTTGTACCTCATATTCTTATTTGTATTATAGTAGTAGGGAAGCCGGCTGCAAATTTAGACCATCATCTGATAATGAAATGTATGTTCCATTTAAAAACATTATTCCTGTGCATTAATTTGCACTCAACTTTGCAAAGATAAAAATTATGCCACCTGTCACCAATTGAATGGTATATCTCAAAAGGAAGTGTATAGAATGCCGACCAGTCGGCAATTTATACTTTTTTTTAGGCTCCTGACTGTTCAGCAGACTATACTCTTTTTTTTGGGATGCCGACCATAGACTAAAATTAATTTTAAGGAAAAAAATATAATTTGAAAAAAAATTTCTAGAGAATGAGATATACCTAATTACACAAACACTATAACCTATTGATGGAACAAAAACCTGATGAAAAAAATCTTGTTAACTAACAATAGAGGAAGGAGAAACTAGATTAGAAAAAAATAAAATAGCAAAAGAAAGTGATGTTTACTCAACCCAAACAGACTTAATCAACTAGTGAAACCAAAATCTGATGAAAATAAAATTGATGAATAAAAATAAAAAAAAATCCATGGGTATTTGAACATGGACCACAGGAGTGAAGCCAATGTCTTAGCACTGAGCTACTAACCATCTAGGATATTTATTGTTATATAGAAACAATGTATTCCACTGAATGGTCGGCAGTCTAGAGAAAAAGTATAGTTTGCCGACTGGTCGGCATCCAAAAAAAGGTATAGACTGCCGACCAGTCGGCATACTATACATTTTTTTGCGCTGCCGACCGATTTTATACAGAAAAAATGTATTCCACTGAATGGTCAAGTAGTCTAGAGAAAAAGTATAGTTTGCTGACTGGTCGGCAGCCTATACACTTTCATCTCAAAAGCCTACCTGACACCATATACGTATTAATAAACAATACGGATCATAACGGGTGCCAGGATGGAGCCAAAAATATGAAACAAATGAATATCCATAAGGATTAGGTGGCATGATACGCATGCGCCATGCGCTATTATAGTAGTCATCAAAGACATGCGTTTCGGTGGACAATGACGTTTACTGGCCTTTCAATCAAAGCAGTATGTGTCTGAACGTTTCAAAACTTTTCCTTATGGATAGTCATTTGTCTTCAAAAATCGGCTTCATGTTTCGCTATGGAAACAGATAGAGATTATCCGTATTGATTATTAATACGTATATGCCTGACACACACACCATAATATGAACCAAGTCCATGGCACAACGATTTATCTGCTGCTGTTATCATTATCTGGCATCTGGATTTGAGTACCTGTAGTGTGAGCACCACATGAGTTTCAAACTGGTCCATCGGATATTATCTTCCGATTCGGTGGTAACGACTTAGCTCAGTTTGAATCGCGGCACGTTTGTATATTCGCAAAAGGGACACTATCCCCTCTCAATCACTTTCTGTTTCAACTAGTTATCACATGATGGAAGTATGTCCGGAATAATGGCAGAAAATAAAACGGTTGTGCCATGGATTTCCAGGGATGTCACAGGTAGATTTTTGAGATCTACCATTCAATTGTAATCGAATGGCATAATCCTCATCTGGTTATCAAATCGCGAAATTAAGTGCAAATTACCGCACAGGAAAGTGCAATTTGCTCAGGACAGTGATTGGTACAGGTGCCGTTCGGTAAAATACAATGTGGTTACATGCCTTTGGGACATATATCATTTCATTATTAGATGACGGTCGAAATTTGCAGCCAGCTCTTGGACTATATGTACAGGGTGGACCAATAGCGTCACAAAGTGAGATTGCAGCTCTGCTATTAGAGATGGAAGAACACAATTTCTACAGGAGTTGTAGGTCCAAGTGATGCATATTTCAAATTATCCTCCATTATACAATGTGACTCAAAAAACTTATGTTTTTTTAAATGGATCACCCTGTATTTTATTGCATTTTTATAATATGCTCTCTGAAGAGCTGAACTCAACGATCTAGCACACTTGGGGTCAAACGGGAATGATTACCGAGATATAGGGTGTGGAAAATTGAGATTTTTCAACTTTGAGAATTTTTTGGGTCGAAACTAATCATCATTGGTCCAAAGGGCTTTCATGTCCCTATCTTAACTTTTGATTAATTATCTACTCATATTTAATTGGAACAGATACAAGAATTCTACACCACCCTGTATTTGTTTCAATTAAATGATAGTAAGTCAAAAGTTGAGATAGAGACCTTGAAGTCGTTTTGACCAATAATGAATAGTTTGCTTACAAAAAATTCCAAAGTTGAAAAATCTCGAATTTCCACACCCTATATCTCGATAATCATTCCCGCCAGACCCCAAGTTTGCTAGATCGTTGAATTCAGCTCTTCAGAGAGAATATAAATATGCAATAAAATACAGTGTGTTTCATTTAAAAAATCATAAGTTTGATATGTCACACTTTTTTGACACACTGTATAATGAAGAATAATTTTGAAATATGCATCTCTTGGACTTACAACTCCTGTAAAATTTTGTTTTTTCCATCTCTAATAGCAGAGTTGCTATCTCGCTATGTCACACTATTGGTCCACCCTGTATAGGTAGTGGATGTCCATATTTCCAGATATAGTTTGATATTCATCAGATACTTACTTACTTTCAAAAAAACATGGTGTGAATATTTTAATTTGTGATTTTTGCATCACAATAAAACAAATGAATTGGAAACTAATTTATGCATAGATTGACATTCTATGAATGAATACTGGACCATAAAGATAAATTGATTATCACTAAGAGAATAATAACTTCTTATAATAACTCTTGTATATAATAATCATCCACCTATGATCCACCAAGTCCACCTTATAATCCTATAATCATCATATATAATGTTGAATGTTGTCATGGCTACACAAATGTTGTGATGTCAACATTCACAGTTGGATTGTGCTTGAATATTGCTTGGATAATCTGCAAGTCTGTGTTAAAAAAAATGCATACCTACTTTGCTCTAATATAGTTTCCAATTTGGTAATTCAAGATCATTTAAAAACTATGCAGTTGAAATATTTGCAGACAATTTTGGAAGCCCAGGTAATTATTCAAGGTTTGTAGTTGTATTCAAAATATATTCACCCATGTTATAATTTTTCAAGGATTATGATTACAAAATTGTTGGTCTCTGTTGGTCCTCCAACAATCAAAAACTTGCAATAGCAACATCTGATAGGCAAGTACTTTTATTTGATGATAAAGGTGAAAAAAGGGACAGGTTTTCCACAAAACCTTATGATCCAGAAGCTGGCAAAAGATCCTATGTGATTACAGGAATTGCTTTCAGTCCAGATTCCACAAAAATAGCTGTGGCTCAAAGTGACTGCATTGTATATGTTTATAAAATCGGAGAAAAATGGGGAGAAAAAAAGGTAAAACACATTTGGCCAAAAACTAAGTTCTTAACTCCAATATATTACAGGCAATTTGTAACAAATTTCCACAATCTTCTCCTGTTACTTGTTTGATATGGTTATTAACTGGGCCGATTATATGTGGACTTGTAGATGGAAAAGTTAGGGCTCTGCAAATCAAATCTAACAAGGCCCAAAGTCTCTTTGCATCTGATAGTTTAGTTGTATCATTAGCATCAAACTCAAAAGGTGAGTATTGGAATATCAATTTTGATAAGTATTTTCTATTAATTCACATTATCTACATTACTGAATCCTGAACAAAGAACAATTTCTTTGTACAGGGTGGCTGAAACTCAAGCCTCATATTGTTGGGATCTTGTGAATACAGGGTTGGTTGATTTTGAACAATATGTGCAATATGTTTTTGAACAAAATTTATTTTTGAAACGTTTTGAAATTTTAAGTATTTCGCGAATACATTCGGACAGTTTCTGAATTTTTTTAAATATTCAATACTCTTTAAATTTGAGTCATTGAAAACGATTTTGAATTGAAATTTGTGATTGGTCATCGCTATAGCTTTTGCGGTGTCTAAAGGCAACAGTAATGAAATAAAAAATCTAAGTCCAAATATATATATATATACCGGGTGACACAGGGTATCGGGCCACCCCTGTAACTTCTGCATTCGTAAACTGATTTTCCTGAAATTTGGTACAGTTATACAGGGTGAGTCATTGAAATGGGAAAGTGAGATAACGGCTTCTCTTTTTGAGATAGATGAATAAAAATTTTTAATTACTTTGCGTATACAGGGTGACTCAAATATGCGTGGCGTACACTTTTTATTTGGATACCCTGTATTTTATTGCATTTTCGGATTCTCCTTTGTGAGCTGATTCCATCAATACATCATACTCGGGATCTAGCGGGAATGATTACAGTGATATATATAGGGTATTCAAAATCGAGATTTTTCAATTTTAAGATTTTTTTGTGCAATCTTTATGTAATATGTGATGTTTTAGACCAATATTGAATCAAAATAGATTTTTCATTTTACCTTGTGTATAAATGATATGTGATCAAGGCTGTTCACTATGAGTCGCACATAACAGAGAAACGTATTTTTTCTGAAAAATCATTTTTTGTGTCATTTATCGATGAATCAATTCAGTCACATCACATTTCGATCAGAAATTCTTTTTTTTTTCAAATGGAACCCCTTATGGGCTGCCTACATGGCTCTCTAGAACATACATTGAGGAACAAAAATATGTTTTATTATTTTTGTATTTCGTTGCAGTAGCAAATTTTATATGTACATCCAAAAATCAACAAGTGGTTCATGAATTTCCTTGCAGTTCGAATAGTTTTTCAACTAGGTAAGCTGTAAAACAACATTTCTGAATCTTGCTCAACTAATTGTGAAAAAATTATGTTTCTCCGTAATGTGCGAGTGATTGTGAATATACAGGTTAGGTTAGGTTTGTAATACAAAAAAATTCAACAATATATATGTTGTACTCTTTGAAATAAACATATACTCTTGAACGCGTCGTTTTCGAGATATAGGGTGTTGAAAATACGAATCTGAATAATGTTTTTGGATGAAAAATTCGAAACAGTTTGAGATAATTCAACAAAATTCCTCACAGATACTAAACTTCTTACGCTCTATGAGATGAAATGAAAATTATTTCATAAAGTGATTCAGTGGCGGCTGAATCTAGGGGTTGGTGAAAAAAAAATCACCCAAAATTTCATATGTGCATTCAATCGAGTACAAAATGTGAAAACAGATCGATTTCTGCGTATAATACTTCTGGTGTATTTTCAATGCGTTACAACGTTTTCGGATTGAAACGAATTAACAACGAGAAATCTATGCTAATAAAAAATAATAACTGGACAAACACAATGAAACTTCAATTTACCTTCACTACCCCTAGAATCAGCTGCCAATGAATTAATTTATGAAATAATTTTCATTTCCTCTTATAGAGCGAGAAAAGTTCAGTAAGGGAAAAATTCTGTTGATTTCAAACCGTTTCGAACTTTTCAATAAACCAACCAATCAAAACTGAGCTTTATTGTCCAAGAAACATTCTTCCTATTGACAAAGCGTGCAACTAGCAAGTAACTCCTTTCTGATTTTTTTTATGCAGCCAGTTCCTTTGAATTGTTCTGGCAAGTGATTGTAGATTTTTTGCTTTCATATATAATGGAATTTTTTGTTCGAGTCATCTTGGGTATCGGCAGAGACAGGTGACTGTATTTCTAGTGGACATGATATGATTCACCGGTTTTTTGTTCGATGAATGATGTCTGGTGTGGATCAAACAGACTGTTTCCAAAATAAAGAGGCAGGTGAGAGTGAGTATTTGTTGACTGATATAAAGTGGTCTACAATGGTCCCTTGCTTTAGCCCGACACAAATAGTGAATCGCTCTCTTCTGTAGAATAAAGACAGAATTCAACAAATGTTGGCTACAAAAACCCCAGAAGGCTATGCCGTACCTGATATGAAACTCTATGAGGGAAAAATACGTGTTTCTGGCAATAGCAGGACCAAGCTCATTTGATACAACTCTAATGGCATAGCAACCTCTCTGATGCTAATCTTTTTTCTAGTGACGTTACATGTTCTTCAAACCCTAATTTTCTGTCAATATGTATACCTAGGAATTTAGTACTTGTTCTGTTTTCAACTTGGTGTGTACCCAATGTCAGATTTTCAAACTCAAATTTGAAGATAATAATATTTGTTTTCTCCACATTGAAGCATAGAGAGTTTGAATCGCACCAAGATTTGACTTCGTTGAGTTCCTGATAGGCTACAACTAATTTGAGGTTTTCTACATTTTTTCCATGCCAAAGGAGCGTAGTATCGTCAGCAAATAGAGTGAATTTTCCTGGGATTGGTAAGCTTGTTAGATCATTTAGATATAATAGGAATAGAACTGGGCCAAGTACTGATCCTTGAGGAACTCCTGATTTGACATGTGAGAAGCATGAAGTTTCGCTAGAAATTTCAATGGTTTTTTTCTTTTCAAGAAGGTATGATTCAAACCATTTGAGAGCAACTCCTCTGAATCCATAATAATATGTAGTTTTTCCAGCAGTATTCTGTGGTCAACACAATCGAATGCTTTCGAAAAATCGCAGAATACTGCTGCTACTACCTTGCCCTCATTAAGACTGAGATATACATTCACACAAGGAATGACAAAATGGCATCAGTTGTGTTTTTTGAACTTTGAAATCCATCAAAAAACAATATTTAGACTCGTACTTTCAACACCCTATATCTCGAAAACGAAACGTTAAAAAGTATATGTTTCTATGAACTTTTTTATTATTTCAACGAGTACCCGGTGAACAACTTACAACGGCTGTCAGCTCTATCATTCTTCCAACTTTGATAGTTAATATCATCCGTCGGCGAAAAGATATCATGTTGCGGTTTCCGTTGGTCTGTTGAGATTTAGTTTCTCTATTACATCGTGTAATGATATGCATACCATTAGATTTATTCTATCTCAAACTTGTATCATTATTCGTTGCTGAGATATGGCCGACAACCGTTCTTAGTTGTTCACCCTGTACAACATATACTGTTGAATTTTTTGTATTACAAACCGTTTCGTACTTTTCATCAAAAAACAATATTCAGACTCGTACTTTCAACACCCTATATCTCGAAAACGACGCGTTGAAAAGTATATGTTTATATATATTTTTTTTCATTTTTTCAACGAGTACAACACACTGTTGAATTTTTTGTATTACGAAACCGAACCACCCTGTATAGTCAAATCCGAAATGGTTGCTTATATAAGTGTACCAAATTTAAGAAAAATCCGTTTACGAATGCAGAAGTTGACAGGGGTGCGGCCCGATACTATATATATGTTTCACCCAGTATCTTGAAATAATAGGTTTGATGGTATCGTATTTCGAATTTGAAGTTTTCTTGTAGGATAGCAAAGGAGTCAATAAAATTCTTCATTATTTCGATAAATCCCTTCAAACAACTTAAAAAAAAAGTTTCATTGAATTTTGTTTCCTTTTTCTGATATCTCTGGAAGTATTAGGAATTTTCCAAGTTCCAAATATACATTTCGTCATTCGTCAGCAATAGAAACAGTTTTTCAATTTGATGAAAGCTGCGAATGATTAAAATGAAAACGATCAGTATCACAACCACCTCACTTAATAATTTATTTATTTGAAAGGTACTGGATTTTTATCTGGTCATGTAGATGGAAATGTAATTCGTTTCTATATCACAAATGACCATGGGGAAGACGAGGCTCAAGGTAGAATAGCTCTGCATTCTGTACCTCCATATGCCCTTTCTTGGCCCCAAGATCACATCTTCATCGCTGGCTGTGACAAAAGGGTATCCGTATTCAATAACCAAGGAAAATTGGTGAAAAACTTCGACTATAGCAAAGATACGTCGGAATATGATTTCACTGTAGCTGCATGTAGTTCTAGTGGACAGGTAAGCAAATCTTTAACAAAATTGGAGTATTTGCCTTTTACCTCAAAAATACTTGATTTGGGTATCTATCAAAATTGGCGCCCAATATTATAGAGCGCTAAAACCTCTAAGCTGACGGAGTTTCATCTGACTCTTATTATAAATGCTGGTGTTCCGCAAGGAACATTATTTCTACTCCATATCAACGATTTGTTCATGTCCAGTACACAGCTTCGCGGATGATAGTACCCTCCATACCACCTTCTCTTCCAGGGCTCCAATACCAGCCAGGCAAATCAGAAACGAACGAGAAAGAAATGTTGACAACATAAATATGGACTTGGCAACAATTCTCGAATGGGGATCCAATAACTTGGTAGATTTCAATGCAAACACAAGCAGCACCCAAACATACCCTAAAACTGTTGGATTCGGTTCTCGTGGGTGATGCCTCGATCACAAATTCTCTCACTTATCTGGAACACCGTAGAAAAGTTGGCGATCTGGCTCAATTTTATAGATATTTTCATGGACGATGCTCTTCTGAAATATCAACAATTGTTCCCCCCTTGGCAGTCCCGCGAGATTAACCCGTCGAGTTTAAGCCTCGCACCCCTTCGTGGTCACTTTGGGGACCTGCAGAACATCTCTTTCCAAAGACTCATCGCTCATCCAACGAACAGCGAGGCTCTGGAACACATTGCCAAGGGAGGTGTTCCCCGAGGCATATAACCTCCAGAAATTCAAGAAGAACACCAATTCCTACCTTATTTCTCTTGGTTCTCACGAGGTTCTCTGAACATTACAGGATATCCCTATTCGTGGGAACCAGAACATAAAAAATAACATGAAAATGTATCTTTTGGTCTAACTAGATTTACCTTAATTATTACCTGATTGATATTTGTGGTGAATATCACTGTGCTCCATTGTTTGTTTTGCAAGTTCAATATTTTTATTCGATTTAAGGATAGAATTTTATTGTTTCATGAGTTTTTCCATATTTTGCTTAGTTTTCAAGAAATAAAATTGAGACCTGATATATGGATCCAAATTCTAATTCAAGTCCATCCATTGAGATCATTCAATAGCCATATTAAGTATTATTTGGAGATTTTGAGAATTTATCACCTACCACATTGAATTTTGAAATTATGATTTTTTTTTCATTTTTGTGAGTACCATCGCCTATCAAACTTTCCCCGAGTAAATCCTGAAACACCCTGTATTTCCACGCTTATCAAACAGGAGGGTAGGAGTTGATAAATTAGGTATATCCATAATTTTTTAGGGTGGAAATTATCCAAGATTTAATCCCTTTTCGACAGTTTTTGCACTGTTCTCGAGTGAATTCGAAAATTTCATGCAATTAATTATGTAAAGAATATGGTTTTCCTACGAGCGTGCATAAAGTGGGTATAGTAGGTACTTTTCTGCATACATTTGCGTGCGCATGCAGTGCGGATATGATTTTGTTCCGTACTGAGTATCAACAATTTCGTTGGTATGGACAATTTATATTTAGTTTAGTGTGCAAAGTGCATTATCCGCTCGCAAAAACTTATACGAACTCCGCTTCGCGTCGTTCTCCTAACTGTATTTTCATGCGGAAAAGTAACACTTTGTAAACTTGTTAGAAAAATAACTATATTTTATCCCTTTGATATCCTGTTTGATATACGGCCCTGAATATAATATGATATAAAGGTTACTAGTTATGTGGGATCAACAAGTTAGTTATATGCACTGTATGAAATGTCATTATTTTATTTTGAAATAATAATAAAGCCTATACAGGTACTACACTCAGTTCCAAAAAAAGTGACGCACTTGATATTTGACCTATCTTCTTTAAAAAAAAAAAATAGTAGGCCGATTTCTATTTTTTTTTATTTATTGGTAGGTAATGCATTTGTCTTTAAAAAAAATAAAGAGGTGAAAATTTTTTCAAAGTCTCCTTGATGGTGGTGGAATAACTCGAACCATGATTTATTCTTAATTTTTGACTCACCCTGTGTGTTAATTGAGTAATGGCATATAGAAAGTGCTTGCACCCTATACGAAAGAGGCTTCTTTTGCGAGCATTTCGTTTTTTCATTCATTGATTTATCTCTGAAATTTTCCGAATTACTGCTTTTTTTGCTGAATCCTTGCAGATTACCAACTTTCTGAATTTATCGAGAAACAATTTTCTAATGAAATAAACTGATACCAATAATGTTAAAAAATATTTTTATTAAACACAAAATTATAAATTGGGATGACTGCTTAATACCTTGTATTGCCTCCTCTAGCAACTCTAAGAACTTCTAATCTACGAGGCATACTGGAAATTAAGTTGCTTATTATACGATCCCATTCTTCCACTAATGCATCTGCCATTTCTGCGACACTTTCCGGAGACCTCTCGCGAGAACGTACCCTTCTCCCTAATTCATCCCACAAATGTTCTATAGGATTCATATCGGGGCATCTCGCAGGCCATTGTAATGTGGTAATACCAGTAGCTTCTAAGAAGTTTCGCACACTATTGCTGCGGTGTGTGGTCGGGCATTATCCTGCATCAATATAAAATTATTGCCCACTTACTCTGCATAAGGTAAGACATACTCCTCTAAAATGTCAATGTTATTAAATTTTGATCAAACCGTTCACCAGTTCTTCTCCACAGTCTTTTTCTTCCATCCACCATGTTAATTCAAAACCTTGATTCTTCCGTAAACAAGACATTCGACCATTCAGGAATATTCCACTGTCCATATAATTTTCAACAAAATTTCTTCTAGCAGCTCGATGTTCGGGCAATAATTTGGAACCTTTTGCAGGTCTCCTAGCTTTTAAATTAACTTCTTTTAGACGACTACATACCGTCTGCTTACTTAGTGCAACATCACGAATTTGGCGAAGATCTTGCTGAACATTTACCGCAGTATTTGATCGATTTCGTATAATCCGCAATCTCAATAAGCGATCATCTCTTGGAGAAGTTTTTCGGGGGCGACCAGAACCGACCCTCCGAGCGGTGCTTCCTGTTTGTTCGTACTTGCGGATTGCTCTACGAGAAGTTGCTTCATGAACTCCCACTGCACGAGCGGCGTGTAACGGTTACTACGCCCATCGTTTACTTACGCAACTAATCTTGCTACTTGTTAAGGATTTATTTGAGGCATTTTATGTAATTTTAGTCAATAAAACAAGACATTTAATTAATGACAACGACAAATGGTCAAATATAGGCATACAACAAATTAGTTGCTATGACAACGGCATTTGTTTTTTCAAAGACAATGTGATCCTACCTGGGTACAACCTAATCAATTTTGAGTACTCTGATCCTTCAATAAATTTAATTTGTGGGATAAGCGTAAGGTATCAGCAAAAAAGCCGTAATTCGGAAAATTTTAGAGATAAATCAATGAATAAAAAAACAAAATGCTCGCAAAAGAAGCCTCTTTCGTATAGGGTGGAAGCAATTTGTATACCATTACTCAATTAACACACAGGGTGAGTCAAAAATTAAGAATAAATCATGGTTCGAGTTATTCCACCACCATCAAGGAGGCTTTGAAACAATTTTCACCTCTTTATTTTTTTATAGACAAATGCATCACCTACCAACAAATTGAAAAAAATAAAAAGTGCGTCACTTTTTTGGAACTGAGTGTATATCTACACTCAGTCCTATCACCACCAGCAATCCTTTTTATGGATATCCATGTTCCATGCCCAGAAGATAAAAAAATACCTGTGACCTTTTTAGGCTGTGGCAATTGGAAGTTTCAACCGTTTGCGTGTATACACGTGGAATACGAGAAAGTCGATTTGGGAAGAGACCCCTGCCAAAGAGTTGCCCAATTTTTATACACTGACAGCACTAGCGTGGAAACGAGATGGGTCTAAAGTAACTTGTGGTGGATTGTGTGGCGCAGTTTTCATGTTTGAATCAGGTAATTCTCTCACCAGTCTCTGGGAATCAGGGAGTGAATGTTACATGTTTATATGGATTCCATTGCCAACTCCAAATATTGGAATTTCAAATGGAATCATTTAGAACTACGAGTTCAAGTTTTGACTGCGGTGTTCTTTTTGGTGAAATTATATGCACAGAGTAGTCCAAAAATATGTAACGACCATCAGCTTCGTTTTTTAAAATGAAAATATTTTTCATCAAAATTTTCAATTCTGCATAATATTCTAAGTAAGTAGGTGAGGTCTTATGTGAATCAAATCTCTTATCATTCAATATTACAAAAACGAATATAAACTGCTCAACGCATGAAACGTAAAATCGCATTTGTTCGATCAAATTTAACTCATCATAACTTTCAATTCCTCAACCGATTTTCAATTATTTTTCAGTTTCTGAAAGCTCGTTTCATTGACTATCGAACCTATGGATATGACTATTTCATCTTTCCCGGATGAGATTCTAAAAGACGATAATCAAAACTGTGCATTTTTCCAAAAATTACTGAAATATGAATGTTTTATTAAGATAATGCATAATTTGATGCTCTAATTTCTATTGGCTTTGTGTTCCTGTCAATCTGGTTCGAATGGTGGTCAAAAATCTTGAAATGATGCATGATCAACCTATTCTTATATACAGGGTGGTCCAACTGCTTGTTAAGAATTCATGTGTTATTGAATTTTCATACTTTTCATGATCACTTCAATGTAAGATTCAATTAAACGTGAGAGTGATGTGATTTGAACTGGTGTTATTCATGAAAAGTCATAAAACTGGAACATTGTGACTGTGATGGAATTCAATATGAAAAATTCAGATTTTTTATGAGTCAGCACTTTACATATCCATGTGACTCATGTCTCCATTCTTTTGAATTTCGACAAATATTCATATAATCTCCAGAAGTTCAAACAAAATTCCAATACCTACCTCCTGTCCCTATCCTCCCTAGGAAAGCACGATGTTCTTTGAACATTATAGGGATTTCCTTTCGTGCGCTCCAAGCGATAAAAAAAATGTAAAAAAGTTCACCGCAAATGAAATCACATCCTGATACTCGTTAATCTACTGCAATTGTGATGAATTCTGTTAATTGCATGGTATATGTCTCGGCAGCAATAACTATTTTTATTTAGACGACTTCCTGTATATTTCTTCAGTCTATCTCATTTTCCTTGAAATTATCTTTCAAAAATCTATCACAAAGTGAGAACGACGCTCTGAAAATCCGGTTTTTCGAAATTTTCTTGCTCGCCAAAACAAGATTTTTTTTATTACTTGATGTCATAATTGTTGTTTGAGGACCACCCTGTATATAAGAATAGGTTGATCATGCATCATTTCAAGATTTTTGACCATCATTCAAACTAGATTGACAGGAACACAAAGCCAATAGAAATTAAAGCATCAAATTATGCATTATCTTAATAAAACATTCATATTTCAGTAACGCGTGTGACAATTCCAAAAAGTTTTTTACAGTATCGAGAAAACATATAAAGCAATATGTTTTTGACCCCAAAAAATAATGATAATCTTTCAAACGGGAGGCGCTTGGAAAAATGCACAGCTTTGACTATCATCCTGTGGAATCTCATCCGGAAAAGATGAAATAGTCATATCCATAAATTCGATAGTCAATGAAACGATCTTTCAGAAATTGGAAAATAATTGAAAATCGGTTGAGGCAATCGAAAGTTATGATGATTCAAATTTGATCTAAAAAATGCGATTTTACGTTTCATGTGTTGAGCAGTTTAGTTCCAAGGAGAAAAACTGAAAGTCGTCTCCACAAGTTTTAATGGTGAATGGCGCAGTCAACTCAGCTTCATTACTTTTGATGAGATATGTTTCGACCATTCAAATGGTCATGAGTCATCGTACATATCGCACACCCAGAACAACAGTGTCGTATTATGTTGAAAAATCCCAAAATCGACTTTTTTCTATCGATGAATAGTCGAAAATTCGACGCGTATACCACGAAGACAGGCTTATTTATATCTACGAAAATGTCCAACAGATGCCTCTATTATTTCGAAAACGAAGCATCTTGCGAACAATGTTTATAGGAACTTTTGCTTTCTAGGGTATCCTACCCATAGTCGCAATTTTGCTATCAAACAGAGGACCACCCTGTATGTACAGGATATTATCAGCATGCAACATCTTGGCAGTAGATTCCACTAAAAATCTGAAAAAAGTTAAGATTAAATGGGGCCAAAAAATATAATAATAATAATAATGATAATAAATCGCTTTTATTGATAGTAAGTATAAATAACAGGTACAATGAGTAAATTCACAAATAACTTTGATGCTTACTATCAAATGGCAGAGTTAGCGTTTACCCATGTGTGAAATTAAATTATTATTTCAGCATAAATCATTTTATCTCAAACCGGTTCGGAAACAATAAAAAATACCTTCGACCCCCTTCAAGGAATCCACTGCCAAAGTATAGCACGCTAAATGAGACACCCTGTATAATTGTACTGTTTTTCTGATAGTATTGAAGAGGACCGTTTGGAAGGACAAATTCGAAATAACTTATGTAGGCCCAAGTCAGGTGCTAGTCAAACCATTAGACACCAATGAGAGAGGTGTTATTCTGAAATCTCAACGTGGTGGGGAAATAGAAGACGTTAAAATAATGGGCAAAGACTGTTATCTAGTTGCTAGGACAGACGACACCCTCCTCGTAGCTGATTTAACAAGAAATCTTTTGAGCGAGGTAAATCTAAGTAGTTTTAGTTTATTAATTTGAAACAGAGCTCGTATCGGAAATATTATGGTTTACAGTCCCTTTTTTCTATGAAACGGTGTGGAATTCCATAATCTAAGATCAAATTCTCGAAAAATATGCATACAGAAAAGTTTGAGCAATATTATATATTAATTATACACTCCTGAACGAGATTTTGGAATCATTTCACTGTATCGGGCATGGAAAGTTTAGTTCTTGTACCGAATTGCATAATTTTATCACATGTCGTTTCTGTCCCTTGATGTATAATGTACTATTTTATTTTATAAAAACGAGGAGAGAAAATCCCAAAAAATATCTGGAATAATGGAAAATCCATACCTTGGTATTTGGATTGATGAAAAGTTAACATGGGACAAGCATCATATTGGCATCTGTACTATATTAAAATGCATTAAAAGTACTGTATCGTCTTCCATATGACACCCCATCAAATCAACTTTATGAAGAAACAAATACATTTTCTTTGGAAGAGCACTATCTGATAAATACTCTCAAAATTTCTTTTGATATTATCAACAAACACCTCAAATGTAACTTCATATTGGTAAGGAATTCTCTATTCCATGAACATCATACTAGACAATATGACTTGTTTCATCTTGATGCTGCTAATTCTACACTTGGCCAAAAAAAGTTCACTCACGGAGCTATCCCAAAATTCAATAAATTACCTGATGATATCAAAAGTTGCAAAAATATCACCCAATTCAAAATTGAAATAAAAAAACATATCCTCTTGCAAAGAGAAAATCAAACCTGAGTGGATGATTTCTCATTCACTAATTTATTTCATCATATCATAAAGTACTTTTCATGAGCTTTTTGTTTTATTATTATTATTATTTTTGAATCTGTTGTTTATTTCAATAACTTAGATTTAATAACGCAGGAATAATCTCATACTAGATATAAATCTGTCTGATTACTCATGTTATTCCATTGTAAGTGTTTATAAAATATATTTATATGAGATGCAATATGCAATGTAATGTTTATAACAAAGAATAAAATATAGTTATTTATTATACAAGGGAAAAAAGTAGCAGATTTTAGCTCCAATCTAATATTTTCCCGTGTATAATACACTATTTTTTTCTGTGACAGAACAAAGGACGAATCAATATTGAGAAGATATTACTTTATTTTGAAATCTGAAAATTATCGACGTGAAATTTTAAGTTTTTAACAGTAGGCACACCTGCGTTGTAGGCATCCTTATCATTCTTTTGAAGTAATCAAATATCTGATGTCACTTCTGTCAGTCTAATTCTGTGATTTGATTCCAAAAAATTGCGAATTTAGTGGTTGTATAGTAATATACGTCACCGCGAAGTCGAATGGAAGATAAAAGGACTTGCAGTTCTTTCTCGGAGATGGTATTATTGACTAATTTTTCGGAACTATAGCACAACAAAAGCCATCAACAGTGTATATATATGTGATATATATATCCGGGAAAAAGAACTCACTTCTTTCCCACGGGAAAAAAGTAATTTTCTTTGGAAGAGCACTATCTGATAAATACTCTCAAAATTTCTTTTGATATTATCAACAAACACCTCAAATCTAACTTCATATTGGTAAGGAATTCTCTAATCCATGAACATCATACTAGACAATATGACTTGTTTCATCTTGATGCTGCTAATTCTATACTTGGCCAAAAAAAGTTCACTCACGGAGCAATCTCAAAATTCAATAAATTACCTGATGATATCAAAAGTTGCATAAATATCACCTAATTCAAAATTAAAGTCATGAAACATATTTTCTTGCAAAGAGATAATCAAACCTGAGTGAATGATTTCCCATTCACTAATTCATTTCATCATGTCATAATGTACTTTTCATGAGCTTTTTGTTTCATTATTATTATTTTTGAATCTGTTGTTTATTTCAATAACTTAGTTTCAATAACGCATGAATAATCTCATACCAGATATGAATCTGTCTGATTATTCATGTTATTTCATTGTAAATGTTGATAAAATATATTTTTTCTACAAACGTCAAAAAATGACAAGGTTCACGCATTGATAACAAATTGCGAAGTGACACTTTTTTCAGTTTCCTACGTTACCATGATACCTTGCACATAACAATGCGCGAAGTAAAACAGTGCGCGAAGTACCTACTTCGCGCATTGTTATGTAAAATATATGAGATATTTATATTTCAACTTCATGGTCCTCAATCGAGCAAACATCCACGAAATCATTTATTTCTGAATGTTCAACAATAACTTTGTCTTATCTCTTGGAGCGCACGAAAGAAAATTCCTATTATGTTCGTTGAACATCGTGCGTACCTAGGGAGGATAGGGGGAGGCATTTCAAGCCAGTTCAACACTATTTTTCATATCAAGCTGAGCATATTTTTACTTTAGAACTATATTTTTTGACGTTTGTAGAAAAAATTTTGTTTGCAACTCGAGCGCGAAATACTTTGGTCATCTCGACTATTTTTTTAACTCGGCTACGCCTCGTTAAAAAAATCAGATCTCGATCACCAAAGTAGCATTTCGCGCTCTAGATACAAAAATAACTATATATTCATATGAGATGCAATGTAATGTTTATAGCAAAGAATGACATAAATATATTATTATCATTATTGTATCCTATTCTGTTCTCTGATGAAGGTACCATGGAACAATTCCGGTCGACACGAGAAGTTCTACTTTGAAAACGCCACCGTTTGCCTGGTCTTTAACGCCGGCGAACTGACCCTCATCGAATACGGGGAGAACGACATCCTTTGCTCGGTGCGCACTGAATTCGCCAATCCGCATCTGATCAGCGTTAGATTGAACGAGCGAAACCAAACTGCCGACAACAAGAAGCTGGCTTATCTGTTGGACTTGAAGACCGTTTGCATTGTGGATCTGGTGAATGGTTTCATGGCGGGGCAGATAAGTCACGATTCGAAAATCGATTGGCTGGAGATGAACGAGATCGGGAACAAATTGTTGTTTAGGGATAAGAAACAAAGGTAAAGGACTAGCTAGGAAAAAGCCAAATACTCGAAGTAGAATGCAATGGTCACAAAGAGACAAACTCAAAGTCATTTCCACAATATTTCATAAAATAGATAACGAGAGAAAAACAACATTTTCGTTTATTTTATGAACTATTGTGGTAATGACTTTGTGTTTCTCCCCATTGCATTCCACTTTGAGTATTTGGCTTTTACCTAGTTGAAAATATGCCAGTCAGGCAACCAGCCACTCCCATTTTTACTGAAATGGGAGATTGTTTTGGAGTTTTTCCTTCCTTGCCAGGTGGCGTTCAGCGTTCGCGTTTCATTTCGCGGACGTTGTACGCCTCGTGGGGTATAAATGCTGAGATGCGTTTCTGTTGGGTCAGATCGTTACCACCGATACAACAAGGCCAGCAGACTCTGACGTAAACAGCTCGTGACGTCGCCAAGTGAGGCCAGTGTTTTATTTTATCGCTTGTCGACTAACGCGTCAGTTCGTGTTAATTCATCGGCGATTCACGTATGTTTTTGAAACGGTCCCGAATTCTTTTGTTGTTTATTCATCAAAATAATTGGCGGAAAAATTACTGTTTTGTGAAATATTTTGTGTTGTGATCGGCGAAATAACAATGCCTTTCAAGTGTTGTGTTTCCTTTTGTCGGGGGAATCATGTGGGTGGTTCAAAGTTCATGCTTTTAGTTTCCCGTTGGACGAGGAGCTATCGAAAATGTGGGTAAGTATATGCAATTCACCGCGAGGATTTTACTCCATCTAAGTATCTAAGTTCAGTAGTAAACAGAGCTTAATTTATAATGATGAATTAATAATAGAAGACAATTACTCTCTCATAAAAAGTATAAGTAGAGGAAAAATGGAAAAGCTTTGATTGTGCAGTTAGTTTTGTATTCGTATATTATAGTCAACAAAATCATCTCTGAATTCGAGGAAATTTTCTTGAATGTTCATAATAAACGGGCATTTTTAATTCTCATTCTCAAATTTCTTTCTGAAAACGGTCATTTGCCTCGTGGCAATGACTGCAGAATTCATTCCAATGATCAAATTGCAACTATCATATTAACATGAACTACAAACACTCTACTCAAAAAAAGTAAAACTGCATTTATCATGATATTTATCATGAAGATATTTGACTGAAAAGTGCAAAATTTCACCTTCTTTTTCACCTGTCTTCTGGATGGCATTTAGAACAAATTTCCCTTCTTTTTTCATCATATTGGATAATTTATATATAATTCAACTATAATTATGATTTTCTTGAGATTAATCCATATTTAGTGAAAAGAAGGAAGAATATCATTCAAAATAATGGCGTGTGTAATGTCATTCGAAAGCAATCTATTGACATTTGACATCTTGTATTTTGATTGACTATTGATTAAATGGTCGTCATCTGGAATGCTTGTTCAATATGAAAAACTCGCCATAAAAATCATATTTCCTGTTGTATTCTCTATATAAAAATGTGCCATCGAAGTACATCATAAGTATATAAAGTGTCCAATGACAAAATAAGAGCAAGTAGCTTCAAATGCCCCCAACACAAGGGGAGAAAGAAGGCGAAATTCCGAACTTTTTCTTGAAATATCTCAATAAATAGTGGTTTGTTCACATTTTCATTATAAAATTCGGTTTATCAGACAAAAATACGTGAGTACCGAAAAAAATTTACAAAAAAAAAACATCGCATGATAAATGCAGCTTTACCCTTAAAAATTGCGGTTTCAAGTGTAACGATCCACTTGGGTTAAAAATCCAATAACAGAAAATTGAAAACACTCACTGGTTATTTTTTCAGGTAATAGGAATTCTCCAAGATAAATATAGGTAATTGTAACAAACGGCATGTCAATCAAAATAAAATACATTTTCCACAATTTTCTTTCGATCAATCTCACGATAAGTTTATGTTCTGTGGGCCCTGTATAAGTAGGTGTGAAGTTTACCTTCACCACAATTTTTGCCAATATATTTAATTCGAATGGGTTGCTGTAGGTGGATATTTGTGTTTTATCCTGGTTTTTGCTTTAAAACTTCGTTTTTCCATAATAAAATCGAATGGGGTGCGAAGAAGGGCTCAGTTGACGACTGGCATCCTTTTTTAACCGGAAGCCCTTCAAAAAACAGCAAAATCGGCTCAATGATGATCTAAAACTAAAATCGAAATACGCGGTCGCCTTATAGCGCTATAAGCGCTTGTCGTTTCGAGCCGCTGGTTAGGCCTGACTAAGTGACGTCACCCACGGAGCATGCAGGCCTTGTTGTATCGGTGGTAACGGTCAGATTCGCACCAGAATAGAGGTCAAGAAGCTATCTGGCACAGCCCTGCACTGATGAGAGCTAACAGCCAGAAAAGTAGTTGTTTCTCTCTCCGTTATCTACCATTTTCGTTCATTTTATGAACTATTGTGGTAATGACTTTGGGTTTCTCTCTTTGTAAAATACTAGTATTGCATTCATTTGTTATGCCCACAGGGTAGCTGCTAACCAATGTCTTATTATTTTGAAACTAATAGTCCAGGATCCACCGCCTGTTTTGGTGGTGAGTAAGTCGCCCAAGTTTTTACTCTGTGAAAATTCTCCATAGAGGAAGCTAATGTACTGACCAGCTGTAAAACATGTCGATTTGGTGGGTTGTCGGAATTGCCTGACTAACAGTCAGTTTTTTAAAGAAATGTTGAGATAATTGTATTATGACCTCCGAAGAACAATTGTCCTACAAAATGGATGGTTTGTTTGAAGAGTCCTTTACCCCAAATATGTCGAAAAAATCATTGATAGCTAGCTGATTTTTTGTAACCAGTTTTGTAAATGTTGTTAGGATGAAATGAAATGATGCTTGAAAGTTGTCAATTCCACGGTAAAACAAAGCGGTGCATCCTGAACTATAAATTCAGAGTATTAGAAAATGAGTGAATTTATCTTATTTTGAGTAAATTTGGCAACGTCGCATGAATCACCTGCTGATATTGATATGGTTTCCGGAAACAACAATATTGAAATGATTTCTCACTTATTTGATACTTTGAAGCAATCACTCTTATATTAGGTGTAAATAGAAGAAATTTGACAAAATGAGTAGAACATGGAGTCTCGAATGTGTTGAAACCTTGAAGTTTCAAAATTATTTCAAAAACATCAATACATGTTTTCAAAGAATAAGATCTTGAAATGTTAAGAGATTCAGGATATATATTGTCAGCAAGAGTGAATACTGTTTCGGCTCACCAGCCTCATCAGTCAGTCTCAATCAGCAGACATATTCAATATTAATTATTATTATTTTAAAATAATTGTAAGACTTTTCACTGATCACTAGATTATTATTCAAAAAATTTCAGTCTCATGGAAAAATACAATCATTTCTGTGCGAAATTGACGGAATTGCATGCTCGTATGCCAGTTATAATAAGCTTCTTTGAACAAAAAAATATTCATTGCATTATTTTGAAGTACTTACCTAAATTAGTTCACTCCCAGTAAACACATTCATTATATTTACATACATATGCCGTCAATTTCATATAACGAATCTTCTTACGTATTAATTATATAACATATTCGTAACTATGATTATGTTGATACAATATCTCGGGAATTATGTCAATTTCACATGAATTTGATTACCACAAATTTTTCTTCAACAATTGCCGTATCTCTCGAGTTTTCGCGAACGAACACGAACGATAGAGTGTAGGTCTCGTCACTCTCATCTAGTCGTCTCAAGTTAGAAATAAAATGGCGTCAGCATTGTTACGTTTTGTAGTGTGTTGTGTTATTTGTTATTAGGTCATTTCTGACCACATTCCAATAGTCATGATGACTCTATCTCTTTACAGACTTGTTCTTGTCGATGTAATGACCCAAATGAAGCAGACCATGTTCAGCGGGGTGAGTTTCGTACAGTGGGTGGAAAACAGTGACGTGGCCGTAGCTCAGGCTGATACCACCCTGGCGATTTGGTACAACATCGATTTGCCCGAGAACCCCACTTTGATGACGATCAAAGGAGACGTTATCGACGTCGTGAGGAATAACGGTAAAACGGAGGCCATTTGCGTCGAGGGAAATAACACTTTCAATTTGGAATTGGACGAGGGATTGGTTGAATTTGGTATGTGACCATGTGTTTTCCGAATATTTTGGTTCGATCCCTTTATTTTTCACATAAGATGTCATGAACACTATAATTCCATTTAGAAAAATGAATATAGCATTATATTTATAATTATTGTTCATGTATTGGTTTAATGTTTATCAACCCACATGTCAGTTATAAACTTTCTTACACAAATATTACTATCCATGATGAATCAAACCACCCCTTTTCACATAAACGAGTTTAGATCTATTCCCGAAGATGCTAACATAGTTAGCGAAACACGTGTCCAGGCGTTAAAAATTTTGTTTGGTTACTGGTAAAACAATGCAGTTTGATTATACTGCCGAAGGTTTCAGTCTTCAATATAATCAATTTTTGTGATCTCAGGAATAGACAAAGTGGAGTTCATAACTTGTTCTCGTAGTAATCTATTGTTCTAACAGAAAAACATAGAACCTCTGCATTAACCAACATCGAGTAAATACTATGAAAATGAGAACGAATTCAACACATTTTGTCTCCCATATTATGGAACACGAATCCTGGAAGTATTCTCATTAATCTAGGGAAGTATGCGCAAGAATCTATAGGGAAGTGCTTCCAAAAACTCAGAAAAATATGCGCAGTAACCTATTTCCAATAACCCAGGGAAGTATGCGCATGAACCTATGGAAGTATTTCAAACAACTTATGGAAGTATTTCCCAGGAATCTAAGGAAGTACGCCTAAAACATATGGAAGTACTTCCAAGAACCTAAGGAAGTACGCCTAAAACATATGGAAGTACTTCCAAGAACCTAAGCAACTATTCACAAGAACCTATAAAAGTATTGCCACAAACGTAGGAATGCCTTCCCAAAAAACTCGGAAAGTATTCTCAAAAATCTTAGTGAAGTATTCTCAAAAACCTAGGAAAGTATTCCCAAGAACCTAGGCAGATATTCCAAAAAACTTTGAAAAGTGTTCCCAAGTACTTGGGCAAATATTTTCGAGAATCTACTGAAGTATATCGAAAAAACTCCAATACCTACGTTTCCTGTAAACTGTAAACTGCAATAATAACTTTCAAGAAAAAAATTCAAAGAAGAATAACCATTTATATTTTGTCAGCCTGAGAGTTTCCGACAAAAGTGCCGCCTTGAACGATAATTACTTCAACCGGGCCATACGGTCTCCCTCTCGGAAGCATTATGCTACTCACATCATGGAAGAAAATCAGATTTTATAACTCGCCAGTATCGAAATAAGGAAAATTTTTCAGAATTCAACACCTCCTTACTCTTGATATTGATATTAATGGCGTCGCTAGCGAATCTTCGTAAAAAGTGTTCTGCTTCATGAATGTCAGTATATTTATCCTTCAACCTAAGAACTCTTAAAATTATCATAAGAACCCACAGATGTTTTCCCAAGAATCATTATAAGTATTACTAAGAAACTAGGGAAGTATTCCCAAGAATCAAGGAAGTATGTCCAAGAGCCTGAGAAATCACTATAAATTACTCAAGCAAGTATTCTCGAGAAGCTAGGGAAGTATGCGCAAGAATCTAGGGGAGTATGCCCAAGAACCTAAGAATGCATTACCAAGAACCTAGGAATGTACTTCCAAGAACCTAGCCAAGTATGTTCAAGACACTAGTGTTAGATTTTTGGGAACGGATAGCTATCACACACACAAACATAATATACCAATTTATTTCTCAAAATTATAATGTTAATATTGAACAAAAGCAGAACGGCAAATATTCCGAGCGACTCCATCCAATCTGACAACTCGAATGCCTTTCTATGAATCGACCGGTAGCGGTTGTGCTCACGTAATTCGACAATACACGTTTCTTATCAGACAAAACAAGTTGAATTTCAAGCAATGAGTAATCTACAGTTGGATATAAATTTAAGACACTACAAAATAATTAACAATTAATAGTTATTTAACCAACTAGTGTATTAATGAGGGCGATTAATGATCGAGATATTTTAACGTGCGAGCGAAGCGAGTGCGTTAATGTTCGAGATCATTAATCGCCTTTTAATATACAAGTTGGTTACAAAATTTTTCCGTCGACTATATTTCTCATTTCTCCTGCAATGAAGAAAACTTGGTTCGCGAATTCATCATCCATCTGGAAATTGCTAAGAATCACCCAGTAGCCTTTTGTTACTGACATTAGTGTCATTTGACATTTGTCGAAATGATCAACATAGGAAATAAACTCCTTGTGTTAGAAAACAGGGATTAAAATCGTGTCAGAAACTTGGAAAGGCGAACCCGTTAACGGAAAATTGTCGATGAAATCCATATTTTCGATTTAAATGCAGATTCCGCTAGTTATAGCATAAACAATGAATGCACGCGGTGTATGTTTGGTTGCCTATAAAACAATCGTGCATTAATAGACAAATCGTCCATTAATAGGGGTCATTAATGAACGATTTCATATACATTAAACTTAGTCGTTAATACGAGGTCGACGGAAAAATACATTTTCAAAATATCTAACACTAGGGAAGTATTCTTCAGAACTTAGGAAAATATTTACTAGAAGCCATTAAAATATTTTGAATTGACTCGACTCGTACTTGATGGAAATCCATGGAAAATGTAAAAACTTCACAAACGATAAAATTTCTACAAAATTCTCAAACACACTGGTACCAGTATATCACCTGACGAAGCTACTGTGTTAGCGAAACATGTCGTGTGTTTGAGAATTTTGTGGAAAAATATGCCCAATAATCTAGGTTAGTACCAAGAACCTGAGGAAGTATGCCCAAAATCCTTGGGAAATACTTCCAACGAACTAGACAAGAATCCTCGAGCCCCTAGTACCTAAGAACTTAGGGAGTATAATCAAGCAAAGTATTCCCAAGAAGCTAGGAAAGTATTTCCAAGAATCTTAAGTAAACATTCCCAAAAAACTCCAATAATTACATACTTTTTCTCTCTTCCACCCAAGTCGCCACAAAATTCTACTAAACATGATGGGGAATATAGGGATTCCCTTTTGTGCGATGCACAAGTTGAAGAAACAAAAATAAAAACACTATATCTCGACTGATTAGTGTATTTATGACAGAAAAACATCACGTAATACTTTTTCAGGAACCGCCTTGAACGACAACGACTTCAACCGGGCCATTCTGTTCCTCGAGAGCATAGAAAACTCTTCGGAGGCAGAAGCGATGTGGCGCACGCTCTACATCATCGCCATGAAGCTGCAGAATTTGTCGCTCGCCGAACGGTGCAGCAACGCTCTCGGAGAAGTGGCAACGGCGCATTTCCTTCGCGAGACCGCTGTGGAAGCGGAAAAGTTCGTGGAGAAGTATAACGACAGCCCGAGCAATTCTCCGGAAGTGTGGGCGCGACTGTCGTTGCTCTATGGGGATTTGAGTACCGCGGAGAATATTTTCTTGGAGCAGGGGAATATCGAGAAGGCTCTGGATATGTATAAGAGATTGCATAAATGGGATGAGGCTTTAAGGTAAGGAATCTCAGATCCCAGTTTATTAGATGATTTGGAAAAACAAACAACTTAATCCATACAATTTTTTGTGGTTATTGTCTTGAAATACACGGTTCGGTTGGGATGGCGCTTGCACTAAGAAGTGGTAGGGATGAAAGTTACCGGCTTTTCAGGACCCGCATGACTTACCATTCATTTACAATGAATCATTGAAGGAGTGATCAACGCGGCTATGCATTTGAAGCCTATACCTACTATCAAAATATGGTGCCGAAAGACTTCGAACCCCTGAAGATATCGATCGTGTTCGACAAGCGATATAATATACACTGTGTCCATAAAGTCACCCCCCCCTGGTTAACTTTAGAACGGATGGGATTTTTGTTTTCAATTTTTTTTTGCTTCAATGGTAGTTTCATTGCTACATATTGTTCCAAAAAAAAAACATGTTTCATCCAAAATGGCGCCTGGGCGCCATTTTGGAAATTTTTTTTAAATGGAGTGGGGGGTCGAAAGATACCTCGATTGAAAGGTCTTTCGATTCTCTATACAACCTCAGAATCTCAGACGAAAATATTCATCCAAAACAAAATGGCGGAGGATAACGTTTGAAATCTCACACCAGAATTCTTTCGACTAGATGGCTATTAAAGTGCTCGCATGTGATCTTCAAATCTCTATTGGCATATAGAAAAGTTCTCTATCTATGAAGATATCAATAGAAAGCCATTTTGAAGAGAATAACATGGTAGTCACGTGGAATAAACACTGTTCTTTATTTTGAATAAATATTTCTAAAATTTTGCAGAATTTGGAAAGGCAATCGAGCAGAGGTAATAATTGACTACCATGTTATTCTCTTCAAAATGGCTTCCTATTGATATCTTCATAGATAGAGAACTCTTCTATACGCCAATAGAGATTTGAAGATCACATGCGAGCACTTTAATAGCCATCTAGTCGAAAGAATTCTGGTGTGAGATTTCAAACGTTATTATCCGCCATTTTGCTTTGGATGAATATTTTCGACTGAGATTCTGAGGTTGTATAGAGAATCGAAAGATCTTTCAATCAAGGTATCTTTCGACCCCCCACTCCATTTAAAAAAATCTTCCAAAATGGCGCCCAGGCGCCATTTTGGAGGATACATATTTTTTTTTTGAAACAATATGTAGCACTGAAACTACCATTAAAGCAAAAAAAAATTGAAAAAAAAAATCCCATCCGTTCAATAGTTAACCAGGGGGGGGTGACTTTATGGACACAGTGTATAACCATTGTCGGCTAAATGTGAGAAAAAATCAAGTTGCCTGGACTATCTATAACAAATCATTCAGAAACTGGGGAATTTCCAGACAAAATAAAAATTGGGTCAGTAATACCGATATTAAGAAAAGGTGACTCAACGTCTATTGAAAATTATCGGCCTGTAAAAGTTCCAACTGTATTATGTGAAATAATCGAAAGATCCGTTTATGTAAAAATGCTTGCATTTCTACAAGAATTCCATATAATAACCAAATTCCAGCATGATTTCTGCCGAAGTAAGTCAACGGAAAGCGCATTTCAATTTTTTTTTCAAGTGTGTCTATAATTCACTTGACAGAAGGAAATATGTCGGTGCACTCTTTTTCGACTTATCAAAAGCATTTGACATTATTGACCCCGATATTATATGCAAAAAACTATATTCGCTTGGATTCAGGGGTATCTTCCTTTAATGGCTTATATTTTACCTTATATCTTACCTCACAGAAAGATACACGTTAAAGTCGGCAATTGTCAGTCGAAGCAGTATGACATTGATCTTGGAGTTCCTCAAGGTTCTATATTAGGTTTACTCAATTTTCCTCTATTCTATAATATTGCAATCAATTATTATTCGAAAATTATCATTGATTTTTCTTATTGACTCAAAAGTGGAATTTCATTTTTATTCTTACATCAGGATTAGGAAGTCAAATGAATACAAAATTGAAATTATATATTCTCGTTCAAATATCACAATATATTGTACAGGGTGAGCGAAGCTCAATGACTCAGCACTATCAGAAGAATGAAAAACGATAGAAACAGTTTGAAAAGGGGTTCTTCAATGGTATTGAGTACCTAAGGTATCTTTCAAGCCTAATTTTTAAGAGTATCTATTTTTCCATCGAGTTTTCCATAAACATGTCACTATCAGAATGTGAATGAAAGGTAAATAAAAGTACAATGTTTGGACGACTTGGTTCATTAAAGATAAATATCTTCGTCTCCCAGAATGTACACCTTCATTTTTTCCTTTATGGAGAAGAAGAAGCTCGAAAGGTAAACCTGAAAAAACAATATGATGTAGCTCTTGAGTTCAAGAATTTGAACTTGTAGTTTTTACCTTCATAATGTTTTTTTAGTACCTCATCAAGATTATCATTCTTCTTTTTACTTTTTGTTTCAGTGTTTTCACTTTACTTTGCAATAGAATAGGCCTTCTCGAATGAAACAGTCTGGGAGTTTCATTGTCAATAAACTTTGAAACTTGGGAGCTGGAAGTTGTAGGCAAATCAATGTCCAAATGCAAAACATCGTCCTTAGAATCCAAGTTATGAACATCCTGAAAATAAATCACTATATGTACTACATGAAGAACAATTTCTGTCGTCTTCCTTGTTTTTCATCCATAGGCAACAAATTATAAAAAAACATTGTTTATTAATTCGGAATCACAATCCTTTTCAACAACAATCAATTCACACCAACAAATTCAGTCGTTTTGAAGAGACAACCATATTTAGCGATATTTCACATAACAAAAAACTATTCAGTTCTGTCATAACTTGTTTTGCCTGTTTAGATAAAAAAAAGATCTCAAGTACTCCAATCATTGGATAAAAGAAAATGTATAGACCAATTCGCCATTATACAAAACAGGTGTGAAAGAGACTGGTTACCGTAACACAAGCTATCTTTGTCGCAGCTGCCCCTGACACACTCTGTGCTATTCGAGATAACGGCAGTCTCCCTTCCAGTTGTTCAATGGTCCTCACAGGCCGGTTACGTTCACCCCCACCACTTTGAGCGCGCTGCATCGCCATCTAAAATCGTCCCGTTTCATTGTCTAACCCTGTGGCCAAAGAAGATTAGGTGTATAGCGTTAATCTTCTTTGCTGTGCCGCTGTGGCCTCTACTATATGTATAGTCCGGCTCGTATAAGATGAACGGAAGAAAGAATGTGAGCCCAGATCACATTATAAAAGTTGCGATCATCAACTCCCTGTCAATTTGAAAACGAAATCCCAAGCGCTTGCTACAAATGGTGGTATATCAGTTATTTTCAGGATGTTCATAACTTGGATTCTAAGGACGATGTTTTGCATTTGGACATTGATTTGCCTACAACTTCCAGCTCCCAATAAAAATCCTATCATTTTAGAAAATATAATAAACAGAGACTTGATGAAATTTGAAAATTGGCTGCATTCAAACCTCTTATCAATAAATACTGATAAAACTGAATATATGATTTTTCAACAAAAAAATAAACAAAATATAAATTTAAATCTCAGAATTAAAAATGAATCTTTGAAACAAACTAATGAGAAAAAGTATCTTGGGATTTGGTTTGATGATAAATTGAAGTGGGACAAACATATAAATGTTTTGAAGAAAAAAATATCTCCTATTATTGGAGCCCTGAGAAGATGTCCCAAGCTGAATAAAAAAGTTGCAAATATAATTCTATATTCTCATATACTCAGTCGTATTAACTATTTGATAAATGTTTGGGGATACTGTTCAAAAAACAATTTTAATAAAATATCTGCATTATATAAAAAGACATTGAAAGTACTGTATCGTTTACCATATGATACACCAACAAATCAATTATATAAAATAACTGAATCATTCTCATTAGAAGAAATGTTCAAAATCGAAAGACTGAAAATTACATACAATATCATAAATAAAAGATTGAAATCTAATTTTATTTTAACACGAAACAATGAAATTCATAATTATCAAACTAGACAACATGGTTTATTTCATCTTGATATCGCTAATACTTCTATAGGCCAAAAAAGATTCACCCACGCTGCTCTCTTGGAATATAACAAATTACCAGATAATATAAAAAATTGCAGAAATACAATAAAATTCAAATACCATCTTAAAAAATTTATCATTTCTGAACGAAATAGATGACTTACTTTTGATTCATATTGAAATTGATTTTTGCTCAGCAATATGAAATGATTTGTCAAAATTTAATAATTAATGTTTTCAAATATTTTATTGTTCATCAGTTTATTATAATTGTATAGTTTTAGGTATTATTGTTAACTATACTTCCTTATACCAGAACTTGATTCTGACTGGAAGTAACATTTTCAATAAATAAATAAATAAATAAATAAAAATTCTGAACACAAAAAAAAAAAAAAAAAAAAAAGGTGCAGTGAGTCATATCGTTCGTGACTTGATAAAAGCGACGTAATCTGCAAAACCGAATTGTTTGGATACTTAAAGCACAGCGTACTGAATGTCTATCTTTTCCCTTTCGTCCCCGGTCTTCTTTGGCGAGTCGAACTATATTATGTAACATAACTATATAGTTTGGGAAGTGACTGATATCGCTAGTAAACGTTCGAGACCTCTGTACTATCTTTTGATGTTGATGTTTTTTCAGGCTCGCTGAACAAAGAAATTACGAACATTTGGAGGACCTCAAAAACGAGCATATGTCGCTGTTATTACAGAGTGGACAGTACGAAAAGGTCGGACAGGTTTTGGAAAAGGAAGGCAAATATCAGGAAGCTCTGGACATGTACATGAAATCCAATAAACTCCTGAGAGTACCGCACTTGCTTTCCAAGTCTCCGCAATTGTTGAATGATCATACGATCATAGCGAATATTTTGAAGAGTCTGGTGAAGCAGGAACTGTTTGAACCTGCAGCAGAAATTTATGAGAAACTTGATAAATTCGATTTGGCGATGGAGTGTTACAGAAAAGGTAGGTAAAGACAGCAACGGGTATGTATTGGTAATTAACATTGATCATGTCTTGAGAGAAAAGGGATCCCAACCATGATGATGATACTACAATAAACTATTCCTCTAAAGAATGAAATGAAATAATTGATTATATAAATATTGACTTGAAAATGATATCATCATGGCTACAAATTCATAATCTGACTCTTAACTATGACAAATCTACATAATATGTATATTAAAAAAAAAACTGATATATCGAAAACAACGATATTTTTCTACCAGAAAGCGTTAAAATATTTGGATGTTACAAAATTTTTAGGTCTTCATATTGATGAACAATTATCGTGGGCTAAACATATAGATCACCTGAGAAAAAAGCTAAATCCAATTACTGGCATTTATTTACTTACATAATTCGAAGTTTCATTCCTCTCAAATATTTGACGAATATATTTTTCTGACTGATTTACTCAAAATTACAATATTTAGAATCAATTTGCAGGGGAATCACAAGTATATCACATTTGAAACCATTAATGAAATAACAAAATAAAACAATAGAGAGTGCATTTACAATTTACATTAAGTAACTGGAACCAACTATTAATCTTTACAAACCAAAAAATCTGTTGAATTTATCATCTATATACAGGGTGTTTCTTAAGTACGCGTGTAGATAATTCAGGAGCATGTTGCTGACGTCAAAATAAGAAGAAAAGTTCGTATAAATATATGTCCGGAAGTTATTCGATTCTGAGAAACAGAGTGTCAAAGTTGATTTCTTATTTTTGATTTTTGTTAATTAATTTCGAAATAATTCTGATATTCGAATGAAGTTCGGCACCTAGGAGTATTTTTCAATGACAATATAAAATTTTATGTTAGTTCGTCTCTTTCGTGAGGGTGGCGCCACTTACATGTCTTTTGAGTCTTTTGAAAAGTCATAACTTCTTTGTGCGTACCTGTATCACATTTCATAGTTGAAAATAGATTTTTAGAACACTTTTGTGTAAAAAATATATGTTTGGTAGAGGTCGCCGCTAGCAACTGTTTTCGAGTTATTGGGATTTGAAATAATCGATGCATTTGAATTATTTCCATGGGGCTCGTAAGTCGCCTCTAAGAAGTAAATATCAGCAAAAATACGCCAGTGCTTTTTTCTTCTTCCATTCAATATTCTCCTACAGATGGATTGGCCGAGGAGCTGAAGTTCCAGTTCCAGTTTTGGCCTCCGAGGTCCCTGGATTGAAATCCAGTCGATTTTTTTTTGTGTAGTCACTTGAAGGCCTTAGTTTATACGGTGCCAATAGAAAGCGAAGATCAACTTCGTCAACGGATCATTGCTGAATGTGACGCTATACGAAATACACAGGGTATAATGGAACGTGAACGTGGGTATTTGAGACGACGAGCAGACGGATGCATATTGCATAATAATGCAAGGTGGCCACTTAAATCAATTCCCTCAACCAACTGTTTTAGTATTAATTTGGTCCTAATTAATGTTATATTGAATTGTGATAACACCCGATTCCTATTTCGAAATGGAATTGAAGAAAAATAATTTCCCTTACCTAGAAAATCAATCTTGAATTCCAACTTCTTGTCATTGCAAATTACTTGCATTGGTTATTTCGAATCCCAATAACTCGAAAACAGTTGCTCGCAGCGACCTCTACCAGGAATATATTTTTTACACGAAAGTGTTCTAGAAATCTATTTTTCTACTATGAAACGTGATACAGGTACGCACAAAAAAGTTATGACTTTTCAAAAGACATGTAGATGGCGCCACCCCCACGAAAGAGACAAACTAACATAATATTTGATATTGTCATTGTAAAATACCCCTAGATACCGAACTTCATTCGAATATAACAATTATTTTGAAATTTATTAACAAAAAACAAAAATGAGAATTCAACTTTAACACTCTGTATCTCAGAAACGAATAACTTTCGGACATATATTCATACGAACTTTCCTTCCTATTTTGACGTCAGCAACATGCTCCTGAGTTTTCTATACTTACTTAAAAAACTCCCTGTATATATATTTTTTTATTATCGTTCTGTAAAACTGAAATATGGACCTATTGTCACTATGAATGCACTTCCCTTCAATTCTAGTTAAAATAATATCCATGACTATTACAGCATATGTCAAGTCATTGATGAATACGTACTACTACTTGCCTGTGGAAGTATTCCCAACAACATATAATCTCCAAAAGTTCAAAAAAAATTCCAATACCTACCTCTTGTCCCTATCCTCCCTAGGAACGCACGATGTTCTTTGAACATTATAGGGATTCCCTTTCGTGCGCTCCAAGCGATAAAAAAAAAAAAAAAAAAAAAAAGATTTGAGTCCCAACTCTTCGGATATCGCGTTAGAACAGTGAATTCGAGTTAATTATAACAGAGGTAGCTATGTCATTATTGACTAGTGGTTCATAAAATTACGAAAACTACCTTGATAGTAAAAACACACTTCACGCCTCGAAAAGGAGTAAATAATGGTAGGTTCTGCAGCCAGTGGTGGAAAAAAAGTTATTAAGACCCAAAACTATTGCGTAAATATACCGACTATTGAATTGTCCAGGAAAAATCTGGAACAAAGCCGTCGATCTGGCCAGACAGGTCAGCCCCGACAAAGTCGTTCAGTTCGAGGAAGAGTGGGGCGACAGCCTGGTAGAGACCAAGCAAATGGACGCCGCCATCAGCCATTACATAGAGGCCGGCTGCTCTCTGAAGGCGCTCGAGGCCGCCGTGGGAGCGAGGCAGTGGAAGAAGGCCGTGCATATCGTCAAGGTCATCGGTGATCCGGACACGGTTCAGAAGTATTACGTAGTGATTGCCAATCACTTTTCCATTATTAAGGTTAGTGGATTTCATATGCCTGGTGGATATCATTCGCATGGCGCTGCTCAAGTATACGACAGAGAAGTGCACAAAAAACGGCCAGGACTGTAACTTTTGAATTATTCGAGATAGGGTTTTGAAAATTCGTAGGCAGCTAGTATACCAAATTGCTCATTAATTGACGAAACAACTTTCGTTCTATCACTTCCGGTTTTACTGGAAACGACCCCAACTTTCGATTTTTAAATGGGACACCCTGTATTGCATTGCATAATCGGTTAGGGATCGTTATAACCATTGTCTGCTAAATATGGAGAAAAAAAATCTAGTGAGCTGTAACTACTGGTCTGCTCTATAGCTCAGTTGAGTGAATGACCACCAGAGGATGTTACCGTATCGAACGAAATGATCTTCTCTTTTTTCTAGAACGTTTTCGAAATTTGTGGTTATGTAAGTTGTCAGTGTCAAGAGCTGTCGTGCCATCGTGACCAATATTCCTTTCGTTAATAGACATAGTTTTGTGTTGTGCTCCCAGTATTAAAGTAGTTTATTTCAATTGAAAATTTGTTACAAACTCTGTCTCTCAATTGTTCCTACCAGAAAGTGTGAAACCGTCTATATTAATGTATTTCCCAGTGATATTTCTTTGCGACATAAGTGTATACATTCAATAATGAGTGGTACAGGCTCATTACAAGTAAGATAATCAGAGCCCTGATCAAAAACTTATAATCGATGCTACTGATTCTACCTCTCATTTAATTTAGGTGTTGAACATTGGGAAATTGGGGACTATTGTAGTGTCTGTAGCAACCATTTTGAGAAGGAATGATTTTTTTCAATTTTCGAGTTACTGAGTGACTATGTCGTGATACTGAACTCAAAGTAACTGAACAAACTGCGCCGCCGGCCGAGACTGCCGAGAGCACCGCTGAGGGAGCTGCACAACTCGTTTACGATTTTCAAGGTTATGTTGGTTTGACAGGAAAACAATTGAAATAAGTGTTTCCTCGAGTTGACCGTATGGTGGCACTACTGTATCGGCCACAGAAACCTGTAGGTGATTTTCCCTGTTTGAGCAGACCAGATACTACAGTTCACTAGATTTTTCTCTCCATATTCAGCAGATGGTTATAACGAATTCATCGATACCGGGTTTGATAGGGTTATTTCAAACGGTTACGCAGATATTCGCGTTCTAAGTTTCCATATGCTCAATGAGTGTGGCAGAGGATAAGTTTTGATATTGCGAAGTCACAGCCATTGAGCATATGGAAACTTCGAACGCAAATATCTTTGTAATTGTTTGAAATAACCCTATCAAACCCGGTATTGTTGGATTCGTCATGATAATCCCTAACAAGTTATGGAATAAAATACAGGGTGTCCCATTAAAAAAATCAAAAGTTGGGTCGTTTCCGGTGAAACTGGAAGTAATGGAAGAAAAATTGTTTCATCAATTAATGGGCAATTTTGTATACTAGCTACCCACTTATTTTCAAAACCCTATCCAGAATAATTCAAAATTTACAATCCTGGCCGTTTTTTGTGCACTTCTCTGTATGTCCGGATTACTTGACTATCCTTCAATCTAGTTGCTCATGATCTGAGTAAACGATGGACAATTTCGGATTGAAGTTTTCTTCTTATTTTTTTTTACATTACATAAACCATGCAAGTTTTCTCTTTATGCATCCTGCTTTCATCAACCTAAATGTGTAAGTATTAACAACGTGCATTCTCAAAATGTTTCAACATGAGAAATTTCTGTTGACAAACTTGATAGAAATAGGAACAGGAATATGAAAAATGTCTAGGGTTAGGACGCAAATCACCCAAGTGTTTAGAATAACAAATGAATAACTTACTGGCTTACCTACTGAATATCGTGAATGAGGGTGATTTTTTGTACTATTTTGATTTTCAAAATATGAACACAATATTAATTATTCCTCTCGCCTGCTAGGTTTTCATTCAGAACGACAATGGATGAACCATTTTGTCGCAATTATCTTTCACCATTAAGGTGGGTTCCTAATACATATTTTTTGACTTTCGTGCCACGCATTCGGATTGGTGACGCTGAATTTAAATATTATTGGGAGGCATAAAGTTGAAATATTCCAACTTTCTTGCGTCGCTGTTGGGCACTAGCATATACAGACAGACCGGTGAGCGGGTTGGCTTGAAATTGAGGTTATGTTTTGTTGTTCAATTCTATAAAACTTGCAATATTTTGGTAGGTGAATATTATCAAATCAATCATAATCATTAGATCATAACCTATATATAATAGAAAACTACCCAGGAGGCATCATTTTATATACCGACCTTCCATCTGTTCCTATTCCAACCCTGTGAAATGAATATACAAAAAAATTAGTTCAAACTTCTTATTTTAAGTTAATATTTACATATCCATAATATTGAGGATAATCTTGATATTATTGAATTATAGTATTATTGTGCACTATACATTGAAGTAGTCTCTGGTTCCTATTCCATATAACCTCACATAATTAAGAATAATTTCACATTGCTGACATAACGACATAAATTCCATTAATCATTCCAGAATCACGCCATTTGAGATTTCGTTGGAGGGCAAACATTATATTTTGTCTTATGAAATCAGAAGTAGTTGGATCGTTCTCCTTGGAACCTGAGTGGATTTCATGATTTTGTTTCGTGAATCTTTCATTGTATTCTGGATGTGGGCAGGGGTGTGCTCAGCAGAGGTGACCCAACAGATAGTTTCTGTTTCCTCCAAGAAACCGTACTGTAATGAAACAATCGGAATGGTTGAGAATGGAAAAAAGTCCTATTCTCGAACCAGATGGAAGAAAACTGATTCCGGTACCTGAGGGTGGATTCTCATGAAAAACTCAATGGTGAAATCCGCATATCGATATCTGTCTGATGTTTTTCTAAAATGGGCCTTTTCGAAAAGTGACTACAGATATTTTTTGGCAAGAATTGTCTGTTCTTATGAAAATAAGATTGCATTGCAAAGCATTGAGTTTGTGATAAAAATTGTTCTCAAGACACAGAAATCGGCCTTCCTATATCTAGTTCAAGAATATAACTTGTTCTTCTTGAAAGAAAAGTTCTATTTTGCAGCTAGGTTTAGGGTGACTGATTCCAGTGCCTAAGGATCAATTTTCATGACAAACACAATGCTTTGAATATGTTTTCATGAAAACGAAGAATTTTTGACAGAAAAAAGAGCTTTAGCCATTTCTCAAAAATTCACATTCATGAAAAACATCTTGTAACTCTGAAATGAAGATAGAATCGATATGCGGGTTTCACCTTTGAGTTTGTCATATGCTATCATCTTAATAACTCCTGCAATAAGAGCGCTGACACCGTCCAACCGCGACATGATCTCTGAAGACGACTTTACATAAGATTTTAACTTGTCGAAAACCAGAATATATCTTCCGTAGACTGGCATCTTCCTCCAACATTAACAGATTTGCAACACGCAACAGTAAAGTACTCGTAATCCCCAAACATCGCATGTTCCAATGCCGTGCCCAGTGAATTCAAGTCTTTCAATTTGCTCAACTTCAAGAGAATATTGAAACTACGCCTCTTCGAAGACTGGAAAAAAAACTATACAGTGTGGTCATTTAAGTGTGCAACATATGAGTATCTTTTCAATTAATTGCACAACCAAAATACATATAGTGCCGGAAGTTGGTGCATGTTCGGTAATCATTTTGGGTGCACTTAGAATGGTTGCAAGTCAAACAGCATACAGGGTAGGTCAAAAAATATAAAAATTGCTCAAGAGTAAAGTCGTACCTTATTTCAGAAAATTCAGCAAAATGTTATTGAGAAAAGTTGTTTACAATTGAAATATATGCCTAAATACCAGAACTTGGCCTCCTAAGACATCTTCAATTTTTCTCGTTAATAATTTCCCAATTTTTAATTTTTTTATATTTTTTTTCACATTATAAATATATTATCACTTCTTTGATAATCCTCTTTTATGTTTCGATAATTTATTATAAGTATGCTGATGTAGCTTCATCACCCATTACATGTAATTTATGATTGTTGTTGTAATGGCTGAGCTGAAACTGCATCTCCAAATTTCAAGGTTATTGAAATGAATTTGAAATAATGAGAAAAATATCACCATCTTCGAGAATCTTCATTTATGTTCTTGATATTATGTTTTTGATATTAGGTTTTCGATGATATATTAGACCGATGTGAATGTATCTCATCATCCACTATTTGTAATTTGTAATTGTTGTGAAGGTTGAGATGAAAAACAGCTTCTGCTGACGCTCCACCTCTTCACCAAACACCTTTTCGGTTTTGATGAGTAAAGTCGATTTATTATTTATTATATCGTTATTATTATCAAAATCATGTGTTCTAGAATGGTCAATTGGAAACGACAAGAAGCAGTACTTAAAGTAATTATTGAATTTCTCAAAAACGCTGTATTCGGAACCCACCTTTAATGAAATTAGTGAAACTGATGACCGAAAATTCCTGAATTGAACTTTCTGTACTCGTAGGAATATTCGACTGCTGAAAAGCTTTTCGCCTCTTGCGGGATGTACAAAGAAGCAGTGGACATGTACAACGAGGCCGGCCAATGGGAGAAGGCTCATTCGATCGCCTCCAAACACTTGGAGGCCAACGAAGTGTCGGACATGTATATCAAACACGCCGAACAACTGGAAGAGGCCGGCAAGTACAGGGATGCCGAGAAATTGTACTTGTCGGTGAATTCGCCAGATCTGGCGATCGCTATGTATAAGAGGGTGGAGCAATACGATAATATGGTAATTATGATTCAAAATGAATGTCATAACATAGATGTATATAAATTCAAATGGTGGAATTACTTCTCATTGACCATATTCCACTTAGAAATAAGAGTTTGAAATTTCGTGCTATTCGTTGGCAGCAATGGGCCTGTTTCAGTGAAAAATTTTATTTAATTATTTCGAAGTACTAACCCTAAATAGTTCACTGTCGTAAACCGTTTCTTTTTCCTCAGAGCTCTGTAACTTTTTTGAATAAATATTGGAAATCACGATATTCCATAATATAAAAAACCTGGGAAGATGCGTGACGTAATCGTCTGAGAACACCATATAATGTTGAAATTGAATGTCAGATAAATTATATGAACATACAAAAATGGATATATATTTATATAAAGCAAAACATTGAGAATTCGCATTCTCTATGTGATGAGAATATCAACTCTTTTTCAGTTTATTCAATACAAAACTACTACTTTCCTGGCTATATGCCTCGACGAACATTTAAATTATATCTATCGAACACACACGATAAGAGTTTGAAAATAAAATATAAAATCTTCTGAAATTGAGAATTTGCATTCTCCTTCAGACAAAAATATGTATATGCACACATCATTCTGAATATTCAACAGAAAACAACTACCTACTTTCCTGGCTATTTGCCACGTCGAACATTGAATTATATCTGATGAACATCCAAAAGGAGAACATGAAAAATAAAATCCTCCGAGACAGAGAGAATAAGTCTCGAGATTTTCCTGCTTTTTCCACTTTTATCCCGGCATCTTTCTATTTTTCATCATTTCAATCGGATTTTTGAATAGATCGCCCTGAATATTATATTCAAAATGAAAAAAGAAGTTAAGAGCATTGATTTAGCCGGTTTTGAGCATTGATATTAGCCGGTTTTTAGTGTTTTATTTTTTTTTATGAGAGAAGCAATTTCCAAAGGCATTTCAAACCAAAGTTCATTCAATTATATTGGTAAACAAAGGTTTTATGTGGGCCATATATACTGTTTCGATGTATCTAGTATCCAATATCCGAAATTCCAGGTCAGACTGGTGGAAAAACAGCATCCCAGACTGCTGTAAACGTTGTTTATATTGAGTTCAATGCCTGCACCCTACCTGCACCTGGGCCAGCAGCTAGAGCTAAGGCATTGTCGGCTAAATGGGAGAAAAAATCAAGTTGCCTATAGATAGTCCTACAGGCATTATCAATTTTTTTTATAAGTGAAGCGGTTTTCAAAGATTTTTTGAAAAAAAAGCAGATCCAGTCGATTTGAAAAACATAGGTTTTTGTATGAACCAGTTCGACTATTTCGATATTGCAGTGTTCAATGATTTGTTCTGATACAGGGGTTGAGGGTTAGCCAGCAGGAAAAATTCAAAAAGTCCCAAGAGCAAGATTTATTTTGTCGGCAGCAAGATATGCAGATACCAACGTGATGTTGAGTGTGAGAAACTAAAAGTTTACATATATTAGGAAAGAGTGTCAACTTTCCGGCATGTCATACAATCAGTTTTAAAATTAATGTCCACTTGGAAGCACGTGTGGATTTTCACTGATTTAAGTAATTTTCAGAACAACTGTTAACATTTCACCACTTACCTAAAAGTGACCAAACACCAATCTAAAATATATATTTAGCAAATATATATGTGATTGTTGGCAAAATTGTTAATGGATCATCAATTCATTTCCTCCCAAATCAATCCATCCTACCAGTTCTGATACATATGTCCAAAAGAGCTTCAAGGCTTAAGATAATCGTGATTGTAAAAAATTATACTTGATAAGGAGCGCGGCAAAAAACGCGCGACGACAAATGCATTGTGGGTTGCCCGACCTCTAGCAGCTATTTTGAAAGAAATAAAATTCTTTACATACGTAGCAATCAGGCAGCAGAACATATGCAACCAGTAACACGAGCTGAAGAAAGGACATGACATGAGACATGATTGACACATGACTTTAGGTATCTTCATAATACATATATACGAGGTAGAAAAAAGTGAAAAACTTGGTCACCAATAATTATTATTATTAGACAAGATATCCATCTTCAACAGTTTATATACAAAGTACAGCGGTTTCAGCACAGATTTGTATACCTCTTTACGTATTTTAGTGTTTTTAGCTTTGTGTATGTATGTTTGTGAGGACTTCTAAACTAGAATATATCCGAAAATTACAGGTCAGACTAGTGGAAAAATACCACCCCAGCCTGATTGGAAGACGATTGCACGCTGAGCATAACTATATCTAATTGTTGAGGAGGAAGACGACAATAACAATAAAAAAGTTGCTTCCCTTGTATTCAAACCCTCAGCTCATCGGCTGTTCTACTGGCTTGATCAACAGGAATTCATCGTTCAGCGAGTCTATTCTCAGTCTTCTCTTTATTCTATTTTCCCATCCTCAGTTATTGACTTTTTTCTTTTTACGTCGGCTACGAGGCTAATCACTGACGCCGGTGGGCACACTACCCACATCCGGAATTTTTTTCAGATCTTCGTGTTTTTTTTTGTTTTTTTTTTAATTGATTCGGCCGTTACTTGATGGAAGTCCATGGCAAATGTAAAAACTTCACAAACGATAACATTTCCACAAAATTCTTAAATACACAACATGTTTCGCTAATACAGTAGCTTCTTCAGGTACTGGTACAATACAATAAACTAAACCTTGCTTAACTTTTATATCAACATAATCGTAAAAAATGTGTAAAAAAATATTTTTTTCTAATTTCGACATATAATTTGACACTTTTCAAAACTGACGGAAGTTTTGAAATGTCTTACTTTACGTAACCAGTTGCGTAAAGTAAAATTTTACATAACTGGTGATGTAATGTTCATTTCAACACCAGTTACGAAATAAGAATATGGATGGACCAAGAGAAATTGATTCAAATCTGTAGCTATACAAATAAACAAACAAGAATTCAATTTGAATAAACATTTATAACACAATTAGTACAATTAGAAATATTAATTCTCGATGTAAGAGAAGTTTGACGGATACTTCAATGTGGCAGGCGAAGTCAACTAGCCTACTAAATTTTGTGAAGAGTCGGCAGAACTCATGTAAAACTGGTCATTATTTTTGTTCATGCGAAATGTTTCGTCAAAATTAGAAAAAATATTGTACGTGACACGTTAGGAAACGCCATTTTGTGTAACTCTGTGATGTTGCGGGATCTCGCTTCGCTCGTCCCGCAAAATCCCATTGTTACACAAAACAACGCGTTTCCTAACTGATTACGTAAATATCTATTTCAACACCTTGTATCTTGAAAACGGATGGCGTTACGACATTTTTTTACTGAGCAAACCCAACTTATTTTGCAATGTTCTACCTACCCTAGCAAGGGGGTTCGGTTTTTTTGAAACGCCCTGTATAACTTTGCATTCAAAATGAAAAAAAGTCTCGGTTCACGTTGAAAACAATAATATATGTATATATTTATTGGTTTGTGATGTTTTTAATCCCCAAAGCTTGTTTGGTTTCTATTTTTTTAAGATTGGATATAAAATGGCATAGTAACAGCTATTTCGATATTGCAGTGTCCAATGATTTGTATTCCTCTATGTGTTTTAGTGTTTTTAGCTTTGTGTATGTATGTTTGTGAGGACTTTCGATACATTTCAAAATTTGTAAACCTAATCTAGAAAATATCCCAAAATTCCAGGTCAGACTAGTGGAGAAATACCACCCCAGCCTGCTACAAACCACCCATCTACACCTGGGCCAGCAGCTCGAGAGTCAGGGCAAATACCGCGCCGCCGAGATACACTATCTGGCCGTGGACGATTGGAAGGCGGCCGTGACCATGTACCGCACGCTAGGCATGTGGGAGGAGGCGTACAGGGTGGCCAAGCAGAACGGGGGCGGGCCGACCGCCGCCCACCAGGTGGCTTTCCTGTGGGCGCGCTCGCTGCCCATCGACTCTGCTGTCAAGTTGCTGAACAAGTACGGGATCTTGGAGGCTTGCGTCAATCACGCCTGCGAGACTTATCAGTTCGAGTTTGCTTTTCAGCTGTGCAAAAACTTACCAGCTAAAGTGAGTATAGTGTATTGAGGTTTTAAAGTTCATTATACTTCGTATTCAATGAGTGAAGCACAATGGATATGACTTTGTGCATAATCCTATCACTCCACAAGCTACAATGGACTTCTACCAACGTTTTCATTATACTTTTTATACATATAGGGTTGTCCAAAAAAAAACGGAATTTTGTTTATGTCTGATAACTTTTTCATTTATTGGCCGATTTTATTGATTTTGGTCTTGTTCGAAAGAGAATTAATCAAGGCAGTCCGTTGATAGCAAATTTTTCATATTCGTTCAAAAAACAAAATGGCGGAGTCACCTAAACTTGGTAGAATTTGAAAACTTGATGGAACTTTTTTAAGTCGCACTGTATATCGGTTCGTGTGAGAATCTGGAAGTTTGGACATTTCTGAATAGAACAAAATGTCGAACATGATAATCCGTCGAAAAATACCTGATATATGTGGTATAAAAAGCATAAATTACGATTCCTTCATGGAATTCAACTCAATACAATCATTCTCAAACAAAAGGAAAAACGATATTGAACAAGAAACAAGAGTAAGCAAGAAAATTATGTTCTAATGTGGTCCCCATCAGCTTCAACCACTAATTCCACACGTCGTCGCCAACTGTCAATTGATTTCCTAATATTAACTTGGCTGGTTTCCTCCCAACACTGAAGAATTCTCTCTTGTAGTTGTTCAACATTTTCAAATATTGTTCCATTTTTGTGAACTCTAGCCTCCAAATCACCCCACAGAAAATAGTCACAAGGATTCAAATCTGGACTATTTGGAGGCCATTCTTGTGGTTCTAAAAAATTGGCAACGTTCTCTCTTAAGTAATTAATGGTGTGTGCACTGGTGTGACATCTCGCGCCATCCTAAAATCAAATTTTTAATGGAAATAGTCAAAAAATAATAAATGATATAAGAAAAACTCGAGGAAAATGATGAGAAGATACAAACATACCTGCATGAGAATAAAGTCAGGAGTTGAATCCTCTATTTCTGGAAGCATTTGTGCTAAAACAGTGTCACAATAACTCTGTGAATTTAGCCTGACCCCTTGCCTAATGAAAATCAAATTTGCTTTATGTTCTCTAGAAATTCCTGCAGAAACCATGACGTACTTAGTGAATTTATCTCTTTCACTCAGAAGACGTTCCAACGGCGTTTCCCGTTTTCGTTGGTGGTGAGGTAAACAAAATCTATCATTTTGCGAGTTTTTCAAGGGGTTGATTGTAAATATTTTTTCGTCGGTGAACCAAATTTTTTGAATATCTCTCCTAGATCTGAATTTATTCAAAAGATTTCTACATCTCAACAATCTTCTGGCTTTGATTTCAGGAGTGAGTTTGAATGAATACATTCGCTTAAAAAAATTAAGCCCCAAATCAATCTTTATTATCCTGTTCACAGAGCTACGCGAAATTCCAGATCTTCTGGAAATTTGCGGAACGCTAAAGCTGGTCCTAGGCGCCCTTTCGGGACTCACAGCCAAATTCAAGACTTGGGCAATATTTTCCTGAAATGAGTTTTGGTAGATCATAAGACATACAATGATAGCACCTAGCTTACCAACCTGTGTTCTGACACTCCTTGGCCGCCCACTTCCTTCGCGTCTTGCAATGGAGTGTGTTAAGTTAAATTTCTTTACGAAATCGTAAATTGTACTTTTTTTATACCGCTCAACAGCAAAATGTTGTAAAATATCACTCACTCTGTATCCTCTCAAAATTAAAGTTTTGATAAAAATTTTATCGCCATTGGAAAGCGCCATTATATACACTTCAGAAAGCAAAAATGAAGTGATTTCTATCTCAAAAAGTCAATTCAAGAGCTGTCAATAATTACAAATAACAAGAATCAACAACACAAAAAGCGATGATTGACATACGCCGCCTCGATTTCAATGAAAAATTTCGGTAACAAAATGTGAAAACATACATGTCTATATCCTGTCATATATCAGGTATTTTTCGACGGATTATCATGTTCGACATCTTGTTCTATTCAGAAATGTCCAAACTTCCAGATTCTCACACGAAACGATATAACAGTACGACTTAAAAAAGTTCCAGCAAGTTTTCAAATTGTACCAAGTTTAGGTGACTCCGCCATTTTGTTTTTTGAACGAATATTAAAAATTTGCTATCAACGGACTGCCTTGATTAATTCTCTTTCGAACAAGACCAAAATCAATAAAATTGGCCAATAAATGAAAAAGTTGTCAGACAAAAACAAAATTCCGGTTTTTTTTGGATAACCCTATATATCTATATTATTTCAATAGAGCTGAGTTACCTGAACATATTATCTGAAGGACCAAAGGACCCCGCACATTTAGTACGGAAAATGGCTTCCAGCTAATTTTTCTGAAAATTCGATATGTTTCAGATATTAGCGTCCTCATTACACAGTCCAATTTACAGATCGACCCTATGACCAGTTTTCGAGCTACAGGGTGTTTATCATTTGATTTTGGCTGTTTAGAATATTTTGCATCGATTTGTATTATGTGCTCTAAGTCGTGATAAATCTTCAGTAGAAATAAACGCTATACGTCTAATTTCTACCTCATGAATCCCTCTATTCGAATAGATAATAATATCACATACAGGGTATTGCATTCCATCATGATAAGGTAATATTCATGGGAATAGACAAATATTGAAAATATCAGAGTTTCGATTTTTACTCAATTGGCTAGAATCGGCTGATTATGTGACACACTATGGATCGTGATCATCGACATGAGGATTCATACATGATTCCCTCTGATACAATGTCCGGTTTGCCATATACAGAGTGGGTCATTGAAAACGAAACAGCGGCTCTGTAGGTCGGCAAAACCAGATTATGAAAAAATCTGAAACACGTCAACTATATTCTCGAGGGGGACATCGTTCTAAAATATTTTCAGCCCTGTGACGTTGCCGCTTCTAACGAAAAGAAGCAACAACTTTGTTATTTCAAATGAATTAATAATTCTGCCAGATCTTGTTGTAATCATTTGGTTGGGTTGCACGACTGAATCTCTAGCAGGTACCATTCTATTTGAAGAAGGTAGATTTGAATGTCCGTCCTTCAGTAGGTTCTATAACATTGTCTTGAGAAAAGTCTGCTTTAGTTTTATGTAGTTGGCTAGTATTACGTCGGTAAACATGACCATCAGTGGATTTGACAATGATTTGCCTTGGGTTATCACCCTGCCCAATGACTTCTACATCTTTCCATTGACGATGATCTACAAGGAGTCGTACTTTATCTCTTCGTTATAGTTCGGAAGGCTTTTTTGCATGATATTCTGCAAAAACAGAATTGCCGTTGTTTTGTCAATTCTAAAGTCACGTTCTCTATAACTTTCGGTCTCAAAAGTGTTTCAGTTATCGGGATCACACTTCGTGTAATTCTACTAAAAAGTCGCTGATTTGGAGATCCCAGATTACTTCGGGGGGGTGTTTCGATAGTTCATGAAAGCTAGTTGAACATCAGACTGATCTAGCACTTACTCAAAATGTTTTTCGAAATTTGCACGCCTCTTTCAGCTAAACCATTTCCTCTTGGGGGTGGTAAGGGCTACAGTACAATGTTGAAATTATCATTGCGTGGCAAAATCTCTGAATTCTCTCGAGAAATATTGTGGTCCGTTGTCTGTTTCCTTAAGCTTATGTTGGGCACAGTGAGATCGGCTTTTCTAGAGAAAAGGCATACTATGATATGTTATGATAATATATGCTATGATATGCTATATCGCTAGGGATTCAAGTATACTATAACAGGGCTCGACTCTGCTTCATTTCAGATATTGAACGGCTGGTGCCTTACCTGACAAGCTAGGGCGATGCCCCGTGAATTTTGACTTAGTATCATAGTTGAAAACGACAACCTTACCTCTACATTTTATTTCAGCTCAACGAAGTGCACTTGAAGTACGCCATGGCCCTGGAAGACGACGGCAAATTCGCCGAGGCCGAGACGGAATTCGTGCAGGCCGGCAAGCCGAAAGAGGCCGTCCTGATGTACGTGCACGCTCAGAATTGGCTGAGCGCGCTCAGGGTGGCCGAGAAGCACCTGCCCGAGGCGGTGGCCGAGGTGCTACAAGCTCAGGCGGGGCAGTGCTTCAAGGACAAGCAGTTTGCCGAGTTCGAGGTGTTGTTGCTGAGGGCACAGGCGCCGGAGTTGATCGTGCAGAAGTACAAGAGTGAAGGTGAGTTGCTCATGCTAGAGTTCCTAAATGTACTTGACGCTGCTGTTTTGACGTTTTTTGTATATTAGAGTACGGACACTAGACAAGCAGTGACAATCAAACATAACCACAAACGATTTTGAAGCAAATCATATGTTTTGCTAGACAAGGACAAGATTATGTTTTTCGATTATACAAAGGATCCTCGCATCTTCCTTCCACCACAAGTCCTGGGAAGGGTACATCCATATATCTTTCTCTGTCTTTGATTTTTTTATGAGAGTGCATAACGTCTCCTCGTCTCCTCGAGTGGGTAAAAGGGTAGGATTAATTGATCAGACAATTATTATATAAATTATTCTTCTCGAATTATTGAATGATAAGGCTGAATGACCTCAATTGAGGTGGATATCAAGTTGGTATGAACATATATATACCAACGAAATACATATACTATTCCTATGAAATAAGTCTTTTATGTGTAGGTAGTATATATACGATCAGTTGAATATTTTTCATCACAAAAGTTCAGAATGGGGTAAAAACTGATGAACTTCAACCAATGAAACACACTTTCATTTATTATGGAACAATTTCACTTGTACAAGAGTGGTAGGTAATAACAGCTGATTTCAGTTAGGATAAATAATGAAACAATATCACTTTCAGACATGTGGATAGACGCCCTAAGAGTGTGCAAAGACTACCTGCCCCACCTCTACCCCGCCATGCAGGCCGAGTACGGCGGCTCGCACCACCACCGAACCGCCGACGTCGACATCGAGACGCTGCTGTCGAGGGCGAACGAGTGGGCGCTCGCCGGCCAGCACAAACAGGTAGAGATGTGTAATGGTCTAACCGGCTCGAAGGACCAAATGTTATATTCGTGAATGTACTTTTTCTAGCTTGAAGCATCGCCCTTGTTAACTTGTTCCCTGCTGTCGCACTGGACTCGTTTACTTTCGCTTTCGATGGGTGCTTCCAAGATTAAGTTATTCAATTTCTTGTATATATAAATAATGCATATACAGGGTGTTTCAAAAAAAAACCTAACCCCCTTGCTAGGGTAGGTGGAACATTGCAAAATAAGTTGGGTTTGCTCAGTGGAAAAATGTTGTAACGGCATCCGTTTTCAAGATACAAGGTGTTGAAAAAAATATCTTTTTACACATTTTTTACGATTATGTCGAAACTACTGGCAACATTGTGATGGAATTTTGTATGGATGTGTTCTGAAAGCTGACACACCGCATGAATTTGTTTTTATATCTGTTACTCATAGAGGGCGCTAGTTACACGGTTCGTACCGAGTACTTTCGAACATGACTTTTTTGAGGTTAGATTTTTCAGTCCATATTCAATGTGAACTTGAAGAAGCAATAACTCTGATTCTGGTATTAGAATAAGTATTATAAAAAACAGATCTATTCATTAAGAACAAAAAACATTTACATTATTTTACTGCTGAAGTTATCGATTAAACAAAATCACATCAGAAAATATTCATTCAAATTTTACTCAAAACATCATCTAGTTAGAGTAAGTGTCCAAAATGTCCTTTGTTTTCACGAATACACAATTCGATCCTTTTTTCTAAAGAATGCACGAAATATCCCGAAAACTGTAAACAGTGTCGAGTTTTACCAGGAGCACCTTTTAAGTGTTAAATTGAATGATGTTCAAGTACACTAAATTTGGAGTGAAAAATTTAACCTCAAAAAAGTTATGTTTAAAAGTACACGGTACGATAACCGTGTAACTAGCGCCCTTTATGAGTGTCAGATATAAAAACAAAATCATGCGATGTGTCAGGTTTCAAAACACATTCATACAGAATTTCATTACAATGCTGCCAGTAGTTTCAACATAATCGTAAAAAATGTGTAAACAAAATTATTTTTCAACACCTTGTATCTTGAAAACGGATGGCGTTACGACATTTTTTCACTGAGCAAACTCAACTTATTCTGCAATGTTCTACCTACCCTAGCAAGGGGGTTAGGTTTTTTTGAAAAATCTCTGGGTTGCATGCCCATCGCTCTGCCAATTGAGCTAACGGGACATCCGTCGATCAATCGTCAGTGGGAGGTCGAGTTCTCATCACACACTTCATTTTCCATTGTCACTCGAAATCAGGGCTTTCCATCTTCATCATTAAATGTATTTTTTCGGTTGAGTAACCGATAAAAATTATGAGTGACTACTATGTATGATTGTCTTCGGACATTTCCGTATACAAGGAAAGATAACTCCAGAGGACGAACGGGGAAATATGGAGACTGTATAGTACCATCCTGCGAGCGATGCTTCGTATAGTGCATGATTTCGAGTGACTTCGGGAATTGGAAGGATTCTGTCGCCTAGTGTGTGATGTGAACTCGGCCTCCCTGCCGATTGATCGACGGATGTCCCGTTAGCTCAATTGGCAGAGCGTTGGGCATGTAACCCAGAGGTTGTGAGCTCGACTCTCACATGGGCGGTGAAATTTCTTCATTTTCCATTGTCACTCGAAATCAGGGCTTTCCATCTTCATCATTATAAGTACCTTTGCGGTTGAGCAACCGACAAAAATTATGACTGACTACTATTCTTATATTTGTCCACCTGTACGAGCAGGCTGTTGACTGTCTGCTGCAAGTCAACGATGGCATGACGGAGCCTGCCATCGTGAAGAGGGCTCTCCTGCGAGCGGCCGACGTTGTGAATAAGTTCTTGTTCGGGGAGGAGGCATTGGAGGTCATCAGAGTGTTGTCTCCCAGGTGAGAAATCGTTGAAAAGCTTATGAAATCGTAATAAGAATATTTTGAATAGGAAATCTGCTTGTGGGACAATAAGTAGGCTTCTGAAGTGAAATTTAACTTTTCACATGCAAAAACTACCCTGTGTTTTTTTATCTCTTGGACCGTACGAAGGAAAGAACATCGTGCGTACCTAGGGAGGATAGGGAGAGGAGGTAGGTATTGAATTTTTTACGGAAGGTTATAAGTTCATGGCAATCTATTAATAACCTGTCAAACTATGCACTGGTTGGCACACAATTAAATCATTTATGTTTCTATACGCGAATTCCTGTTGGTCATATACTCAAACATGCTCAAACAAAATTACAAGGATTTAAGTTAAGAGCAAACTTTCAGGCTTCAATGCTAACAGAAGGTTATACCAAAGAATAAAAGCGTAATGAAAGAAATGAATTTCGTGAATAAACTTACAGTTTATTGCCTATCTCGGCCATTTCATCGGATAAATGGTTTTTTTCAACAAATCATAAAGACATCGGAATATTTTATTTCATTTTTGGAATTTGAGCAGATATAGTAGGAACATCCCTAAGCATTTTAGTTCGTTATGAACTAGGAAACCCTGGAACTCTAATTGGAAATGATCAAATTTATAATGTAATTGTTACAGCCCATGCTTTTCTCATGATCTTTTTTATAGTTATACCCCTAATAATTGGAGGATTTGGAAACTGATTAGTCCCTTAATTAATCGGTGCTCCAGATGTAGCTTCCCCTGGAATAAATAACAAGCATTTAATTTTTCTAGTAAGATCATTCTATTGATTTTATATTATATGGAGCCAACCAGGTGCCATATTGATTTGTGTTGGATTGCCTGATACTTGGCAAAAAATTGCAAAGCTTTGCCGTTCTACAGACGAATGACTCGAATGAGTTTTGGAAAAGTGTTGCTCGACACATGGTCGACACTGGATGTGCCCACTGGGCTTGTCTAGTCTGTCTGTCAGACCTCAAAAGATTTCTCATACCATCTGAATGTGTTTTTGTTGCAAATTATGAGCCAATGCGCTGTTCAAATACCGATGTCAAAGACGTCAGTTGTTAATATTGCTACGCCAACTTCGCCACATTGCCAAATCGAAAATTCTAGTTGAGTTGTTTGTAAATTGTCGTACGCAGGTATCATCAGTCGAAATATCCCAAGTAGATCACTAGACGATAATGTTATGAGATTTTTCTTCCATCAATTCATCATATAAAAAATTATTGAAAATGTCAACGAATTCAAACGATCAGCCATGGCCGCAAAACGGTCTTGGTACTGAAAAATTGCATTGCATAATTAGTTAGATGTTGGATTTCTGTTGTTGGATTATTCAAAATTGCGAATGAAATTCCATTTTGTATTGAATTAGAGGGCAGATATTCATGACATTCAGTTTCAAATCCCTTCCAGTAAAAAACTTTCAAGTTTAGGTAGGTACTCACTGCTTACCTATACCTACCTTCCATAGGGAAAAGAAAAAAAATTTGAATGAATCACTACTAAATGGTTCTATTTTCTATTGATTTCACTACAATCATCACTTCTTGTCAAGTTATGCGGAGAATATGATTTTTTTATTTGGCAACATTGTGTTAGCGCCAGTTGCTTCATTTCTTTCTTCTGCAAACATAGTTGCCACATTAGCAATTATGTATTTTCCGGGAATGAGTCAACAAAATCATAACATCATAACTCAAACCAAACCATATAAAAAGCGTCTTACTTAGATGCCTGCATCATATTTTATCCTAGCTAATCATGAAACTAATGGAGTATTTTGTAGTTCAGAGTAAATTGAATGTGATCTGCAGTGGATTACTGTATAATGATCAACTAATCACCTATATAGGTCCTACTTAGTAATTTCGAATCATGGCATTCCTTGCACCATCTTGCACATAAGATCAATTCAAGGATTTCATAGAAACCTGGCAACACCGGCGTGCTTCCCGCCAGCCGTCACAAACTCCAACCAATAAAATTGCAAGGAGACACTCACAGTGCAGTAGCGTTTGAATCTACAGGTATTGAAATAGCATTCTCAATATTAAATAATTAATTTGATGTTCGATTTTCTCGATAAATATAAATATGTGGTCGGCATAACGGCATACCGTTTTCGACTTCTCTTCATGACATTATATCGAAAAGCGTCAAATTATACGATACTGGATAGCCCATTGAACGGAATGCACATTTTCATCCCATGGAAGAATGGCACGACAATGTAACATTGCATTTTATCATCACCTAATATCGGCCAGACCTAGCACGTGGTTGTTATGTGAACAAACATTCGGTAAATATCCGTTGGTAACTCGGCAACTGCGCTCTGCTCTGTCTAACTACGAAGTACAAGATATATGGAGCGATGTAGCCAAACGTTCCACACATAATCTCTTTTGGTGTTCGGGGTGAATTGATGAGGCTTTATTGTCTCATACACGCACTTGTATGAAATTAAGAATAGTTATAACAGGAGTTAGAAAAATTCTAATATTTCTAGGTTAGTCGATATTGGCGAATATAGTGTTGCTGCGCAACTCTACGTGAGCATGGAAATGATGAAAGAAGCAATCGATACATTTATAATAGCGGAGGAATGGAACAAGGCCAGAAAAGTCGCTAAGGAATTGGAACCGGCCTATGAAAGTTATGTGGAGAGTAAATACAAAGATCGTTTACTCAAGAAAGGCGACGTAGAACAGTTAGCAGATGTAGGCAAGTACCTTTTATCAAAAAAATAATGTAGTGATCAATACTTCGAGGAGATGGTTCTAAAAACGACAAGCGCAAAATTATGTTGAACAATTCGACTAAGTATTGGTAATATTGGGAGTAGCCAATTTTCGGATATAATTCCAGTGAAAAGATACATGCAAACAAGAAGATGAATTGAGCCACAATTGTGAAACTGGAATTAAAAAACGTATCATGAATATTTGAGTTCAGGATTTCCAGAAAGAATAATATAATATATTTAAGTATATTATAAACTATCATTATTTTGGAAACTTCTTCGACAAATGGAAATCAAAAATATATTATATGGGTTTTATATAGTGCTCGATATAAACGATTTTTTTCTCATACTAGCCTAGCGGATTTTTTGTTAGTTCACCCAGTCCTAGATATGAATAATACCACTAGAATGCATTTTCACCGAGCTATTCAATGAGGATATGCGTTGGGATGGTTGTGACTCAGGGGGTTGGTGGGGGTATTTCATGAGACATTTCCGTATTTTACTTTATGTATTATATAAAGAGTTACCCAGCCAACCATCGTATGACATCAACATCTGTGTGATGTAACAACCTTACATAAATGCAATATCTTGTTAACACATCTTATCGACGTAGATTCGATATCAACGTCGCAAGGTGTCATCGCAACCAGGAAACTAAAATCGGTTCGAAAATAAGTAAGCTAGAGAGGGGGACATTTATGGTGAATCACCCTGTACCTTCCAGAGGAATGGATGCGTTAATAGGCACAACTATCATTATTATAGTACCGAAAATCTGATGTGGCAGCGACTTCTTCAAACTACATCTCTTCGACGTTAACTAAATAATTCACATTGATATCCTCATGAGATATCTTTGTGACCTGTGAGTGTGACGCAGACATGCGCAAAACGAACGCACACGCCACATGCCAGACGCCATGTTGAGCTGTGCATGGCCATGCCAGTCAGTCAGTCAGTCAGTGAGTGAGTCCGACTCCCTACAGACTATTTCCTTCCAAATTCTCTGTTGAAATATCTGAGAAGATTTATAGCACACATTATAGCAGCTTCGAATTGGAGGTATACAATCATTTAGGAACGACGGTGAGATCAATCACAATAGGTAATATTGTAATTATCTCTGAGATAGGAATATTGCAATCTAAAACAAGGTGGATGAAAGTAAGTGTGTATTTGATATGTATCATAATAAGTTTTGTATCATCTGTTTTTACTTTCGGGAAATAAACATTTTCTTCGTGAAGTTGAATAATTATTATTATTATATATCCCACGAATATCACAGGTACGGCGACCACATCATCGATGTCGCAGTGTGATGAATTTGTAATATGAAATGTACACTTGCATGTGACCTGGTAGTGATTTTTCATGTGATGTCGCATTTCATGTCTGAACGACGTCACAGTGATGTTGCTTGAGTCGGACATTTTCACCTCGCCACGTTTGTATCGGTATCATGTTTGTGACTTCAAATGCGATATCGCATGTCACAAAGTGATGTGGCGTATACATCACTTATACATCTCGTGGTTGGCTGGGTATGAACCATTCGTGATATGTATCTCATTTTGTATATACATGAGTTACATCAATTCTAAGCTTATAATTGTCATCACCCTATATATATGGCCGATTCTAGCCGTTTGTTTTCAAGTTTTCAGTGATTGAGTAAAAATCGAAATTGTGATATTTATTTCCAATATTTGTCTATTCCCATGAATACTACCTTGTCATGATAGAATGCAATACCCTGTATGTGATATTAGTATCTATTCGAATAGAGGGACTCATGAAGAAGAAATTAGACGTAGAGTGTTTTTTTCTAGTGAAGATTCATCACGACTTGAGCACATAAATCAAATCAATGCAAAATATTCTAAACAGCCAAAATCAAAAGCTCGAAAACTGGTCATAGGATCGATATGTAAATTGGACTGTTTAATGAGGACGCTAATATCTGAAACATCAAATTCTCAGAAAAATTAGCCGAAAGCCATTTTTCGTACTAAATGTGCGTGGGTCCTTTGTGGAGATGATTTCGAGCATTCCTTCCTTACTTTGAAAAATTTCACTGCACTTTGAGCAATATGGACTTCTACCAAAGACTAAACAATCATGATAAACGCCTTTTCAAGTATATGAAACATTTCAATATCTGAAACATAAATTGTGGACTATTCAAAATTAGGTTTGTTAAAGTGATACAATAAAAACTAAGAAGTAAAACTGCGTTCCATGAGCGTATGCGCCTTACAACATTTCTTTGAACATTTTCCAATTATTTCTTCTAGATATCATTGGTGCTCTCGACCTGCTCGCGGAACAGGGCCAGTGGGCCAGGTGCATCGAGAAAGCCAAAGCCCACAACGCCCCTATCCTGCACAAGTACGTCGCCCTGTATGCGGCCAAGCTGCTCAAGGACGGATTCGTGCTGGAGGCGTTGGATCTGTACGCCACGCACGGCGCACCCGCCATGCCTCAAAACTTCAACATCTACAATCACATCGCCACGGAAATGTTCGGTTTTAACGATCTGGGAAGTCCCGAGAGTTACTCGGTGTGGGAGAATTTGAGGCAGATGCTGTTGGAAATCGTAAGTGCTAAAACATACGATAAAAAGTGAAAAACTACACAAACGTGGAGATTTCCACGAAATTCATTCAGTGCTACAGTTGGAAGTTGGAAGCTTCAGTTGCTTGGCATTCACTGTTATACATGTAGTCTTGAGTGCTGCTCTGTATCCTTTGTGAAGAACTGGGCAGTCTTGAAGGTTCGATCCGGCTTGAAGGACCAATGTATTCGATGCTTGATAGATAGTGGACTGAATTAGTATGGTTATATGATATATGATAATGAAATCAAGAATAATATGACTGATATGATAATTGCAATACGAAGGTTTGATTGGAATAGATCCGGCTCGAAGGACCAATATATTTGATGCTTGATAGATAGTGGACTGTATTTGTATGGTTATATGATATATGATAATGAAATTAAGAATGAGATGACTGATATGATAATTGCAATTCGTATATCGCAATCTATTTTTATTTATTGATTTTATTGTTTAATCTCATGTTTCAACACATCGTCATGTTAACAACAAATGAAAATCTATATTACTTTATAGGGTAATACAGGTACCAAACTATTATATATGGTCATACAAGTACTAAATATACATTGAAAATATTTTGACGGTACTATCGGTTATAATTAACAATAAAATCACTTGGGCTGATGAAGGCAATCAAAATCAGATTAAGCGAACTTTTTCGAGTTTTTTGTTTGTTTGCGCCTTCCTTTTTGAAATAAGTCTGTCATTTTTGGATACATCGGAATAATTTTCAAGAGTCAATAAGAAAAACAATGAATCTTTTTTGGCCGCTGTCGTCATGCCGCAAAACTGAAAGTTCTTCTGCTCACGAAAGTGATTATTATTTTGAATAATGATAACGAGAGAAAAACAACTACTTTCCTGGCTATATGCCACGCAGAACATTGATTACATCCTCCCGAAATCTATGCAATAATTCATATAGACTAATAAAATAGCAAGTGTTTCCTTCTCAATCGCGTGGCATATAGCCAGGAAAGTGGTTGTTTTTCTCTCTTTATCTACCATTTCCGTTCATTTTATGAACTATTGTGGTAACGATTCTTTCTTTGTGACTATTGCATTCAACTTTGAGTATTCGGCTTTTTCCTAGTTGAAAATATTGAATGTTTTCCCTCGTTAAATCAATCCTTCATGCTGAAATTTGAAAAAAAATAGAACAAGGTCAAAAATTTTGCTGTTTTTCGACGCTGGCGGTGCTTCCGGCGCATTGGCGAGGTCGACAACTTGATGGGGTTTCCAATAGTACCAAAATTTTATATTTGAAAATTAAAAATCAGAACTACTTGACCTTTCGCAATCATGGATTTACATGGATTGATTGAAATATTTTCTTTTCACTGTACCTATGTCAAGGATCGTCCACGATAGTGTTTGTCATCATGTTATATTATTGCAGAATACTGGTTTGGGAATGGCTCCAAACGTAAAAGCTGAAACGAGGTCACATTTCAGAAATCTACTTCTCATCACCCATTATTATGCCCTCAGGGCAGCGTGCAGACAGGTGCCATCTTTGAAAGCCATCGGAGTTAAAATCAGCACAGCTCTTCTGAGGTATACTGATTTGATTCCTGCGGATAAGGCGTTCTATGAAGCAGGTGAGATGTTCTAGATTGATTCTCAATCCTAATGTTACAATTTTCTGGGATTCTGAATGAAACAAAAAAATTTCTGTTCATACTTCAAAAATGTTTGTTTGAGAGTGGAATAAGTAACTATCAGAATACACGTAGAAATGATTTATCTCGTTATATTATTTTGTATAAAAAAATATATATATTACTTATGTTAAGTATGCAGGTAAGAATCCATCAAACAATTTGCTTTTTTCCTGTAACTTCTGCATTCGTAAACGGATTTTTCTGAAATTTTATACAGTTACATAAGAAATCATTTCGGATTTGATCACATTACATTCCAATACATGTAATAAAACGACATTTGGAGAAATGCAAAGATTGCAAAACAAGGTTATTGAAATATTTTTCTCTTTCAACTTCTTTAACACCAACGAATACTGTATACAAAACAACAAAATCAAACAAACTGAACGAAATCTCAAGTTTAGAGCAAAGTGAACACAAAAAAAATTGTATTCATAAATTTGGAGAAATGGGGAGACATTGTTACATTTTTAAAATAACCAAACTGTAATTTGTTGTTGTTTTCTCCGCTCGTCGGTAACTTTATTAGTAGATGTTGGAAGGGATATAATGGCACAGAATCGCCATGGGCCATAATTCACTTGATGATCTTCACTTGCGTGATTTAGGACCTACATCACCGCTCGTTAAATAATATACTATTTTCTCCAACCGGAAGGGATAGTGGCATCCATTTTCCTGCCGCTTAACAGGCAGAAGAGTAGTACTTTTACTGCTATGAAAATGGAATTTTGCCTGAAATTCAATCCGGATTCAGGAAAGGCAGAGGGTGTATTGACAACGTCTTCATACTGAACTCTATCTTACAAATTCACTTGCGATTGAGAGGTAGAAAAATTTATGCAGCTTTTGTGGATTTCAAAATTGCGTTCGACTCACTAAATCACGAGTTGATCTGGCACAAGCTCTATAGATTGGGAGTCAGCTCAAAATTAATTCGAATAATTGAAAATCTATATGATAAGGCCACCATGTCCGTGAAGGTGAAAAATGACTTCAGTAAAAAATATGATATCACAGAGGGAGTTTTGCAGGGTCAACCGCTAAGCCCTATTTTATTTTCTTTATTTCTCGCCGACATAGAAGAATATTTCTTGTCTAGAAATCATACTGGCGTTAACATCGATAGCATCAATGATATCATGATGTTATTATATGCTGATGACCAAATAATTTTGAGCGATTCTCCCATTGATTTGTCGCGCAAGCTATACGAACTTTAGAAGAATACTCAACAAAAAATAAACTAACAGTAAACACACAAAAAACAAAAATTATGATTTTTTGCAAAGGCGGCTACCAAAGCAATTATAAATACAAGTTCAACTTATTCAATGAACCTCTGGAAGTTGTGAAAAAAATCTCATACCTAGGTATAGAGTTCTCATCCTCCGCACTTGTTCTGGAAATGAGCAAATCGGACACAAAAAAAGCTAATCATCAGTCGGTGCCGTTATGAACTTGATGATCCGCTCCAAAATTAACTCCTGGGAATCCAGAATGAAACTATACGAATCGATTGTATTATCATCATTGTCATATGGCGGTGGGGTTTGGGGTCTGCGGTATGCTGATATAGTGGAACGAGCTCAGGTAGGATTTTTTAAACGTTTACTTCCTCTTCCAAGGAACACTCCTGATTATATTGTTCGCTTGGAAACATCATCCACCCAACTCAGACTAATAATCTTTAAAGCAGCGTTCTCATTGCCTAATGACATCAAACTATTGGAGGACTCTCGCCTTCCTAAAATCTGCTTCTTGGCACTTACTGAATTGAATAATACAGATGGAAGGTACAATTGGGTTGAGCAGGTCAAGCAATGTTTTTTGTTTGCTGATGAAGAACAACGCTGGCAGAATTTCTCATTGTACGTCTCCAAGAGTGATACTGCCTGTGTTTTAGAAGCATTTCAAAGGAAATTACTGCGTTATGATTCAGAGAGATCATCGAATTCTTCATATCCCCTCATCTACCGAGATCTGTGCTTGTGTCTTGATGGCCAAAACTGCCTGAGAGCTTCTCTGCCCCTGTATATTGTGAGACTAATCACTCAATTACGAACTTGCAGCAAAAAAATCTTCAGAGTAACCTTCAACGGTCTAGTTTACTTAATCGACACTGAAGTAACATGTTCAATTTGTAACCTACATGAAATCGAATCACTTGAACATGTCTTGTTGGTATGTCCAATTTATAGAAGCATACGGGAAAATGAACTTTTTGAGCATCTGAATAATATAGAAGATATCACTCGGCTTTTGAGCTACGGAACACTTTTACAACTCAAAACCCCGGTTCACTCAGTGATGAACATTTTGAAACTCAGGTCATTCATTGTCAACGAATAAACGTAGGGATGAATATAGAAATTGTTATTCGAATTTTCTTTCCTTTTTTTGTACACTACTCACACTTCATTGGTTCTTGAACTCATCAGCATATATGTTCACAGTTTTTTTTCTCTGTTATTTTTTATGGAAACAGATTGATATAATTTTTCCGTTTTTCAACTCGTACTCCAACCCTTGTAATAAGAATTATAATTCTTTTGATACAATAAATGATCTATCTATCTATCTATCTATCTGTACTTTTACTGTCTAGGCAGAAAGTTTGTTGCTATGCAACGTTCCAAGAAATTCTAATGAAATTAGTAATCAAAATTGACACTGACATTGGGTGAACACAAATTGATGGAGTTTTCATTAAAAAATTACACAAAATTGGTTTTATATCATTTGGAGAACAAATTCTATGTTTCACACGGCAGCAAATGTAGATTGACTGCCGCGGCTGATAGTTCATAGCCGAGCGTAGCGAGGCTAGGAATTCTGCCTAGTAAAATGATAACTATTTTCCGATATAACTGAAAAACTGATTTTCGAAGTCTACATTAGTGGGGATGATCCTTCGAATGCGCATCGTTCTTCTCATACAGGTAAAGATATGAAGGAGGAGGGACGACTCTCCGAAGCATTCGTTTTCCTGAATCACTACTTGGATTTGTGCGAGGCCATCGAAGAAGGCGAGGGTCAACTGGTCGACCATTCGGACCTGACGCAAACGGACTTTCCTTCGAACGTCCCTTTGCCGAATCAGCTCCACCTGTCCGAGGATCAGAAAGAGCACGACAACATCAGAGAGTGGGTGTTGGCTATCAGCATGGATCAGAAAATCGACCAGGTAGTTCACTCTCCCAGACTAGCACAAAGTGATTCTGAGAATGTCCTTGGAATAATCACGTGGAACATTTCGAATATTCTCAGAATGTGCACTAAAAATGAGAATGGTAAATTCAAGATGAATCAATGAAAACATCCTGTAACTCATTTGATTGCCAACGTCACCAATTGTCACTGAGAACTCAAAAGTGTCAAGACAAATACGAATTTGCTATTCAAATATTCATTTTTTATGTTGAAAACGGGAGCAGATTCCTTCCCGAAACGTCCAAAGATAAGTGAAAATTTGATGTTTTCTATATACCTTTATTTCTCTTCTCCAAACCTTTTTCAATAAAAATTGTCACTGTCATGCTAGTAAATTTTTCTTTTAGGCTTTCTGATAGAAACATTCGTTAAATGCAGTGACATTTTGGGGCAAATCATCTGACTTGTCCCTACTACAGGTATATTGAAATAATATTCATATTTTCATTTTGTAGAAACGTGGAGAGAAAATTTCAAAAAATCTGGAATAATGAATGTACCATGTACCACCTTCTCGATTAACCTACAGACATTATTTAATCAATTTCATGCCGTCCTAAAGGCTTCATTTCTTGTCTTAGAGACTGAATTATTGATATTAAAGTAACCAGTTAGGACTTACCCAAAAAACCTTCTTTAGATTTTTCAGCCGAACTATCAACAAAAGTATAATCCTCGCAAAGATTGGGGGCGATGAAAGATGATATTTTTACCCGGGATTACTCGTATGCTTTCTAGACTCTGCCAGAAGATGACAGACAGCTTTTCGAATCTTCTCTGCAGCCAGACGAATCTCCTTGCTTGGTGACGGGATATCCAGTGAGAAAACAGCCGGTCTCTTTCGCCAAGTCCAACTTGCAGGCCAACAAAGATGCCTGGGCGAAGCTGAACATGGGAGCCAAGATGGCGCCCGAGTCCAATGTGGCGAACGCTATTTCGTTCGTCACTAAGTGGTGTGGGCAACCAAATTGATTTATTTGTAGTCGTTTGTATAATCTGTTGAGTTATTATCAATAAAACCAGTCATGGTAGTAGTGGTATATGTACTTCGTTGGTAGGTATGTACAGGGTGCGCCTCTTAAAATGTAACGGGGGTAATTCCATGGAAAGTGTGACAAAAATGAATTTTTCAGAACTGAAAAATTTTCAGGAAAAATATAAATAGTTATAGTGAATTGGGCGTCCTGATTCCGAATCCGAAGTGATTCCTAATATCATTTTCCAGAAATTGGGGTGGTTCCATGGCTGTTGGCGAGCAGTGTAAATTACTGAAGATGGCCCCACTTGGTCACAGAAGGCAGTTTTAGTATATCTCTCTCCAGCAGATTTCAGGATCCTTAACCAACGATTACATAAGAAAACAGGGGTGTTTCCATTAGAAGTGAGACATAGTGTATGAATGCAATCTTCTTCAAATGAAATGTTCTCAAGAATATACAGGGTGTTCGCTAAAAGGAGGTCAATCCATTAACCATATATTCCTTGAACAAAAACAATGAGTTTCTAGATACCATTTTTCATTTAAGACCTTCATATTCGATATACAGGGTGTCAAAGTTGGGAATTAAAAACTGTTTTTTTTCTAATTACTCGCGTATTTATTAAGATATCAATCTCAAAATTGGGACATTACTTCAGCACAAAGAGTTACATCGTGTGAGGAAAACAAAACAGGAAATAACTGTCAAATATTCAAAATACTGGGGTCAAGTACACACTTACCCCCATATATTTTTTGTACGTGCGCTAATGACTTCATATCTATTTTTCTTCAAGTGTTCAATCATTTTTGAGTATTTTTTGTTTCTTGTGAAATTTCGATAAAATCATTTGTTTTTGAGATAATTCGAAAAGTACTGGTTATTGTTTGATGCCTATGCGGCTTACGGTAATCTCATAATGTTTACATACTCCTATTTATTTCGTCGAAATTGGAAGAGGGCGTAACTTTTTACGTACGGAAAGGTAAATATGGAAATACCGGGTGCTCAGAGCGAATGTATTAAAATAATTTTTACAAAAAAAAAAAAGTGAGGACACGTGTCGAATAAATTTTTTTTGCCAATCGAACGGCGTGAAATTTTTTTTACGGAGTCAAATAAGAAAAAACGTGTATTGGAATTTCGGGTAAATAATGATTTTAGGAGGATGGGAGGAAGGTCGATTGACGAGCCCACCCTTTTAAAGGATTATTAAATTGATTTTTTTCAAGAACAGCAAATTTTTTTAAAATGTCCTAAAATCGGTTTGAGCGGTTTTGGGAGATGCGGAATTTTTTAAAAATATTTTCGAGCCTCTTATCCACCGTATGGTATGTCGGTCGCGAACGAACGGGAAATAAAATCAGAAAAAAATTGAAAAAAAAATATGTTCGCAAATTTTTGGTGAAATTATGATATTCATGATTTTAATAGCTACTTGATGAAAGAAATAGCAGATCAGGATTGTCTATGGATGTATGAAAGATTTTGTGCATAACCCACATATTTTTCAAAGGCGAAGATTTTCTTTAATTAAAAGAGCTCGCATGTGTATTCAAAAAATTCATATCGAGCAATTCGTTTAGACGTGTTGAATTTCCATCAATTTTTTTTCGTAAAAATTATTTCAATACATTCGCTTTCAGCACCTGGTATTTCCATATTTACCTTTTCGTACGTAAAAAGTTACGCCTTCTTTCAATTTCGACGAAGTAAATAGGAGTATGTGAACATTATGAGATTACCGTAAGTCGCATAGGCATCAAACAATAACCAGTACTTTTCGATTAATCTTGAAAACAAATGATTTAATCGAAATTTTACAAGACACAAAAAATACTCAAAAATGATTGAACACTTGAAGGAAAATAGATAGGAAGCCATTAGCGCACGTACAAAAAAAATATGGGGGTAAGTGTGTACTTGACCCCCAGTATTTTGAATATTTGACAGTTATTTTCTGTTTTGTTTTCCTCACACGATGTAACTCTTTGTGCAGAAGTAATGTCCCAATTTTGAGATTGATATCTCATTAAATACGCGAGTAATTAGAAAAAAACAGTTTTTAATTTCCAACTTTGACACCCTGTATATCGAATATGAAGGGCTAAAATGAAAAATGGTATTCAGAAACTCATATTGTTTCTGTTCAAGGAATATATGGTTAATGGATTGACCTCCTTTTAGCGGACACCCTGTATATCAAACACATTGAAACCACTGTTGGATTGCAACAATTTATTTAAAAATAACAAAGAAAAGTCCCTCTCATAAAAACATCCTAAAATCAAATAATCTACAAATCAATTATCTGCGCTGCAGTTCTATCGAAATTTAGGTACTTCACAGCTTAATCTGATTACAATAATAAAAACGAATTTCTATCAGGTTAGTGACATCAATTTTTGTGTTCACTATGTAGGTACATATCAGTGGCCACAATAATCGAGTTTTTAGTGCTTCCAAATCAAATTTCAGAATTTGGACCGTTTATAATACTTACTTCAATTATTCATCTTCTAATAATCTGAAATTCACAAGTGCAAATGACTGGATGAGCAAAATTGTGTAAATCAATACGAAATTTCACATTTAAACTGGTCAAATTTGAAAATTTCATCTGCAACCACCTTACAGGGCGAAGCGTTTCTGTGGCCACATGGAATAAATATCTTCTGTCTACCAAAGAAAACACTCAGTAAAAGTAATATTCGGTCAAATGATGAAATTCTCAACACAATTTGATATGATTGATAATAATTATAATAATAAAATATGACTATCCTGCAAAAACTATAACATCAGAGAAATATTGGAATATGTAGAAAAAATAGCAAGGCAAGTATAAATTCGAACTGGTAATAAATACAAGGTTTAGAAATATTTTTGACGCTGATGGTTTGAAGCAAGATACTGAGATATTATCTAATCGAGTCAAAAAACTTTGCATCTTATTAAATGCCTCTTCACTCTAGTTTATTGTTTATTTGAATGTTTATATTTTATTGGATAAAAATAAAAGCCACAGGGCGATTAAGAATTGGCTAAGGAGTAATCCAAAGAAATATTATTCTCATGCTCTACATTGAAAAATAATACAAAAAAATAATAAGAACTGTTTTCGAAATTAAACGATAAATTTTACTTCTACCTATTCATACAGAGTGTTTTAAGTTATAATAATATATTGATTTCAAGAATCAATAAAAATGAAAAATAAACAAACTTCATAAAACATTAGGCGTTGAACATGTATAGTGTTATGAGTTTTATTCAGTTCCAATAAAAATAATGAAATTATTCAATCAATCAGGCCATTGAATGAATTTAGTAACAAAGGAATATCTTGCAAAATAGACTAACCCTGTCACCTCCTTTAATCTTACTTCCAACTTTGAAATTTTTATTGTAAACCTATGAAATGAAACAATAACCGTTTTCAAATTTTTTTTATTTCGTGTGTATTATCTGAAAAGTTTTCCATTATACCCAGAGTCATATCTTTTTATGATCAGTTATTTCTCATATTTGATTTGTTGATTTGTATTCATATGGCTTCATTTACTTCAAATGTTTCATCTATATTTACCATTTTAGTCATCATTCTTGTCAATGATTATTGATGAATTGATTGATTTAATTTCATAATCAAATGAGCGAAAAATTTTTAGAAATTTTCGAATCATAATAATACGACACTTTAATGAAACAAGTGAAGATTGGTTATGTTTCTAGTGATACTAGTGTGTGTCTGCTCTGTGAATTGAGACAATAAGCAGACAAAGAGATCTACAATGTCTTGAACACCTTCCTATCAAAACATGTTTGATCAAGGAATGACATTTTCATTATTGAAGATGCAAAAACGAGATTCGGGGGTTGTGTTCAATATTCATTTTTTGTCATATTTACTTGCCTAGCCGTACTTCCAGCTTGACCGGAAATGAGCCCAAATTCAATTCTTGAATGTCCAATCCAACAATACTTCACTGAGTGTTATCAACAGCTTCAATTTTTTGTCAACCAGAACAAGAAGACTTAGTTAATGAGTATACCGTATATGTATTATTTGTTAGTAGGTATGATCGCTTTTTGCAAGTATACAGAAAAATTGTGAAAATAAAGTGGAAGTGAGTGTTATCATATTATTCATTAATTTGAGAAGAACACCAATTCCTACCTTATTTCCCTTCGTTCTCACGATGTTCTCTGAACATTACAGGATATCCCTTTTCGTGGGAACCAGAACCAGAACATAAAAAAAAAAGAAAAAGCAGACGAGCCATCCTCTTTCAATTTGTAAAAATCAAGTTAACTGGAAAAAATCATGTTTGCTGCTTTTGAATGATTCTTAAACGAATGAAGTCATAAGCATCAATGTCATATTTTTCCCATATTATTTGATGAATTCTGAAGCGATGATCCATGACATTCTGGATAAAAAAATAAAAATGAAAATGACATCATTCTTCAATTATTGAACCGGAAGTACAGCAAGGCAAGTAAATATGAAAAAAAATTTCTATTGAACTATGATAGACAACTCCCCAATTAAGTTTTTCGATCATCAATAATAAAAAAGTTATATATACCTTGAAAAATCACCCGGTGTATTTGAAATAATTTGATAATTTCCGAAGGTTGAAAAAATAAGTGTCATTCATAAACTCTGCTGGCGTAGACGCAGTTGACGCTGCCGTTCCAGTTGCAGTTGTTATAGATTCATTAATACCTAGGGTCTCTCATTTTTTTCTACTACCTAACCACATTTTTTCCCTGATATTTGATCAAATTCGTAAATAGGCCTGTCTCAGTGAAGAATTTTAGTTTATTCTTCTGAAGTACTCACCCAAAATAGGTCGCACTGTACATACGCATGTACGTAGAATGTACATTCATTGTACTTATAAAGATGGATGTACGATGTATGTTTCAAAATTACCGTCCGTTGGACATCCATTTTATGTCAACTCAAGCACTAAAACTCTCGTGGACGTTTAGTCAACATCCATTGTACGTACAGAGACGGACGTACATTGAATGATTCAAATTGAATTTACATTGGATGTCCATTTAACGGCCATTCTGATTTCAAGCGTTAATGGATGAAGAATGAACATTATATTTATATGTATATTGATAATTGTTCAAAGTAAATGTCTGTATGAAATCATTTTAGATCTGAAGGTTTATGGACGTTGAATGAACGTACATTGTACGTTCAGAGATGGACGAAAGACTATTGATTTTTCAGCCACGTGGAGGGGAGGCAGAAGGTCAGATCGGTCGGTAGAGTAGCGGTAGCGTCTGGCGTGATTTTGATGCCATTTTCAGTTGGTAAATGACCGTTAACATGATGTGTTGTGTTTGTGATGGATTGTGGAATGCTGAATATTCAGGACCAGATCATTTAAAGTAGGTATGAAAGTATGCATGTTCGAATGTGACTTGATATATTATCTAATATAGTTATAATCTTATGCTTTATCATCCTACAGGTTGTTATTGATTTTTAATGGGCGGCTTGATAGAAGATAAGTACCTAAGTATATAGCAATAATGTAAATAAGGCTTCATTCACCAGTCAGAGTTAAGCTGAACAGGATTTGGGGTATAGACAATCGATTTCTACCTATCTAGCAATTTATAATATTTCTTTTTTTTTTACAGAAACAAGAATTTGAAGTGGACTGAAGAAGACATGAATCAACAATATATTTATGAATATGCAATCGACACCAAATATTGTATATCTCAATAGAAGAGTTTATATTTGCTACCTACTGATTTTTCATCATTTGATTCCCAAAGATGAGCATCCATTATACACCCACATGTAAACATCCAATGTACGTCCAAAGTGGTGTCCTCAAGACATCCAATGGACTTTCATTGGACGTTTAACGTCCAATTTGGTACGTTCAATGGATGCTCAGACATGTACATCCATTGTGAGTCTAAATATGAACATCCACTGTACATCCACATGAAGACATCCAGTGGACGTCCATAGGATGTTAAACGTCCACTCGAGTACTTCCATTGGACGTCCTTACGATCCGACGTGGACGTACATTGTATGTACATTGGACATACATGTGCTGTGTGGGTTGCGTTCTTGATGTTTAGTGTAACAAAGCCCCTTCTGCCACTGTGTATCTACTCAGATATGAAGAATAGAAACAAATCCTGACAGGGCAAGTTACATATGCACGTAACACCTTCTTTTCTGAAATAACCGAGTATTTTCAGAGAATGTTACTTGACCCCTTCTTCCACTTGCCCCTTCAATTCATTTTCAGAAAACGTCAATTGCATTTCAAAAAATGTCAATTGAATTTCAGAAAACGTCAATTGAAATCCAGATGATATTTTCTGTAATACAAATGACGCTTTCTGAAATTCAATTGTCTATTCTGAAATACAACTGGAAAATTGTACCACACCAATAGATTCTTGTTACACATTCATTTCATTTAGGTGATATTTGATACGTCACTTTTGGACTGTTTGTTGTTTCAATTTACTGAATAGGTACACGCTAGTACTCACTTGAAATAATATGTGAAAATGTGAAATTTTCGAATGACTTAAAAACCATAAGACTTTGTATTGGGGTATGTTGAGTACCCGTCACATCTGTAGACTTTGCATCTAGCTTTATAGCAAACTTAGCCCAGTTTCACTTCATGAAAATCCATATTGAATATAGAAAATTTACAAAAAATAGGAATTCCACGAAATTATAATAATACATGTTTCACTAACACATTAAGTTCTTCAAGTGAAATACTCATAAAATAAAATAACCTTACATTTTATTCAATTACTAGGCTGATCGAAAATCGAAAATATTCCAATGCATTGGTGTGATCCTGTGGGCAAATGAAATTTTGCCAATTGGATTCCTAGTGGCGTCGTTATTATTAATTTCTTTCCATGAGTGAGCAACAAATATTTTATACAAATCTATGAAATGCCATTCAATTCTGTACAAAAAAGGATCCCTAGTTGAAACTCGATAGGACAAACTGTTAAAAAAAAAATGAAAAATGAGACCAGAATCAAAATTATAATGCAAATGCCGAGAACTCCATTCAATATATCTCTTTGAATTACTTGATGATCATAACAAAACAAAACCATATGTAACATTCTGCACTATTCTAGTCACATGACAAACTAAATTTTGCAATCACGAAACGCTAAACCGGGTGGCCAGAAGAAGAATCTTTTTCCACTTTGACGACCTATATCTCGAAAACGAAGCGAATTCAGACGTATTATAGGAGTTTTTATACCGAAAATTTCACACCAAACATTTTAGATCAATTTAAAGCCTGTATTACGTATCGTTACCATAGCAACGAAACAAATTTCTTGGAAATTTTTTCCTCCTTTGGGGACGGAGCATGAAATTAAACTGGGAATTTTTTGACGTTTAGTGGTTAAATCACAATTACATTCAACTTTAGATTATTTCGAGTTCATTCTATATGTCAATAAATAAAAATCAATTAATATCCGGGAATTAATTGTAGCTCTTGTGATATTATAAGTGAAAATAAACCAAGGAATCATGTCCTTCAATATGTACATGACATTTGGGAATACCCTGTATATATTTAGGAACCTAAAGAATTTGTGTGCGAATTACCTGTGAGCAGGCTAGCTGAACCTTCAAAATCCTATTCACGTAGCAGATAGAACAAAACTGATGTTGGCGCCTGTTGATCAATTCACATTACAAACTCAATGATGAAAACTGCACATCTATCTTTGTTTCAGAGTTACAAGGTGTTTTTAGAAAATATAAAGTTTTGAAAAGTTTTTACCAAAAATTCTTTGTTTCCATAAAAACATTTGCGAAGCATTTTGTTTGTCATGAAAATTGATCCTCAGGCACTGAAATCAGTCTACATACCTAGAATAGGATTTTCCCTTTAAAATTGACCAATTTGGCTCACCCTGTACATAACATTCAGGAACACCTCATATATACCGGGTGTCCCATTTTAATCTTTATTTGGAAATTTCTTGAAATGTATGCATCTGACAAAAAAAATTGACGAATAAAAGTTGTATGGTTTAGAGGGGGACGTCTGGTTATAAAACAAGTTTCACCCTCTGACCCCCAGGGGAGTAAGAAATGGAGGTAACACTGAAATCTTTAATGGAAACCCCTATTTTTTATTGCAGATTCTGGAAGAGCATTAAAAACTATGAAGCTTTTATTCGGGAACTTCTTTTTTATTTTCACAAGATGGCGCTGCGATCGTAAAAAACAATATTTCTCTATTTACACATTTCAACCCCCTGAAGACGAGGAAGAGTGTAGGGTGTGATATTTTCCCAGACAAACGCCATTGGGGTGATATTCACACGACAAATTAACGCTAAACGAACATACTTACCTTGACACCTCTACATAGAAAAGAGAAAAATAAGCATGTTTCAGCAATTAAGTTATCATTTAGGTCAGACTAAAGCTGGTTTTAAGTGAGATTGACTACTTTATCAAGTGTTCGAAATGACCTCCATTTTCTTGAATACACAAGTTCACTCGTTTTTCAAAATTCCGCATTGTCGCTTCCAACATAGCAGGCGTTATCTTTCATATTCTCGCGTGTGGTTGGGGGTTCGCGAAACACAATGTTTTTGATGCAACCCCACAGAAAGAAGTATGGGGAAGTCAAGTCGGGTGATCTGGGTGACCAACTACAAACTAAATAGTAAAATATTGTTTTTCAAGATCGCAGCGCCATCTTGTGAAAATAATAAAGGAGTTCCTGGATGAAAGCTTCATAGTTTTTAATGCTCTTCCAGAATCAGCAATGAAAAATAGGGGTTTCCATTAAAGATTTCAATGTTACCTCCAATTACCACTCCCCTGGGGGTCAGGGGGTGAAACTTGTTTTATAACCAGACGTCCCTCTCCAAACCATACAACTTTTATTCGGCAATTTTTTTTGACAGATGCATACATTTCGAGAAATTTACAAATAAAGATTAAAATGGGACACCCGGTATACCTCATATATAAGTTTGGCAAAGCAATGTTGGAATAATTTATTGTAGGAGTATTTCACTTATGATGTATTGCTATGAATATTGTGGAAATCATATCATTTACGAAGTTTTTACATTGTTGAAATTGATCAATTCATAATTTGAAACATTCTTCATCGAAATCATACCATTATTGTTCTCAAATAAGATTCAAAAAAACAATAGTGAACAGCACCAAACATTAAAATACATCTTCCTGTAATTCCTCAGATGAAAAATGTGCACTAAACACATTGCAATACATTGAACTCTAAAACTATTTAGTTCACTGCATGAACAAATGTTCAGCAGAAGGTAATGGGGCCAATCCATCTGTGACATTTGGTAGCTGCGTCAGATCTGGTAAGTTTCTGATGTGATTGTGGAGTTCAGTTCTAACGCTAAATACTTTCAGTAACTTTTCTTGGTACTCCTAAAATAAGAAATTTCGTTGGTACCCTTATACAGTAAGGAAAGGTAAAGGCATTGCTAGAGTAATGACTCAAAGATTATCAAATAAGTCCCTTTCGAAATTAAGATTCTCCAAACTTGATCAGATTCGACATAATTATGGGCAAAACATTGAGAATAAAAAACTTAAAACTTTTCTAACTGACAATATGACATTGAATATAACTTAATTTTTATAAGGATTATGGGTTGCGTGCAAGAACTGTCAGATGACCGACCCTGCCAGCACAACATTGAAACACAACCTCACTTTTCTTATTTGTTTACAAGTGATTGGAATAGTTTTCAACAAATATTTTGGCATACGAATCGTATTTTTTAGGCTATTCATCAATTCGCTCATCCCATCACATTGTGCTGTTGTACAATGCAGAAAAACTGCAGCGGAAGACGAAGGAATCCGGTTGGTACATTATGATTCAAAAGTAAGTACCTACTATAGTCACTCACATATAGTTTTCATTTTTGAAACTTGGTAATTTCTCTGATTTCTCATCGGAAATCCTTCTGCGATAGGAGCTGATAGAAAAACACGTGAATTTTCTAAAATAATGCAAGAAGATTGGATTCCTGCAATCATTCGGGAGGACTGGTCTGACATGCTGACGAAATATTATCGTGTGTGTTGTAAACATTTTCAATCTATTAGCAGTATTAGCTTGTATTGCAGAAGTGGCAGAAGGCAATAGGAATTTTAATAGGGAATGCCAACATTTCATAATGATAACTATGTGAGATTACTATTTACCTGAAAAATCATATTCCTTCGTCTCTCGCATTTTACAACAGCACAATGCGAAGGCATCCTTGAATTAATGAATAGCGCAAAAAAAAACACGATTCGTATGCCAAAATATTGTGAAAAGCTATTTCAATCCTTCGATTCCTCTGTAAACAAATAAAAGAGTGAGGTTGTGTTTCAATATTTTGCCTCCAGGGTCGGTCATCAACTATTTTGCTAGATGTTTATTAATAAACAAAGGATATGCTGGATAGGTAATTGAGGGTACTGGTACTGGTGGGGGACGTTTGCACGTCAGCAACAAGTCCCTAATGTATAATGAGTGATGTGGTCGGCTTAAGTGAGCTGGCTAACACCCTTTTCAGGTACCGTCCATAGCTCTCTTTCATAGTTTTTCGGTTGTGTTTTGTAGGCTAGTAATGTATTCACTACCCTATGCTGCAGTGACAGCCTACCAGCTACCTCGTTAACCCCCATTACAGGTCTATTAAAAAGCATTGGCCCGCTCTCACACTCAGCTAGTAGTTTTCCATATCCACCTACATACACCGTCCTACTTATCTCTGATGCTCACAACCATAATATCATCATTTCTTTCCGAGTTTCTTTCTATGTGTTCTATGTAGGCTATGGGCCACTTTAGCCACTTTAGGAGCAGCACTGTCAATTGAGGGGTAATAATGCAAATGGGTACAAGTGACACTTTTGCTCAAATTTGGTTAAAACTATCACGAAAAATTCTGCTGTTTTTTAAAATGTAAGTAGCAATTTCCACTTGAACTCCTTCGGCTTCTACTAGCTCGATTCGTTTTTTTATTTTTATAATTAGCATGGAATGACAAGTCTGTTGATTTTACATTCTTATAGTCATTGAAAATTAGTGCAAGAGCATGAAATAATCCAAATAAGTGTTCATCAATTTGTGAAATTAGTAATTTCATTGGCGTAACAACGGAGGCAGGGCCCCTCCTAGGATGTTGAGGGCCCACCCCACAGAACTCAAAGTCCTAGAAGGCTAATGCAAGTGTGAGAAATCCCTGAAATCTGATACAACCAGTGTGCTTGCGGCAATGGTGATCATGCGCACATTGTCGGCAACATTGTCAGATATATATTTTAATATGCAAATCTCATATTTATGCATTAGGATGTAGTTTATATTTGTTTTAAAACTTCTTGTAACTGATGCTCAACAGCTTTACTAAAATCAAATATAATATTCAAATTCATAGACTTACTGATATTGATTGAATGGCTGACAACAGATCGATGAATTGTTATGAACTTCTAATTTCTTACTAGTTCATCTGGCAACTGTGTAAGAATGTCCTTCTGTCATTTTGTCTAGTGTAGACTTGAAACAGAGCCGGATTAGTTTCAGTTATTTAGTGTTTTGCTTTGCGTTTAAAGTTTTTGGTTAGTGAATTTGAGATTATTGAAGAGTTTTGGTATTTTACTCCTGTTTGGGTGGTTTATTGTAGTCATAGTGACATTTATACGGGTTTCCTGTTTAGTTTACACGTACAGTACCAACGAGCTTGGTGTTATTATATATTTTTTCTACAGCTATAATACAAAATTGATCTTGTTTTACTGTGTTCGATAAATCAGTGAGGTATTTTGTATGTCATCAATTGTATTTCCGTATCTGATATCACAATGACTTTCATTGTGTTATTATTTCACAAAATCTCATCTCCTATGGAATGTTAATTAACAAGCCATGACAGCTCTGTCTAATAGATGAGAAGTATTTAAGAGAACATCAGATGGATTCAAGCCGAAGAAATGAAAAATGTTGCTGTTATCTGCTACAGCCGTAGAAAAAATAGTGTATGACTCGCACGGAATCCTGATTTCCCACTCGTATGATTCACTTCATTCTCGTGGGAAATGTCTATCAATTCGTGCTCGTTAAACCATATTCGCGGGAATCAATGTTACCAGGTGGCGCTCGGTTTTCATCGTTCCATGTCAAAGCCACGTCAAAACTGGGGGAAAACAAACTCAATCCTCACTCAATCCAATTAGTGCCATTAGCTTGTGTACTGTGTACTGATAAGAGTGATAACACTTTATGTCATTGACAAGTTTGACAACTACAGCTACAGCAAGATGTATGCAATGTAGTCTATGCACTTTATCCATAGACAACAGTTTGTTTTCCCCCAGTTTGAAGTTCGTATTATGTAACCTAGATGTCGCCCACTCCGTGAATATCCCATCAAAAAAAAGGACGCTAAGTAATTTGAACAGTGTTCATTTGAAAAAAACCCTCCACAAAATAATATAATATTTTAGCATAGTTGATATACATCCTGTATTATATAATATTCACTTGTTTTGGTAGAAGACTTTCTCCTAACTGGAAAGACTATGCCTGTACCCCTGAAGAGGTTAATGAATCAGCAAAAGCAGAAGTTGGACTCAATTGTGTTAGAAGAGACGGCACCGTCGCGTCTCTACTGTGCATGCTCACATTTGCTGTTTGAGCCACATTAGGGAACACTTGAATAGAACGATATTGGCTTTCTGCCCACCCCAGGAAGCCCAAAAACAAGATACAAAATTCGCTCACACAGCCATTATGGAATACCCCAGAAAAAAAGGACGCCAAGTAATTTGAACAGTGTTCATTTGAAAAAAAAAAACTCCGCAAAATATAAAATTATACATCCTGTATTATATAAGATTGACTTATTTTGGTAGAAGACTTTCTCCTAACTCTAAAAACTATGCCTGTATCCCCTGAAGAGTTTAATGAATCAGCAAAAGCAGAAGTTGGACTCATTGTGATAGAAGAAACTTGTTTCAATATGTATGTACTTTGTTTCATGAATTGCAAAATTCAGGCAGATATTTGCATGAAGCAAAGTGAAGGATGGGGGCCTGGCCTGGCCTGGTTACACCATTTAGTATTTTGAGAAATGGAATTCAATCAATGAAAATCTTGGATTGTGACAAGTATTACATGCCCCATTCCTATGATGATTATTTCCTAATTTATGCTTCTTTCTTATTCCAGTCATTTCAAGAGATAGATAGGTACAAGCACAGTCATATGTATGCTCATCATTTTTTCCTTAATGGAAAAGAGAATTCAAAAGGTCCATTTTCATTTTTCAGAATGAAGAATGTAATAATGAAGCCCCTATGACACTATGCATATTGTTTTACAATATTCTGCACAAGAATCCATTATAAATTTGTTTTAAGTTGTGATCTTTATTTCTGAACAGAATATTGTACCAGAAAATGCATGATGTCATAATGGATTTACAAGGAATTATATTATTTAAATTAACATGCTTCCACTCATAATAGAATTGATTTTGTGTACTGAACTTAGAATGTGTTTTTCTTAGAATGTCAATTTGTCACTTGTCTTGTACCCCTTTGTATTTGAGCTCCTCAATTGATTCTTATTTGACTATAGGGTGTTTCCTAAATAATATGCAATCAAAATTCACTCTTGTCTCTTAGGCTCATAAAGACTGCCTATTTGAAATATTATGTTCTATATTATTATTTTTTATTTTCAATGAATCAGTGAATGGTGTATAGTGTATGTGTTTTGATTATTCCAATACAGTGTTGCCAGCAGTGTTGTTATTGGGAATACTTGGAAACCACAATTTTTTACCTCTAGATTTCTCTCAGCTTGAGCTAATAATTCCTCCTGGACATGTAAAAAGTCCCTCATCATAATGCTGAGTTTCTTTCTATGATCCATTTCTGCAGATAATCTATTATTATACTGGCTCAGTAAGTGGACTGCTTCTCCTACTTGCAAACTCAACTTTTCAGCAGCTTCTTTATCTAGAAGATATTTCACTTTCAGTAGAGAATCTCAACACTAAACCATAATTTGCATTGATTTCCAGAGAGTATGTGACAATATACAAATTTGATTGCTTTTTCTAAAAACTGTTTTTACATTTACCATGTTATATTAAATGCATCCACTTACCTTCAATTTTTGAAATAAGAGAAACTTCAGATACTTCTCTTGGTAATTTAGCAATTCTTTCTCTAACAACTTCATCTGATGAGGCAATGTTCAATTCTAAATCTTGAATGGCTTTTATCAGTTCTTCAGGTTCTGGTGGATCCCCTGCAGGAGTATGAGGACTCAAATGAATGAAGGTTTCAATAGAACCATCAGAATGCTAAAATAATAGACACAAAAAAGTTATGAACCCTAACTAAGTATAGTTAGCATCATCATATCAGTGATTTGCTCTTGAAAAACAGTACCTCAACGACTTTTTCAGTCTCAGATTTTCGTCTCTCCCTTGCTGGACTTTTCTTTCTGTCATTTGGTTTTGATTTTTTGGTTGGAGGTTCATGTCCTAATACTAGTGCCCTCTTGAATTCACTGATTAATACACTATCATATATTCCCCTATCATTCCAAATGGTGAGCAACCTATCCAAGCTATTTTTTGTTTTTTCATCACTTCTGGACATGTGTTCAAAGCCCTTTTTCAGATGTATTCCAAACTCTTGTCCATACTCAGGGCCCTTTTTTTTGCTGTTCTGTATTACATCATTGGCGAGATACATGAATGTCAGCTTCTTATTATCTTTAGCTGAAAATAATCCCAATGCAGATTCACAATAGTATTATGAACAAACTTTACCTTTTATCAATTCTCTGACCCATAATTTTACTACTGTGCTATAATGTTTCCTGTGGTGAATGAGCCACAAGCTCAAAGTTTGAATACTTTGTGATGAATTATTCAACTCCGCTAGTTTCTTTATGAACGCAGTTTCGGTGAAACCACCAGCCATTATGAACGTATTGATTGATAAAACAAAGTTGCTATTGAAATTTTATATCTATCCAGGAAAATGCTCTTCAACACTTCTCTCTTCAAGTCTTCACAAATAATTGTAAATATAACCACTAAAATTGACAATTGACGTAAGGCGTAGATGGAAGTGCCTCCGAAGCCGGGGCCGGCTACGCCTCAAAATATTCAACAACAACGTGTTGTTTTCCAACGTCATAAAAAATCCTGTAGAACAAAATCAAACTATTTTTACTCAATATACGACCTCTCTTGTAATGGGTGAAGTCTTGAACTTCACTAGAAAAGGACGATAACAGAATCCCAAAAAAGAAATAGTATTGATTAACTAACTTAACATACGTATCAGTTTTTGTAATTAAATGATTGAAATTGTAAAATAAAAATAAAGAATATACGAAAGCTATATAGAAGGGTCACCAAGAAATAAAATCGAATTATTGCAATTTACAACTTGCGGTAAAGCGGCGTTCACAACCAAACTTTTTACGTTTTGCTTTTTACGTTTCGTAAAGCATAATCCGAATTTAAACGTGAATTTATGTGAAGCAAATGTCATTCTCAACAAAAAAACGCCAACGTGAGTTTTTGTGGCTTTTTTACTTTTCAGAATACATAACCTCAAAATACTTCAACATGTGATTTGCAGTAATTTGAATAACTCCAACTCACAATTAACTGACAGTAATTCTGAATTATGCATTTTACAACGTGCAGTAATTCAAAATACTGCAACTTTCGTAACTTACATTATTCTAATTCGAGTGTTTTGTGCTTTGTCGTGAATAACGAGAGATGTGTCGTAAAAACATTGCAACAACTGACCAGTGACAATTGAGAGGTACTGCACCAACAGTCAGCGAATGCGCTACGACGGTCCTGCATCAAGTAAAGAAATTCAAAATGAAAACAACTTGATTTAATTATAGCTCTACATTTGTATCGCAATCAGAGAACAACATTTTCATCCATAATGGTACAAACATGATCCACGCTAGCGTAGTTTTAGACTCGCCCAAACACATAACACAAAAATGTTTCTGCAAGTTCAAGTTACAGTAGATACCAAATTATTGGTGATCCTTCTTCACTTACGTAAGAATCAACGGATCATAATGTATAGGATTCTATATTTTTGCAGTCCGGTCCAGTCAACACTATGGTCTATGCTACGTCGTCTCTGTAGCCGTCGCCGGCAATCGAAGCACTTTCAAGGCTGGTTGCCATGGTTACAGTGGTCAAAAACTGACTTAAAACTGACAGTTGAAAGGTTTTGTTTATAGTAAATCCGTAAGAGGCGCTAATATCAGTGATATCTGTGATTTTCTGGCCATATTAAAGTCTATACAGGGTACAGGCAAAGAATATAGGTTCCTCTTTGGTACAGGGTCAGTTAAAAAAAACACCGCGGGCCGTCGGTCCCTTCGAAAGTTCCATCGTAGGATTGATGCATGTATTGTTCGATTATACACCAACTGTTATGATGAAATATCATTCATCTAGTTGATGGAAAGTCGAGAGCCAAAAATTATGTATTTTGAGTGTATTCAATCCAGATATAATGAAGTATAAACATTTGAAAAAAAACTACTGGGTGCTATTTTTTGTACAAAGAAACTATTGTTCTTGTTTCCTGGGCACGTCCCTGATGGTAATACTTCATTAACTATATATAATAGATAAAAAAAAATCTACACCTCATTTTCATCAGATTCAGAATCAGCATCCCCAAAAACCTCCCAATTCATATTTTCAGAATACCAAGAAAAATTCAAAATCCCGCTTTCCATAACTACGCCCTAAAATCTCAGCTATTTTATGCGATTTTCTCTAAAAATTGTGATGGTGATTGTGTGTTATTTTCCTAACATACAAGCAACATCAGAATTTCAAGAAAATCACTTCATTAATAACTGAGATAAAGGGTGATGTAGTCATAAAAAGCGGAATCTTGATTTTTTTTTTAGCTCTTGGGATCTCGAAAGTATAAATTGGGGAATTTTTGGGAACGCTGATTCTGATCGAATCTGATGAAAAACTTATTTAAAATAAGCTCTATATGATACCCTTTTTTCGAATAAAGACCTATTCGTACCCTTATTCAACATCGCACGCCAGTGCATGGTGAATTAAACCACGAAAATTTCAAGGAAATCGCATCATTAAAAACTTGGATATAGTTTCGAAGTGAAAAGTATGCGTTGGAGCGTCATCGTTTCCGATATACAGACAAAATATTTGGAACCTTTTTGATCTTGAGATGTGTCAAAATGAAACTCAGTGTAGCGAAACTTGAAGAACAGAAAAAATATATAGAAAACATCGCACCACCTCTGTATATCGGAAAAGAGGTTCTTAGGCATATACAGGGTGTCCCTAAATGATATAGAAAGATTTCAACCACAGATTCTAGGAACAAAAATAGTAAGAAAAGTTCGAATGAACATAGGTCCAGAATTGGCTTCCTGGGGAGTTATAGCACAGGTTATCCCCATCTGGAGGTGATGATTTTTTGTAAATATTTTCGAAATCCTCTGTGATGAAATAACCGAACTGTACATATGTACATGTACCTAACTCTTTATACCCCGTTTGAATATGGTAAGAATTAATGTTCTGAAATTTTGATCAGAGGCGTGGGATATAGGCTCTATAGGGGCACTTTAATCTTTCCCCAACTTTGTTTTATGCAGTTTTCGGCAGTTTGGCCAAGAATTATGAAAATATCATCATCTTTAATGAAAATGGTACCTCTGTTTAGTTTCGATAGCACTCGTCACTTTTCTAAATTAATCAATTTTGAAAGTTTGCTGATAATAAAAATAGTAGGTATACTTTTTCTTGATACGATACCCCCCTACCATATTATTTTTCAATTCATTACTTTTATTGTTCACCCCATATTTTGAATCAAAAATCACAAGTAGCGATGTTGAAAATATGGGTATTATTCTTCAAAATAACATAATTTTTGGGAAATTCGGTAGGTCTATATACCCTCTCTTATAAGGAAAAATCACTGTTTTTACGCAGCAGAATTTGAAAATCGATATAAATATCTCGTAACTGATGCATGGCATGGAAACTAAACAAAGAGTACCAATTTTAAGTAAAAATTTTGAGATTTCCATATTCTATATTGGTCAAACTGCCAAAAAAAACAACTTCTTGGGCCCTACTTCAGATGGCTATAAACCCCATGTTTGTACTATTTTTGTTGCTAGAATCTGTGGTTTGAATCTTTCTATATAATTTCTGGTCATCCTGTATGTTTATATGATATTTTTATATTAAAATAGCATAAAATAGTACCTATCTTCCTTAAGCTGTTGAAATCCTAGCTGCTACAAAAAAATGACACCTTGTATAATATCCAATGCATGATCGATGAACAGACTATTCAGGGTGAGTCCTAACATTGGGACATAATATACAGGGTGTATCTAAATAACACTGAAAAAATTCAAGGGGTTATTCTTTGTGATATCTCAGGAAATAAAGTTCATATAAACATATATATATATGAATGTGTTCTATTTCGCTCCGTTTTTGAGATACAGAGGGTATTTAATATTTCCATGAAAAATAATATTTTTTCTATTCATTTCTCTGGTAAATGACATTTTTTGTCAGTGAATAAATTTTGGTGCGAGTTTATATAAGTCAATACTTTTTTTATCGAAACGCCGCCCTGTATCTTTTTCCACAGCAATATTTTTTAATTAAGGCTTAATTTAGTCCCATTGCGCCATATTTTGGTTTTTTGTTTTTTTTTTGGACCAAACAATCCGCCCTTATATAGCCTATATGAGCATGTCCCAATAGTTATGAGTGTTAGTTCCGTAATTTTATATTATTTTTATGGGCTATAGGGCATCCAAAATATTGAAAATATGAGCTGAAAATCATGTTTCATCGTAGTTGACGTTGTAGGAAAATAAATGAGGGATGTGATAAAATATCCGAGAACCGAGAAGGGCGAACGGGCGAAACCGGCATCAGATCAGCGTGTGCCGTGGGAGCGTTTCAATTTCAAATCCCATTCCATTCACTCAGTATCAGTCCGCATTTCGCACTTCACAGTGTTCCAGAGACAGTGTTGTTGCCCCACTACCCGGTGTTTTTTTGGTGATTTTTCAATTATTTGAAGCGGTTTTTCCATTTTCGAACACTCGATGAAGCGATGTCAAAAAGGCACGTGGCTTACATAAAACCAGACGAACCTAGTTTTTTGAAAAAACTCAAAAAGGAAGCGGGTTATCAAGAAGGTCCCACTGTAGATACCAAAGTAGGTTAAGTTTTTCCAAAAGTTTCAGTAAATTTCATTTGTATTCAATAATTTAGCGTGAAGATTACGGTAACATTGCTGACGAGGATTTAGAAGATACTCCAGAAGAACAACCTACCGTGGTTGTTTTGAAATCTGGAGATTTAACAGCTGAGGAAGTTGCCAGAGAACAAGAGAGGTTAAAGAAGGGTAAGTTCAATTTGTTCAACAATACCTATTTGCATGCTTTCCAAAGGGTTGCTGAATTCCAGTGATGGGGAATTGGTATCGAGACACCAACAACAGGCGATAATATAAAAATATTTTCAAGTGACATTTTCGTGATGACATGACTAATGGCAACTTCCCCTCTCCCTTCCCCTCTTTCGTCATCAAATCAACCAATTTCAAGCCACGCAATGATTGTACTCGTTCGGCAATCTTCGGTTAGCGCATGCGCCTTTCAATGGCGCGAAAGTTGGACCCGCGAACATCCCAAAATTCAATTTTCTTCGAAAGAGCGCAAAAACTTTTGAATTAATTAACAAAAATAAAGTAGATATTTTCGAATTGAATTGCTGTGTTGATTATATTAAAGTTTTCCGGCCCGTCTATCTATGTATTGAATATAATAGTTGAGAGAGTTGGGTTTTGTAATTTATTTTTCATCACGTCAGCAGCTCCAGAGACGGAGTCGTGCTTATGCCGACCCGCGAGCGGGGGACGAGAGACGAATGACGTGACCACGTGATCATTTCAGCTCGTTGTAAGACTTTGGAAAGGCAGCTTACCCACCTTTTCACGAAAATGGTTTGGTCTATTATACGGAACGGTATTTTGCCTCAGCTTGACTACCAGATAAAATTTTCTTGGCGGCCATATTATTGAAACCTACAACCCATTTTTACTATGGGGCTCATCCGTCATCCCACAATTTTTTTTTTCATCATCTGCAATATTATTATTATTTTTTTAAATCCAAATTATTAATATGAAAAAATATCCTATTCCCGTTGTCCTGTTATGACTTGAATACTTCATTTTCATCACTTTCATTCAGGTGAATTTATATACAGGGTCGCTAGAAAGTATTGCTCTATAGGGTGATTACATAATTCATGATAAATCCGAAAATTATATCACTCGATTTTCCGTCATCCTGGCATTTACATCATAATACCTGTATCATTGTAGTAATATACCATATATATAATTTTTTGAATTTCAACTGTGGCAACAAGGGTAATATCAAATATTTAATAAATTAGTTATATATAGTTCAACCACCACTACCACCGTCACCACCCTGTATATACAAGGTGATTCTAAAATAGGTGGTCAAACTTTGGGAGTATATAGAGTGGGTGAAATAATTACGAAAACCTCGGTAATATTTTTTTCTGAAGTGCCCCCCAAGAAAGATACAGCCCCTCAAAGAGGGGCCTCGGAGAATGATTTTGTACTATTATGGCCAACACCTTGTATGATGAAAATCTAAAATTTTGTTCATCCACTAACTATTCAGTGCCGGTTTGAATGGAGTTAAAATCACCTCAAAATTAAATACAGGAGTGTGTCAAAACAGGGAGGTAGGGGGTAAAAATAACCCCAACTTTTTTGTTCATCGCAATTCCAGTTTTTTTACATGAAATTATGAAATCTCAGGGCTATCAACATAGAAAAGGATCTCTTGTTGGATCTCGATAAACTGAACCATTAGCGAATAAAATTTATTTTTTCCAAGATTTCATTTAAATTGCAATTTTGGTATGCACTTTAGTTTAATTATCTAGTTCAAATCTTGCAACTGAATTTTCACCTACTTCTAATCGTCTGGTCAACTTGGAATCTGGCAGATGACAGTTGACAACGCGTTATGGACTTTTTGATAGAAAAAAATATGGCGGCTCCAATGTGGCTGACCAGATTTGTGATTATGGTTCGATTCCATTCAAAATTGGTTTGTAAGGGTTTTTGGGGTTGGAAATTACGAATTCAGTGTCGGAATTGATGAATTAACAATAGACGACGAGTTTCGTGATTATGGTCTGATCCTATTGAAAATACTAAAATGAAAAATATTGTTAAAAACAAGCTTTTTTTAAATTTTATTCGCTAATAGTTAATTTTATCGAGATGCAACAAGAGCACCTTTTTCATGTAAATAGCCCTGAGATTTCATAATTTCATGTCAAAAAACTGAAATTGCAATGAACAAAAAAGTTGGGATTATTTTTACCCCCTACCTCCCTATTTTGAGACACCCCTGTATTTTATTTTGAGGTGATTTTAACCCCATTCGAACCGGCACTGAATAGTAAGCGGATAAACAAAATTTCAGATTTTCATTATACAAGGTGTTGGAGATAATAATACAAAATCATTCTCCGAGGCCCCCCTTTGAGGGGCTGTATCTTTCTTGGGGGTCACTTCAGAAAAAAATGTTACGGAGGTTTTCATAATTATTTCACCCACTCTATATGCTCCCAAAATTTGACCACCTATTTTAGAATCACCTTGTATTTCATAATATAGTGAATATACGTCATATTTCGTTATATCCCATCGGTTGATGAGTCTCTACATAATTATGTAATCTCCGAACTACCCTGTATATGCATGAAATAAAGTAAAATTCATACTTCCCTGTGGATGAAAACTGCTCAATCATGAAATGAAAATGTGATAGAATTCGAATCTATATCCAAAAGTATTCCAAAAATAGGAAATAGGTAGGTAGATTATGTCTCGGATTATGTTTGTTTTTTCTTTGTATTCATTAAAAATGTCATTTTGGATGGCAAAATTTCATTCAAGGTCATTATTTCTGATCCCAATATAAAGTTTTTCTACCTATATATTTCTCTTTTCTCTTCAACGAAAATAATTATTGATATCTAACGGATATCTAGTTGATAAAGTGATAAGTGAGCATGTCAGCTGTCCGTTCAGGTGTCGAAAACTGACTTAATTTTCGTCCCTAGGAGCTCAACTTCAACTTTAGCTCCTAGACGCTAAAAGTGTTACCAAGCAACACACATATTCATTTTATTGTGTCAGTGAGAAAAACGTTAAAGAGCTGATTTTCAACAAAGATGGAAGACTTTTGAGTGAGTTACAGACAAAAAATCTGGAAGATAATGTCGAATTTCTCAGAAATTTTGTAAATCATTGATCATTAGGGTTCGACAACCGAACCGAACCGTTTGCTTTAGGCATGGTCAGAATCATCGGAAGTGTCAATGCTACTTTGGTGATCGATTTTTTTTAACGATGCGCAGCCGAGTCAAGAAAATAGTCCAAAGTATTTCGCGCCCGAGTTGCAAACAACACTTTTTCTACAATCGTAAAAAAAATATAGTTTCAAGGTATTAGTAGTAGAAAACTAGAGCTTATGACCGAGTACCTTCTTTGTGTAGAAAATATTGGCGGTTCAGATGAGCTGCTCAAAACTGTACTTTTTTCAGTGGCGTAGAAGTTGGGGAGAAAAACATCCACTACCACTTCAAAATTTTCAGCAATTATGACATATCAAGAAAAAATCCGCACGCAAAACATAGCTTTTTAGGGGTAGAAAATGCTTACAAAAGCTGTTTTCTGCTCAGAAAACGGTTCAATGCGATTTTTTATTTCAACACCCTTTATCTCGAAAATGTTGCATTTTAGAAAGTAAGTTGATAGAAACTCTTCCATATTTTTGGATGAGCTATCACATCCTATAGTTCTGCGCATATATTATGAAACACCCTGTATAGGCACCTACGAATAGGTTTTTCTGAAAACATTTACATTTCTCAAACATCCTGTGTAGCCCTTGAAATGAAACGGCATCCGAGATCGGGTTTTTGAATTTGGTGGGTATTTTGCTTCGTTGACTTCAGCTTTTTTAAAATGCATCAAAATGTATCATCTATTTCATCTATTATATGGAAATATTTGAGTAACTTTCATTGGATTAAATGTACGAAGTTATCAAAATTCCATCAAAATTGATTATTAAGACTATAAAGTATCAAAATTATCAAGCTACAATGGACAAAGAGGACAGGTAAAACGCCGCAAGAAATTATAGAAACTCCGCCATAATTTTGATGACACATTTATCCAGAAAAAGCTAAACTGACAAACTGTAAATTTTCATCTGCTCTTGCCATAGATCTTAATATATGCTCTTGCTGAGTTCGAAAGGTATTAAATTTTTTTCTGATTTGCTGATTTTCTCGAACCAATAACTCGTCAATCATTTTTTTTTATTTGAAATCAGATAAAAAATTACGTAGTTACAGTTTGAGACATTATTCATAAGAATTTTTCATTTCTTGAGTGAAATAATATTTTATTTACACACTGGATCTAAAGTAGGCGTTTGTTCACTTATTTCGGGAAACAAAGCAATCAATTTACTCCTCGATCTACTCACACGTGAGTCAAAAAGTTAATACCTTCCGTGGGACGTTGAAGTATGCTTTCTTGGCGTCTGTATAATTCGTACTCAATAAATCCTCTCAAATGCAATCACACAATATACAAAATCATGCATGATGACAGGAGGACATGGGTATCTTTGCTACCTTGATTTTTAAATAGCTATTAACTAGGGTTATATATACCTAGATCAAGATATATTGTTGAAAAAAAAGCTCTAAGGTGCAAGTGTAAATGTGTGTCAAGAGATACATTCAATCCGACATCGTAAGCATATTATACAGGTTGCCCTAATTTAACAGTTGTGTATGATTGCTTTCATTGGACCAACACTGAATATTCTTCTCCAGAAAAGAACAATAATTCATATTATATTATATGCGTACCCATACTAAATTTAATAATCTGACGCCGAATGATTTGAAAGTTACTGCATTGGCCGTTTTTCGTTGCAACAGAATATAAATTTCAATAAGTGTTTTTCGAGGTGTTTTTCTTGGATTACATGTAAATAAATTGATTTTCGTGATCTATATAGTCATCACATTGGTTACATTTTCCCTCTGTATTAACACCAGAAATATCTCGATCAACTTGATCAAGCGTTTGCTTATCTACAAAGAAAATTTCTTGCTGGGACAATGATTCCTAAATATAGATATTATCCTTTGGTTGAAAATTTTTATTCTGATCTAGAAATAGAGGAAGCACCTGCTGATTTGGATGCCCCTATACTCTTTAAGGCCCCTAACAAATCGAAATTAACGGAAAATCCTGAACATCGTGAAAGTTCGAAAAGTTCGAAAAGCAAGTCCAAAAAGTTGAAGAGCAAAAGTCTCTTGTCTTTCGACGAAGAAGAAAACGACGACTAGATTTTTTTTTCTCCAGTCTATATCACGGTGAGTGTTCACAATTTTGTTTTTATTGTAAGTTCCCCTTTTGGAACAGAAAATCAATACCTATATGCCGAGTACCATTATACAGGTGGACCTCGATAACATTTCTGCGGTAGGTTGTACGATATATTAGTACAAAATTCAGGTCCTATTTATCAATTTATGTTTATGTTCATAAAAATATAAAATTCAGCAACCCGATTCCAATGAAAATAGGATCCTTGATGAGGTAGGTAGGTTGGTATACGAACATAATTACCTAGGCACTGAACAAAAATTAAATAAAAAATAGAGGTTTTGGATATGTTTACCTAGGTAGATACATTAATATTTATTGAAATATGGAATTATGTAATTAATACAGATTGACGTGACGAAAGTATTATATTCATATAGGCAGGTGTTTAATCTCCATGTGAAGCATCAGCTGATGACTCATCAATTTTCTTCTATAGTGTCATTCAGAAAGTTGGCATCGTGTATAGGAAAAACTGCTCGAAAAACTGTTGATAATAATTTATTTCGAAATTTGACTTGGGCGTTAAGTTTAGCTTCAAGAAGGATTCCATAAAAGTTTACATAAAAAAAATTGTTTATATTCTTCATATTTTTTGATTTCTTCTCGGATTTCTTCTAGTTGCAACTTCGACAAAATTGTCCTAAACTTTGGCTTCATGTTAATACTGAAAAAATAAATTTAAATGAATTTCGCTCCTGATGAACTTTGCATCGAACATAACAGTAATTTTAGGCGGAGATTATTATTTCCTGAAGAAAACATATTTTTGTCGATAATTAGTGATTGAAAGTTAGTAACATTATAAAGCTACTAGAATGAAATATAAAATATCAAGAACTAGAAATTGTTATAGAATTCAAATCCGAGACACATATTATGTAAAATTGGAATAGAAACAGCTTTTCTCCGTAAACTTTTTGAAATTCAACCAAATAAGCCTATTTTTAGCGAATAATTTGAACAAAATCTACTTTTGACATGTAGCGAAAGTCACGAAACTCCGACCGAGTAGTTTATTTTTCATACTTCTCAACGATTAAGTCGAATTTCGAAATGAATTTTCATTAATAGTTTTCCCCATATGCATGCCGACTTTATGATTGACACTGTATATATAATTATTATTGAACTCTGAAAAAAAAATGCTGTCACCTAGGTATAATTAATTTTTCATTGTGTGTTTTCATGAAAATTGATGATTTGTTGACTTTGACAATATTTTTTTGTAAAAAAAGAACGGCCAAAAAACAATATTGGATAGCGCAAATGTTATGAGAATCCATCGGTAGGCGTTGTGAAAAAGTTATTAGATACAGAGTACACATGAACAAAATGAGGTTTGGGCGCAACCATTCTCCGTTCGAGGGGAGTCGACTACATTTACTTTTTTGCCGGGTGCGGTATATAATCTTCCTAGTCCCCAAGAATGTTTGTGCTTCGTAAAATGACCTCATTCACATTCATAACAAAAAAAGATAATTTTTCACAAGGTTTTCCATATCGGCATTCGCGGATTGATTTTGAATTTCTAAAGCTATAGACCTATTATAGGTATACCTACCTACCTAGTTTTATCTATGCCAATTTCTGGTCCTATTTCTGAGACATTTGAATTTTTCAAACAACCTGTATACCTATACGTCTAATTAAAACATTTAAGATACCTATATAATTATCAGATAATATTATAGGCAGATATTTCTACCTATATATACCTGAGTGAGAATAATGGTAGGTATATATACCTACATACCTATCTATCTAATTACCATAAAAAAGATTCATTTTGCATCATCAGTTATTATTCTTTTATTTACCAAAAAAAAAACTACACCGCGCCTGCCTACCTACCTATACTAAAGGAATGGCATACAAAAAATTCAATTGAGTTTTCAAAATGCTTTAATTAGGTGCAGAGTATTCATAAAAATAGGTACTTCAGATACTTCATGTCCTAGGTAGTTTTATGGGTACCTATAGGTACCAATAAAAAATTTACCAATACATAATGTATCTAATTTCCCTAGTAGGTGTTTGAATCAATTTTTATAACTGACTGGAACATTTTTCTTGAAAAGATTCCCTCTGATACCTATATGAAATCGATAAATTTTCTCAGTTATTACGAAAATTATGATTTGGCTTACGTAACGAAAAAAATTGAGACATTGTGGGATGGAGAGCTACGTCACTATTCGGTCACGTGACGTTCCGTTAGACGCCATATTGGCAGACTAGCGCGATGCCAAGGGTTAGCGACGTGTGTTTGGGTTTCTCTGTAGTTTAGCAATTATTACGATTGATAATAAATTACAGAAAACCAATTGGGACCAACAGTTTGTTTCGTTTTTTTGAGTTCAATTGTCAACAATTTTGAATATCGCGGGTTAATCATTACTTCGGGTATTTACGACAATTGTCACAAAGTTCTATTGGCGGTGCAGATGTTCTGTTTCTTTCAAGTGAAATCCCATGTGCCATGGCGGGAATATTAGAAAATTAAGAAATTTATGGTAAATATTAGTGCAGTGTGTGATCCATGTTGGGTAGCAATTTATATTGAGAAAAGAAAAATGTGTTTTTCTATTGTCTGGCGTTATTGATAGCCCTGATTTTGTTATCTTTTCTCCACAGCCAGTCTCCACTGTGCAGTGGTGTACTGGGGGGGATTCCAAATAAAGCTACCTACCTATCTTTTTAAAAAGAGATCATTGAAATTGGTTTTTAAACTTTTCCTATTTGGTATATAGGTTATGTTTTCTATTTTGTTATCAGAAGGCAATAACATCAAAATACTTGATCATTCTTATTTCTGTGTATAGTGGTCATATACCTATAATAAATGGTAAATCATTATGGAACATATTTATAACCAAATAACAAAGCATCTAGAAGGCGTCTGGAATATTATGATAATTTGAAATTTCCTCTGTTATTGGATCTTTGTGAGAAGGAGTCACCAATTTTTTCCTCCCCTTAGTAGGTACTTACTAGCAATGTCATTAAATAGTTTCATGATTCAACCAGCATTTTTCCTGTGTAAATAGATAGAATAGAAGACCTAGTAAAAAAGCTTATTCAGTTAGGCAGGTGAATTCATGCACAACTGAACCAATGCATAATGCACAACTTGAAAATTAGTGAAGGTGATTGGTGAATCCTACTTTGATTCCTAAAATTAACTAATTACCACCACAGTAGTTACCACCCATTATTCTGATGTTAGGACTGTTGAGTTGTGCATGAATTCACCATGAATTTATTTTTTGCAAACTGATGATAGGTACTTATATTCCATATATACCTATTTCTCATCCTATTTCAATAAAAAGGACGTTTCTTATGTTAATCTGTTAATCATCCAATTGCCAGTCAACATTTATCATGAAATGTCAGTTTTGTGAGTGTATGGAAAGATACAAGAGGGTTCAGGAATACTCCTCAAATTTGATGCATTCTAAAATGAAATATTGAAAATACTGGCAAAACTAGAATTTTTACAAAAATCAGTTGTGCTAAAATGACCCTCCCTTGGTCCATTGCCAAGGAATAATATCAGAGGTTACTAGGCAATAATGGAATGAAATTGGCATGTTGATATTTTTTAATCACTTGTTAGAAATAGGGGTGTGTCACTGCTTTTACCACAAAAATTGTACCTCCATTAAGTTAGCAGAACCACTTTAGATTTTAAAATTTTTTCTTCCACCATAATTAAAAGCAAATTTATTACCCTATTGCCGACTTTATTGTTCTTTGATTTATGCAAAAAAGTGGGTTCTGCTAGTTTAACATTGAGCTAGCAGAATCACTTGTTATTATACCATAGGCATCGATTTTTTTGATGATGATTTTTTGCAAAAATTTTCACAAATCCACCAAGAACATGACAAACCAATAGCAAATCAAAAAACTCAATCACAAAACTAATTGTACCATAATTTGAGGCTCTAATCCTATTTGAATGTGGATGTTTTCCCAGATTGTTAAAAAAAAAGGGTTTTGCTAGCTTAATCATTGAGCTATCAGAACCAAATCATAGAAGGAATATGTGGATATTGAGTACACAGTTTGAGGATATTTTAAGGCTCTTTGTTGGGCCTATCATTTTTTTGATAATAATTTTTCGTAAATATTTTCACAAAATCCAATCAAATAATTATATTTTGAGGAATTAATTTCCAGCAAGCTGGAAATCATTTAATTACCTTCATTCGGTCCCAAATGCGTGTAATCTAAGTTTGCACCATTCCAGGAGTTGAGCTTAACTTTTGATAGCCAAAAAACCGCCAAATTTTTGCACTTTTTTTATTTTTTTGCTTATAGCTGCAAAATGGTTCATCGGTCGAAAAATGTCATTCTATTCAATAATATAGAAGGCAAAATTCTGCGTCGAATGACATCTGAAAACATCAAATTCCGTTTAGTAGTATAGCCGAAATCGAATGTTAAAAAAGAAGAAAATTTCGTAGTTCGGTGCAAGCTTACATTTTGCGGCTTTCCAAGACGACATATCGTGAAAACAGATACTCCTATTGAAAAAACCCATAAAATAAAAGTTGTAGAGAATAAAATTTTACGTTATATAGATAGATGTCCAAATGTTTAAGTTTTCTTGATTTGTCCAATTATCCGGATATCTGAATGCCCGGTTCAGCTTCGGTCCCAAATTTTGCATCAATTTATAATTATTTTTCATCTAGTGCGCGAAATGCTACTTTGGTGATCGAGAGCTGATTTTTTTAACGAGGCGCAGCCAAGTTAAAAAATAGTCGAAATCACCAAAGTATTTCGCGCACGAGTTGCACCGAACTACGAAATTTTCTTTTTTTTAACATTCGATTTCGGCTATACCTCTGAACGGAATTTGATGTTTTCAGATGTCATTCGACGCAGAATTTTGTCCTCTGTATTATTGAATCGAATAACATTTTCCGTCCGACGCACCGTTTTGCAGCTATAAGCAAAAAAATAAAAAAAGTGCAAAAATGTGGCGTTTTTTTTGGCTATCAAAAGTTAAGCTCACCACCTGACATGGTGCAAACTCAGATTACACGCATTTAGGACCAAATAGAGGTATTAAAACGATTTCCAGTTTGCTGGAAATTAATTCCTCAAAACGGTTTTTTTCGATTTAATTTTATTAGCCTAAGGGGTGTGTCACTGCTTTTACCACAAAAATTGTACCTACATTAAGTTAGCAGAACCACTTAAGATTTTAAAATTTATTCTTCCACCATAATTTAAGGCAAATTTATTGCCCTATTGCCGAATTTATTGTTCTTTGATTTATGCAAAAAAGTGGGTTCTGCTAGCTTAACATTGAGCTAGCAGAATCACTTGTTAAGCTAGCAGAACCACTTTGTGATTTAAAGTCAATTCACAACTAATTATACCATAAGCATCGATTTTTTTGATGATGATTTTTTGCAAACATTTTCACAAATCCACCAAGAACATGACAAACCAATAGCAAATCAAAAAACTCAATCACAAAACTAATTGTACCATAATTTGAGGCTCTAATCCTATTTGAATGTGGATGTATTCCCAGATTGTTAAAAAAGGGTTTTGCTAGCTTAACCATTGAGCTATCAGAACCAAATCATAGAAGGAATATGTGGATATTGAGTTCACAGTGAGGATATTTTGAGGCGCTTTGTTGAGATTTTTTTGATGATAATTTTGTGCAAATATTTTCACAAATCCAACATGAACATGACAAACCAACAGTTAATCAAAAAAAGTTGATGCACAAAACTTATTATACCATAATTTGAGGCTAATGTAAGGCTCCAATCATAGCCTGTTGCCGATTTTTTTTGCACTTTGTTTTTCTTTTAAATCATGGGCTTTGCTAGCTCAACCATTGAGCAATATAAGGATATTGATTACACTATAATTCAAGGCTATTTTTGGGCTTTTTGTTGAGCCCATCATCCAATTTTTTGATAATCATTTTTGCAAAAATGTTGACAAATCCAACATGAACATGATAAACCAATAGTAAATCAAAAAACAAAAAAAGTTCAATCACAAAAATAATTATGCTATAATTTGAGGCTAATTGGAGGCTCTAATTCAAGCCTATTGCAGATTTTTTCGCACATTGTTAAATAAAAAACATGAGTTTTGATAGCTTAACCATTAAGCTAGCAGAACCAAATCTCAAATAGAAGGAGAAGAATATAAGGATGTTGATTGCACCATAATTGAAGGCTATTTTAGTCTTTTTGTTCAGGCTATCATCGATTTTTTTGTTCATCATTTTTTGCAAAAAAATTCCCAAATCCAACATGAACATGACAAACTAATAGCAAATCAAAAAATGTTCAATCACAAATATAATTATAACATAATTTGAGGCTATTTCAAGGCACCAATCCTAGCCTATCGCCGATTCTTTTACACATTGTTTTTTAAAAAAATCTGGGTTTTGCAGAACCAAATCTCAAATAGAAGGAATATAAGGATAATTATTGAGTACGGCATAAATTAAGGCTATTTTAAGGCTCTTCGTTGAGCCTATCATCGATTTTTCACAATAATTTTCACAAATCCAACATGTAAATGACAAACCAATAGCAAATGAACCAGTTAAATCACACAACCCAGGTTTTTTTTTAAAACAATGCACGAAAAAATCGGTGATGGGCTAGGATTAGAGCTTTACATTAGCCTTAAATTATTGTATAATTAGCTTTGTGATTCAACTTTTATTTAGGAAGTGGTTCTGCTATCTTAATGTTAAGCTAGCAGAACCCATGTTTTTTTTAATAAAGCAATAAATTCGGCAATAGGGTAATAAGTTTGCCTAAAATTAGCCTTAAATGATGGCAGAAGAAAAAATTGAGAATATCTAAAGTGGTTCTGCTAGCTTCATGGAGGTAAAAATTGTTATCCATTGGGTTTTGTTTCCTATGGAAAAGGTTCCAGGTCATCTATATTACGATTTTTTGCTGTTTTAGTCTGTAATATTCAAGGGGGTGATTCATCGACTCAGTTTAAGAAAAACGAATTCTATGACCGTATTTCCTGAAAGTCTCGACTTTCGAAATACAGGGTGATTCTGAGGTCCCACCTAAATGAGTCATTCTCCTTTTACCTAGTAATTATCAACATATTTTGGCAATTCAAACACGTTTCTGGAATAATTTTTTTACGATTTTTTTGAATCTGTGCTCACTTTCACTTCATATCAACAAAATACAGGGTTGCTAAAGAAATGATCTAAATTTTATTCAATAATAATACATGAATGATTATATAATATATAAAGAAGTGCACAAAAAAACGGCCAGGGCTGTAACTTCTGAATCATTCGAGATCAGATTTTGAAAATTGGTGGGTAGCACGTATACCAAATAGCTCATTTATTGACAAAACAATTTTTGCTCTATCACTTTCAGTTTCACCGGAAACGACCCCAAGTTTTGATTTTTGAATGGGACACCCTGTATTTTGTTCCATAATCGGTTAGGGTTTATTATGAAGAATTTAACGATACCGGGTT